CCCCCCCCCCCCCAGCGCACCCTTACCATCGGCTCATGCACGAGCGCTCAAATACGCGGCGCGGTTCCTAGCACGCATGAGGTAGGTACTTTGGCAACTACTCGGTTGTAAATGGTGGCGGAGCGTCTCGCAGGCGATGCCGCATATCTATGATCTAACTCTGAACTGTAAAAGTGAGCAAGCAAAGAATGACAGGAAAAAAAAAGATGACAAGTGCAAGCCCAGAAATGTTTGACAAAAACAAGACGTCCCAGACGCGTCTTGATACGAAAAAAATCTTGCTCCAATAGCGCCGCCTTTTCAACAACGTATCTCGTATATCTTGCACATGAGACGCACTCCCCCTCCTCCCCCAGTATGGGGGGCGTCATGCAGCGCACACGATCTATCACCACCGGAGAAAAAAAAAAAAGAAGCAACATGAACGGAGAGGGAGCCTCGTGGCTTGCGGGCAGGTAAACCTGCAGCCAGCCGGGGGGGGGGGGGGCCTTTCAGCTGTCTGTACATGGCCAGGAACAGAAGGCACACACGCCGTGGGGGGCGGCCGGGCGGCAAGGGCGCGAGCTTTTCTCTCGCCCTCACTTGCCCGCCTTCATGGCTGCCTTTCTACGCTTCTTCTCCGCGGCCCTCACCAGCGCCCGCTTGATGTCGGGCTGGTCCACCGTCTCCGGGTCGTAGTACGTCGGGGCAATGTCCTGGAGGAGAGTACCTGCGTTAGCAACACGATGACACACACAAAAGGACCAAGACAAAAGATTCCAACTCACCAATAACCACTCCGGGCGGATCCCTGTGCAGGTACGAATGTACTGCTTCGACGTCAGGACAAACTCGTGGTAGACGACCCAGTCAAACTCGGTCCGCAGCACCGTCGATGGGTGGATTAGCACGGCTTGGTCATCCTTGACGGTGCGGTAGATCTTGCCGGAGCTCTCCTTCATGGCGACCTGCATGAAGAAGCCGGACAGCAGCGCGCGTCGAATGTTCGTGTAGTAGTTCTTGTCTTCGAACGGCGTCGACACGAGCTGCAAGCCCTGCACCTCCATGATGCGCTTGAGCTGCGCCCTTACGCTGTCCGCGCTGTTCAGGTGGCGGTGCGACAAGAAGTGCTCGTGGCACCACTGCTTCGCCGCCGCCGCCGTCTGCCCCTTGAACGCGTGGTACACGTTGAGCATGGTCAGGTGGTCGCCGTCCGGGTGGGAGAAGTGCGCCTTCATCTCGTCGGCGCGCTTGCGGTTGTTGGCGGGCCGCACGAAGACCTGCGGCACGGAGAGCAGCGCGGTCAGGCTGAGCACCTCGTTGGAGCAGTAGAACTCGGGCGACGAGATGAGCATCACGGCGAGCGCCGGGTCCAGCGGGAACTCGGAGGCGAGCGAGCCGAGCGCGGTCAGCTCGCCGTCGTCGTCGAGGCAGGCGAGGTAGTTGAGCTCCTCGAGCGCGCGCATCATGGTCTCCGGGGCGGGGGGGTCCATCAGGTCAAAGTGCACCAGGTCCTCGACGCCGAGCTTCTTGAGCTCCAGCACCGTGTTGGCCAGGTTCGAGCGCAGGATCTCCGGGTGCGTCTGCTCGATGAGCTCCTTCTTGAACGCCTTCTCCGTGTACAGCCGGAAGCACTTGCCGGGCTTGGTGCGGCCCGCGCGACCCGCGCGCTGCTGCGCCGACGCCTTGGAGATGGGCGACACGAGCAGCGACTCGACGCGGATGCGCGGGTTGTAAATCTTTTGCTTGCTGAAGCCCGGGTCCACCACGTACACGATGCCGTCAATGGTCAGCGACGTCTCGGCGATGTTGGTCGAGATGATGACCTTGCGGCCGGGGCGCCCGCCCTTGCGCAGCGCCGGCGGTGGCTTGTCGAAGATCTTCTGCTGCTGGTGAGGCGGCAGCGTGCCGTACAGCGGGTACACGGCGAGCGGGCCGGCGTCGACTTCGCGGATCAGCTCCTCGGCCTCGAGCGCGATCTTGCGGCACGAGTCCTCGATCTCGTCCTCGCCGGTGAGGAAGAGCAGGATGTCGCCCTCGGGCTCCGACGCGTGGATCTGCAGCACCGTGCGGATCGCCGCCTCGACGTAGTCCTTCTCCGGCTCGGGCGTGTAGAAGATCTCGACCGGGTGCGTGCGGCCGGGCACGGCGAGCAGCGGCGCGTCGTTGAAGTAGCGCTGGAACTTTTGCGCGTCGAGCGTGGCCGACATGACGATGATCTTGAGGTCCGGCCGGCGGGCGGCGATCTGCTTGAGCAGCGCCATCAGGATGTCGGTCGCGAGCGTGCGCTCGTGCGCCTCGTCGAGGATGATGCAGCTGTAGCGTGACATGTCGTGGTCGTGCATCGCCTCGCGCAGCAGCATACCGTCCGTCATGTACTTGAGCACCGTCTTAGGGCCCGACATGTCGTCGAAGCGCACATTGTAGCCGACCTCCTCTCCCAGGGTCACGTCCATCTCGTCGGCGACACGCTGAGCCACCGACGTGGCGGCGACTCGGCGGGGCTGCGTGCAAGCAATGAGCTTGCGGTTGAGCTGCGGGAGCTCGTCGTAGACGACGTATTGCGGGATCTGGGTTGTCTTTCCGGAACCCGTCTCACCGACGAAGACGAGGATCTGGGTCGAGTGGTACTTGTCGAGGAATTCTTGCCTGCGGAAAGATTGGTTAGTAGGCGGGCAAAGAACAGAAGGAGAAATGGGACATACCTTTGCTTGTGGACGGGCAGGTCCCGGCGTCCTTGGAGAATCTGAAAGTACTTTTGCGAGTGCGCGCGCCCGGTGAAGGGATTCGAGTCCGAGTCCTCCGCCTTCTCCGCCTGCTTCGCCGTCGTGGCGCGGCGCTTCATGCCCGCCAGCGGCGAGTGCGCGGGCATCTCGTCCGCGCCATTCTCGTGGTCCTCGCCATCCCCGTTCTCGTACATGTGTGCAAGGTACGGGTTCTGCTTATCCTCCCTCCTCATCTTCTTCCTAGAGGCCCCGTCGGAATCGGCGCTGCTTCGCTTGTCGCCGGTAGTGTCGGGCATGGTTTCGCCTTGCCAAAGTTCCGAACGAGAAGTTGTCTGCTTCGGTGCAATGGAGACGTGGTAAAATCGGCGGTGGGCTGTTGGCGGGAGCTGTTTTGTTGACTCTGAAAAAATCGGGCAAGGGACCTTGGAAAATCCTTATCGATAAGCAGGCAACAGTGTTGATAGAGCGGCTGTTTGCACTGTGTTGAGACGCGAGACGGATGACGGAATAGCCAGGAAATCAAGGTTCGAATTTTGGATGTTGACGGATTTAGTTTCTTTTGTCTTGAGATATAAGTTTCTACATCCTCTAGGAAGTGATGCGCTTCCAATCGCCATCATTCGGTTGAACTGGTACATCAAGTTATCACGACAACACATCCGGTACCTTGGCAGCCTAGGCCCGGTCGCACACTGTGCATGGCCCCGTTTCATCCCACCTGAAGGTCGCCATGACTGAAAATAATGCCCAGCCGGAGCTGTGCTTCTCAGCTTTCAACATTGCGTCGTTGAAGCCTCTTTGCTCTTAGAAGCGGTCTGCAGGCCTCTTTGCTTGCTTCGGAGCAGCTCTCGTGAGGATTTGCCTTGCTGTCGTGTTGGGAGCAGGCCTGCGCAACATTCTACCTCCCCGCTTCCACTGTGCAGCTTCTTGAGGGCTCTCTTGGCGCGCAGCCAAGATGTCTACAACCGAGTATGATCGACCATACTTCACGTTTGGATACCATGATAGTACCCGAGATACACCGCTGAATGATCTTCAGTATGGCTACCTCTTGAACCAGGGCGTAAGTGTCTCTCTTACACTCTCCTGATGCTCACCACTAAATGCAAGCAGTTCAATTTCGCAGTTGCGCCCATCACCAATCAAAGTTTCCGGAAACGAATCTTTAAGCTCGTTGAAGATCATATGAATCAGCTGGCCAAGTCCAAGTCTGAGAGCACCACCATCGTGACGGCTGCGCAGGCCGACCCAACCATCCCTCCCCTCACCCCGGAGGACACCAGCTTGTTCCCCTCTCAGGCCGTCAACACCTACACTGGCTGCATCAGCCCTTGGATCGACCTGTCATCGCCAAACCCAATCATCGCAAGCGTGTCGCGACAGGTCCTGAACCTGGAGATCAACTATGCGAGCTTCTGCGGGCTTCGCATCGTCATGATCCCGCCGCCCGAGCGGGACGGCTCGCGCGGCGCTGGAAACTCTGGCCTGGCGCAGTATGCTCGTGCCGTTCAGGAGGCACTGAACATTGGAGCCAACATGAGCTTTGCCGTGCAAATGCCCATGTACCGCGAGCCAGGTATCGACGGCGGCGTTGAAACCCTGTCTCGCCTCAACCCAGTCTCGCAGGTCCCGCCGGTCGCGCATGAAATCGACATCTTCACCACATGGGACTCCTGGCACAATGTGCGAAGCGCCTGTAGTTACAACCTGAGACTGTTCCTCGGTAAGATCATCTGCTGCCCTTCCAACCATGCCCACTCAACTAAGAGACAATACAGCTTTAAAAGTTCCAAAGGTGATGCCCGACAAAGCACTACAGGACCGATGGTTCTCGGAGCCTCTCATGTATCTCACATTTACCCCAGAAATTTTTCAGACCAATAATTCCGGCAACCCCTCGCTTTCTAAACACCACCGAGACATGGTGTATACTTACATGAAGCTCAAGGCCGCGCCGGGGCTCCTAATGTTGAATGCCGGACCTCGCATCGATCATATTAAAGATTTTTCGCAGACTATAATCTCTGGGGATGCCTTCCCGTCGCTTTCCGAGGCTTATACCGAGAGCCAGCCTGCGTCTGAAGAAGCCGGCAAGGTGTCCCCGTACATCGAGTACATGCGCTGGGTGGAATCGGGGCAGCCATCGCCCACGATATTCGAGTCACCAATGCTTACAAGCTTCCAAGACTGGCTCCAGTCACCGCTGCAGCCTTTGTCTGACAACCTAGAATCGGCTACCTACGAGGTATTTGAGGGTGATCCCGTCAAGTACAATCAGTACGAAGCCGCGACCATGGAGGCCCTGATTGAGTGGAAGAAGCTCAAAAAGCCCACGTCAAAGGAGGGCGTCGTTGTCATTGCCGTGGCGGGCTCAGGCCGCGGACCTCTTGTCACACGAGCCCTCAAGGCCGCCGAGTATGCCAACGTGGATGTGGAGGTTTGGGCTGTCGAGAAGAACCCGAACGCGTACGTGTATCTGCTGCGCCAGAACCAGAGTATTTGGGGCGGCCGCGTCAAGGTCGTCAAGACGGACATGAGACACTGGAAGGGCCCCGTGATTTCAGAGTCCGCAGCGGGACCGGTCTACGGCAAGGTGGACATTCTTATTTCGGAGTTGCTGGGCTCGTTTGGCGACAACGAGCTCTCTCCCGAGTGTCTGGACGGCATCCAGCACGTTATGGCACCACAGGGCATCTCCATCCCGAGCTCTTACACGGCGCACTTTACGCCGATCGCCTCGCCCAAGCTGCACGCGGACATCTTCGCGCGCTCCGCCACCGACCCGAATGCGTTTGCCACGCCGTGGGTCGTGCACCTGTTCTCGCTCGACTACAACGCCAGCCGCGTACCGGACCATCCGCGCATCCAGGAAGCCTGGGAGTTCTCGCACCCCATCCCCGAGTCCACGCTGCAGGGAATCGAGGCACGGCGCTCCGGAGGCGTCGTGGGCGGCGGCGGCGGCAGTATGGCCGGCGCGGCCGGCGCCAACGACCACAACTCGCGCTTCTGCCACCTCACCTTTGTCTGCCGGACGCGAGGTGTCACACACGGCTTGGCGGGGTACTTTGAGTCTACCCTGTACGAGTCGCAGGTCGAGGAAACGCGGGGCGAAAAGGTCGAGATCAGCACGCACCCGGAGCGCATCGATAAGAAGAGCAAGGATATGATCTCGTGGTTCCCCATCTTCTTCCCTCTCAACGTAAGTGAAGGCCCATACCTTGTGGGAGCGATTTACACTGACATTGGCTGTTGCAGCAACCGCTTTACTTTCCTGCGGACACGGAGCTGGAGGTAAGCATGTGGCGGCAGACGGACGATACGCGCGTGTGGTACGAGTGGCTTGTAGAGGCGTGGACCTGGGTGGGTGAGAATAGCCGCGTCAAGGTTGGGTCGTCGGAACTGTGCAGCAGCCGCAAGATGGCATGTCTGATGTAGGGCCCGATTGCGGACGACGACGGAGATGATTTCTACAGAGGAAACGAGTAGGAAACAGGAGCCGTCACGAGGCGAACAGAAAGATGCGAGACAGCAGAGAAGACTATTCATATTGTTGATCAGGAGTATATTCACGCAGCCCGGGCGGCCTCTGCATAAGCAAACTCAACGCACCCATGCTGTGATGGTGCCTAGTTAGCTGACCACGAGGAGGGAAAGTGGCAGAAGAGGGGAACAGCGCAAGGATGGGGCTGCATTGGCTCGTTGAAATGCATTCGTTCTTACGCATATAAAATCGATGAGAATGCGCGACACGTAAGTTACCTAGTCTTGTCTGTGTTGACCATGCAAGAACACCCATGTTTAAATGACTGCCAGCCAGCGTAATCTCCATGAGACCAGGAATTGACGGTGGGGATACTGACGATGAACAAAGTCTGCATTGACAAGGGCCAATCTTGGAATACGAGAGATGGAGAGAAGCGACTTCTCGTGCCGAGTGGCGCAGCACTTCTCCCCTGGCGATCGATGTGTTCCCACCATTTTCTACGTGCCGAGTGATTGTCAGATCCTCAAATCAGAGATTCACAGTCTCTCGCTCTCAATATTGGGCCTATAAGCATACTAATTCTTGAACAAACTTTTCCACTGAGGGACCAGTGGTAGTCGTGGTTAATAGTAGAACAACGAACGTATTGGTCCAGGCGATCGTACGGAAACCAGGAACATCGCTCGCACGGCCTTTGCGATGTGCCGCGAAGCCGACATGGTGGAGAATGAACGGTGCATTCTTTCGTGTATGCATATATGGAATAAAAACTACTACCTTCTGCTTTTGGTCGGTGGTCCAGGAACGGCCCCCGTATTCAGCGATCTGGGGCTAGTGGTTGATCAGTCTAAATCAACTATCACGAGTCAAGGACATCTTGATTCTACAATTCCTAGGTGCTCGGGGTTCACTTCTATGCAGCAGCTGTTGCTTTTCATGAGAGCTCTTGTCATTTAACGGATCGGCTCATTCTGTAGACTCCCTTCGATTCACTCTGTCAATGTGCGGAGTTTTGCACTTGACCAATGGACTTAAAAAAATAAGCTTCTCGGATGAACAGCACGCTTTTGCCTCTAGTATAGTTAAATGACTGCTTTCGTATTGCTTAAGATCATATGGCGGAATTATGATACCAACGTATAAATAGATATACTGGGTATGTCAGTCGTTCGAGCCGAGCACCTTCTAGATTGGGGTTGTCGGAATGGCATGCAGGAGTAATTGTCGTCAGTGTCTGACGCAAGCAGAAACTCTTTGGAAATGCCCTGATATGTGATGAGAAATTCAGGGCTCTTGTCGTCGTCAGCATACGGAAACCGAGCGTATGCGAAACGGATATAAAGGAAGCCGTGGTCACCACTCATCTTCAACTACTCGGCAGCCAACAATCACACTACGGCCACTTCTACTTGAATTCTTCAACATGATTTCCTCCTTAATACTTGGTTTCGTTCTCTTCACGGGAGCTCTGGCAGCTCCAGCTGGCGAAGGCGGCAGTGGCCAGCCCGCCAGCGCTGCCGTTCATGGCGACTTGACCGTGCCAGTTCTGATTGGCATGAAGCAAAAGAACATTGAGAGCATGATGGACTATGTGATGGAGGTGTAAGTCATCTTCGGTAGCCCCGTGCCTGGTCTCTTGGGTCTGACTCTCAACAGCTCGGATCCCGCGTCTGCCAAGTACGGTCAGCATTACAGCCAAGCCCAGGTCGATGCACTCTTTGCCCCGGATGACCAGGCAATTGCTTCCGTAAAGGACTGGCTTGTCAAGTCCGGAATCGCCGCAAACTCCATCAACCTATCCCGGAACAAGGCGTGGGTCAAGTTCGAGAGCACCGTCAGCACGCTCGAGTCCCTTCTCGCCGTCAACCTGACGGCGCCAAAGAACGCGAAGCGCGACGTGAGCTCCGAGGTCAAGCTGCCACAGCAAATCTCCTCGGTCGTCGAGTTTGTGCTGCCTTCTCTGAATGCCTCGAGCCACGCGACCACTGGGCGCCGGACGAAGAACCGGGGCCGTCCTTCCACCAAGCCGTTTCGCGGCTACTTCGATCCCAGTAAGCAAGGTATATCTGAGTGATGGTGCTTTCACAATCCTGACGTTAGATTCTGTCAACAGATTCTCTGGAGAACTGCAATGAGGTCGTCACCCCTGCCTGCATCAGGACCATGTACAAGATCCCGAAGCCTAGCGGCGCTACACCGGTTGCGAATAATGTGCTTGGCATATTCGAGACGGACGATAATTACTACAACCAGGCCGATATGGACCAGTTCATGTTCACAGTGGCGCAAAACATCTCCGCGAGGGTGAAGCCGATCGAGTACTTTATCAACGGTGCAAAGCTCGACGCAACGCGTGAGAATGCCGGGGACGAATCGAATCTCGACTTCCAAATGACCGTACCGATGATATACCCGCAGCAGACGGCGTTGTATCAGATCGAGTACCCCAAGTATGGGATGGAAGACTTCAACTTCATATTTGCGCAGTTTCAGGACGCATTGATCGGACCGTACTGCAGCGACAACGGGGACCAAGGCAGCGGCGTCGATTGCAGCCAATATCCAGTCCCCAGTGTGCTTTCCGTGTCCTGGGGCTCTCAGGAACCGCTGGAACTGTATTCATATGACGTTAATATTTACAAGGTATGGGATTGCCGGGGGAGGCCCGCTCCTCACCACGAAGCCGCAAAGTAGCCAAGAGACTAATCTCGGCGGCAGCGCATCTGCAATGAATGGGGGAAACTTGCGCTGCAAGGCACCACGGTCGTTGTTGCCTCCGGAGACAATGGCGTGGATGGAAACGGCAACAAAAACTGTAACAACGATCCGCGCTTTCTGGCCGACGGCGCGAGCTCCTGCCCCTACGTCACCTCGGTTGGCGCAACTTACCTGCCTCCCGGCACTTCGGTAGACGGCCCGGAGGTCGCGGTGACCAGCTACGGATCCGGCGGCGGCTTCAGCAACATCTTTGATGCGCCTCCGTGGCAGAAGAATGCGGTTTCGACGTGAGTACCGGAAGCCTCTTCTCTCCCGAAAGCCGCAACCGAGATGCTAACTGCTGGCCGGTAGCTATCTGACGCAGCATGATCCCAAAGTGCCGGAGGCATACTTCAACAAAGCAGGTCGGGCATTCCCAGACATTGCCGCAGTCGGCGACAACGGATTCACTGTTTCTAAAGGCGCTCAGCTGATCGGCGTTGGTACGTCCATGTCTGCGCCCATCATTGCTGGCATCTTCAACCTCATCAACGAGGAGCGCCTCCGAGCCGGGAAAAGCACTCTGGGCTTGGTGAACCCGGCACTGTACAAGGCGCTGGATGAGAAGAAGGCGCTCTTCAACGACATCACCGTTGGATCCAACCCAGGATCCCTCAGTGGGCAATGCCACACGCAAGGCTTCCAGGCGGCGCCTGGTTGGGACCCTGTCACCGGTTTGGGCACGCCCAACTACCCGAAGCTGCGGGACTATTTCATGAGCCTTGGCAAATAGAGAGGACGACTTGTCATGCTTGATACCGTCATGGGTTGGGAATCCTTTCAACAAGGTTCTCGTAGGTAGTTTGTGTTGGATGTTGAATTGGCCAAATGTGTATGCTTAGATAGGGCTTGGGGACTGCAGTAGCTTTTGTAAGAAAGAGAGCTAGCGATCTTACGAACCCCTTGTTCCATAGCCGAGTTCTCTATGCTGGAGATATGTACGTCCACACACCAGCGAATAGTTCGGTACGTATTTCCGGCTGGGGTAACCCTGGCACACCCGTCCGAGGACGATCTGGAAGCTGGTAACGTAATTGAGGCGCAAACTGTGTAGCCACTGGGGATACAGTATGATTCATAATTAGTCCAAGGCACATCACTCGCTAGCTCTGCACTCTTCGTAATGGCTGTAAGCTGATGTGGAGTCTGGTTTGGTTTGGTTGGTGGCAGTTGGCAGATTAGCAGGAGCGGAGAGCGGCGCCTCCCCAGCGATTTACAGCGATGCCGAGCAGCCGGGAAACACCGGGACAAATTATCGCCACAGCGGGCGTTCAGTGAGAACAGCGCGGCGACAGGGGAGCTTCAGTGGTTGCCCCGGTACCGGAACCCGCTGAAACCGCTGGAAACTTCCCCTACGGCGATAAACCTTTAGGCCATTTACCTGGACTAAAACATCTCTTTATTGTTATTACTGTCATCTGCGCTGCATCGACAATCCTCGAGTCCGGGCCTCAATCGGACGTCAATCGGGGACTCGCGACTCGTCATTGACCAGAAATTCATCCTATCAGCGCTGCTACCCTCGCCACAAGCCGCGCCGTCTTGGTCGAGTTTCTCCCATTCGCCTCTTCAAAATGGCGTCCTCACGCGTCCCCTTACTACCTAGAAGAAGCCCAGCGCTCCTCCGGTCGGTAATGGTGGACGGGATGCCCCGCAGCCGCCGCTCGTCCACTTCTTCTTACCCCTCCAACGCCGCCAGAATAATAGCTTCAACCCCCGGCACTCTTTTACCTCGTCCCTCCTCCTCCATTGCTTTCTCTTCCATACACCAACAGACTTGCAAATCATCCAACATGTCTTCCCAAGCTCCTCACCCCACGCTCCTCATTCCCGGGCCTATTGAGTTTGACGATGCTGTGCTCCAGTCCATGAGCCACTACAGGTACGTTCCTGTTGTCTGCCCCGCGCCAACACGCATTGCCGGCAGGCTGCGGTGCATGCTCGCCTCAGCCTTTGCGCCAACTCCGATCCACGATTCTAACCACTCTTTTCTATTTTCCCCGAATCCAGTGAGAGCCACGTCGGTGCTGGCTTCGTCAAGATCTTTGGTGAAACCCTCTCGCTCCTCCGCCAAGTCGTCCGTTCGACCGACCCCAACGCGCAGCCCTTCATCATCAACGGCTCCGGCACCCTCGGCTGGGATCTCGTCGCTGCCAACCTCGTCGAGGCCGGCGAGGACGTCCTTGTTCTCAGCTCCGGATACTTTGGTGATCGCTTCGCCGACTGCCTCACCCAGTATGGCGCCAAGGTGACCAAGCTCGACGGTCCCGTCGGCGGCGTCCCCTCCCCCGCCGAGATTGAAAAGGCGCTCTCCGAGAAGAAGTACAAGCTCGTCACCGCCACCCACGTCGACACCTCTACCGGCGTCCTGTTCGACCTCAAGACCCTCGTCCAGTCCGTCAAGAAGGTCTCGCCCGATACCCTGGTCATTGCCGACGGTGTCTGCAGCGTCGCCTGCGAGGAGCTCGCCTTTGATGACTGGGGGCTGGACGGTGTCATCACCGCCGGCCAAAAGGCTATTGGTGCCCCCGCTGGTCTGTCCATTTCCTTCTTCAGCGCCCGTGCCGTCGAGGTCGCCCACAACCGCAAGATTCCCGCTGCGGCCTACTTTGCCAACATGAAGAACTGGACTCCTAGTAAGCAGAGCGATAGCCGTTAACGCGCATAGATGAACAACGGACTAATGACGGAAACGCAGTCATGAAGAACTATGAGGCTGGAAAGCCCTCTTACTTCTCCACCCCCTCTCCTCAGCTGATTCACGCGCTCAACACTGCTTTCAAGCAGCTTCTGGCCAACGGCATCGAGAAGCGCATCGCCAAGCATGTCGAGGTGTCCGATTACGTCAAGGAGTCCATTGCCAAGCTTGGCCTTAAGCCGGTCGCCAGCAAGAAGGAGGACCAGTCGCACGCCATGACAGCCATCTACCTGCCTGAGGGTGTGGGCGCTACTGATGTCCTGCCCAAACTGCTGAGCAAGGGTGTCATTTTTGCCGCTGGCCTGCATGCCACCATTGGCCCCAAGTACATTCGCTTCGGCCACATGGGCATTTCTGCTGTATGTCGAGAGCTCATTCGTTCCGTTCCGTTTGCGTTACTAACACGGGGTTTGCTAGGTCAACTCTAACCGCGGTGACATCGACAAGGCGCTTAACGCTCTCAAGGAGTCGCTGGGTGAGTGCGGTTACAAGGCTTAGATGGCCGAGCTTCCGTTGCGGGGAAAAATCACAGTTCGATGCGAGTACGTCAAGATAGATCGGATACCGTCTGACTGTACGAAGTATATACTAGAAGAAAGCAAATGAAAAAAAAAACAATAAAATTGAATGCAATGGGACAGTCGACAGGGTTACAGTGAGATGATGGTTCACAGTACTCATGTACTACCAATCAATAATTCAAGGCCGAGATGTTGCTCGTTTCAAAGTCGACTTGGGGTAGTGCAGCTCATTTCAGCTCTAAGAGGTTTGACCGGCTGAGATTAAAGAGTTTACGGGTAAGATTGTGTCTTGTGACAGCTTCCGATGAGTAGCAAACAGCCTTTAAGAGAAACAAAGGAGAGGATTCTGATCCATGGACACGATGACAGATGGCAAAGCGGTTTGCAAGGTGGGGTTTGTCGCGGGTAGCGGGTAACTCGCAGTGACGAAGTTGGGAATTGGAAATATGCAGGTAGCGATACCTGCGCCGTTGTGGCGCTGGCAAAGTCGTTGGGGGCGCAAAGTGTGGCGGAGCGGGCATATTGGTGCGGCAACGGGGGCTAATTAGGCACAAGCGGTGACCAGGTCGCGAGCCCCGCCTTCTGGTCGCTAAGTACCTGTACCTTCAGACCTCCCTCTGGGTTCCTGTTGCGATGCGATGTGGTGGGTGGCTGACAAAAGGGAATTTGACGAGCAGTTTGATCTCAGTACCGACGCGGGCAACAAGTGCTCCAATCTATATTGATATCATAAGTCATGCAAGACAATCAACTATCGAACGTAGTCAAAGAATCCAGTCCAGGATATGCAATTTTACCATGCCTTTCAAAGAAAAGTACCGCGGCCGTGCCGGTGATAACCAGAACTCTGATGAAAGCAACCTGCAACCCCGCTTCCCGTCCCGCTGGGCTGGTCTCCCGCCCGCCAAATTTACAGCGAAGGTGGTTCCTTTTTTCTGCTTCAACCCGCCGAGCCGCTCGCTACCTCCTACCAGGCACCTTTCTTCTCCTCCACCTTCATCTCTCTCTCACCTCTTTTTCTCTTCCCCTCCTCCCTTGGCTTCTTGACGACTTCACCGGCTTTCCAAGCAGCGAGTGCCGCCCTTCTACTCTTCTCGCGCAAATTTTCCAAAGACAACACCGCACCCGCAACAGCAGTACTGTCGTCACCACTCTTGCGCTGTGCCGTCGCCGGCTTTTACTGCTGCTGCGTCCGAAGCTGTTGACTTCCCCCAAGTCTCTCGCCTTCAACCCACCCACCACCACCACACCTACAACACGCAACCACCCCGCTCGCGCCCGCCTCCTTCAGCATGGCTATCAGCATTGAGGAGCTCGACACCACCGTCCGCACCTTTTATGAAGGTCGCGGCGAGCAGGTACGCATTCTTTCTGCCGTTAAGCCTTTTCCTTGCAGCTTTTCGGCACCAGTTCTCCTACAAATCCTCTTGTTTGCTTTGCGTTGCTGGTTACTGACCTCACCCGCTACCAACAGCATAAAGCCGCGCAGAATGCCTTGAACCAGGTCAGTCCACTCTGCCCGTAACGGGCCCGATCGAAAGCGCTCACCGCCGCGCTCGTTCTGAGACGCAGAAACTGACTTTTTTGGCCTTGTAGTTCAAGGAAGACCCCGATGCCTGGCTCATGGTCGACAAAATTCTGTCCGATGCCCAGTACCCGCAGACGAAATGTGCGTCCCCTCACTCCCATCCGGCCGTTCCTACACCACCCCGCACGACGACAAATGCTAATTACATCCGCAGACCTTGGTCTACAGGTACTCGATAATGTCATTCTAACGCGATGGAAGGTTCTTCCCCGCGACCAGTGCCAAGGTATGTTACTACACCCGCCCTTGCTCTCGGTGCATGACCTGTACACTAACTCTACTAGGCATCCGCAACTTCATTGTGCAATTCATCATACAGTCCTCTAGCACAGAGGAGTCTTTGCAGGCCAACAAGACGCTCCTCAACAAGCTCAACCTCGTCCTCATCTCCGTACTCAAGCAAGAATGGCCCCACAACTGGCCGACCTTCATCAACGAAATCATCTCGTCCTGCCACTCCAGTCTGTCGATTTGCGAAAACAACATGATCATCCTGCGTTTGCTCTCGGAAGAAGTCTTCGACTACTCTGCCGAGCAGATGACCTCGGCCAAGACGCGAAGCATGAAGCAGACTATGTGCTCCGAGTTCTCGCAGATCTTCCAGCTATGCCAGGAAGTCCTCAACACGGCCGACCAGCCCAGCCTCATCATGTCTACTCTTCAGACCCTGCTTGCCTTTTGCAACTGGATCCCCCTCGGCTACATCTTCGAGACGCCCCTCATCGAAACACTGCGAACTCGTTTCCTGCCGACCCCGGAGTTCCGCAATGTCACGTTGCAGTGCCTGACTGAGATTGGTGGTTTGCAGACGGGCAGCCCTGGTCAGCCCAACTCATATGACGAGCAGCTTGTGAAGATGTTCACGGAAGTCCTGACTACCATCGCCGAAATTATCCCCATGAGCCTCGACCTCAAGTCCACATACCCCAGCAGCAATTCGAGAGATCAGCAATTCATACAGAACCTTGCCCTGTTCCTTAGCAACTTTTTCGGGGCCCATCTCAACGTACGTTTCTCTACCCCGCCCCCGCAGCATCTTCTTCAGCTAACCACCTACCCCAGCTCATTGAGAAACTTCCCAACCGCGATTATCTGCTACACGGACACTACTACCTCGTCAGAATATCACAAATTGACGACCGCGAAATTTTCAAAATTTGTCTCGACTACTGGCTGAAGCTTGTTCAGGAGCTCTATGAGGAGATGCAGCAGCTACCCATGACTGACCTGAACCCTCTTCTCGCTGTTGGTGGTGGCATCTCTGGCGGCGGCGCGCCCAACCCTTCGCTTCTCACCAACTACCCTCTCCGCAAACACAAGTACAACGAAGTGCTGTCGAACCTGCGAGTTGTCATGATTGAGAAGATGGTCCGTCCCGAAGAAGTCCTGATTGTCGAAAACGATGAAGGTGAAATTGTTCGTGAATTCGTAAAGGAGAGCGACACTGTTCAATTGTACAAGACAATCCGCGAGTGTCTCGTCTATCTTACTCACTTGGATGTGGTTGACACCGAAAACATCATGACCGACAAATTGGCGCGCCAGGTTGACGGCACCGAGTGGTCGTGGCACAACTGCAACGTTCTTTGCTGGGCTATTGGCTCCATTTCGCTTGCCATGAACGAAGAGACTGAGAAGCGGTTTCTCGTCACTGTTATTAAGGACCTCCTTGGACTTACTGAGATGAAGCGTGGAAAAGACAACAAAGCCGTTGTCGCCAGTAATATCATGTATATTGTTGGCCAGTACCCTCGCTTCCTCAAGGCCCACTGGAAGTTCCTTAAGACGGTCGTTAACAAGTTATTCGAGTTTATGCACGAGTCCCATGAGGGTGTCCAGGACATGGCGTGCGATACCTTTATCAAGATTGCGCGACAGTGTAGACGCCACTTTGTCGCTCTTCAGCCCATGGAGCAGGAGCCATTCATCGAAGAGATCGTCCGTAACATGGGCCGCATCACCTGTGATCTGACTCCTCAGCAAGTGCACACCTTCTACGAGGCCTGCGGCTACATGGTCGCCGCTCAAGGGAACAAGAATCAGCAGGAGCGCCTGCTTGCTGATTTAATGAACATTCCCAACGCCGCCTGGGACGAGATCATCAAGCAGGCTACTATGAACCCTTCGATTCTTCAGGACTCAGAAACCATCAAGGTCATTGGTAACATTATGAAAACCAACGTATCGGCGTGCACGTCCATCGGCCCATACTTTTACCCCCAGATCGGCCGCATCTACCACGACATGCTGCAAATGTACCGCGCCACGAGTACATTAATATCTGAAGCCGTCCAGCGCGATGGCGAGCTCGCAACCAAGATGCCCAAGGTTCGCGGTCTCCGCACAATCAAGAAGGAGATTCTCAAGCTCGTTGAGACTTATATAGACAAGGCCGAGGATCTGCAAGCTGTCCGTGCGCAGATGGTTCCGCCACTACTTGACTCTGTCTTGGTCGACTATAACCGCAATGTTGCCGGTGCTCGCGATGCGGAGGTGCTCAAGGCTATGTCCGTTGTGATTACGAAACTCTCCAACCTTATGGAGGATCAGGTTCCGACCATCATGGAGAACGTTTTCGAATGCACTCTGGAAATGATCAACAAGGACTTTTCCGAATTCCCCGAGCACCGTGTCGAGTTCTTTAACCTCCTCCGCGCCATTAACTTACATTGCTTCCCAGCTCTGCTCAAACTTGACAACAACCAGTTCAAGTTTGTGATTGACTCTTGCTCCTGGGCTTTCAAGCACGACAACCGCGACGTGGAAGCTGCCGGCCTCAACATGTGCTTGGAGCTTATTACCAACATTGCCGAGAAGACGGATAGCGCCACTGCGAATGCTTTCTTCCAGCGTTTCTTTGTTGCGATTCTGCAGGACGTTCTATTCGTTGTCACCGATAATGACCACAAAGCTGGCTTCAAGACGCAGTCGATGCTGCTGATGAAGCTATTTTACTACATCCTACCTGGTGATGGCAGCCAGCCCAAGATCCAAGGGCCCATCTACACCGAGGGCCAGGCTCAGGCGGGAACCAGCAACCGAGACTTCTTGGGTGTCTCGGTTTCGGAACTGCTGCAGAGGGCATTCCCCAACCTGCAAGCGTAAGTGCAACGAGAATTTTACCAGGAAGGCCGATGCTAACGTTTGTACAGCGCTCAGATTACAAACTTTGTAGAGGGTCTGTTCAGCCTAAACACGCAGTACGATAAGTTCCGTCTGAACCTGCGCGACTTCCTCATCTCTCTAAAGGAGTTTGCCGGCGACAATGCCGAGCTCTTCATCGTCGAAAAGGAACAACAAGAACGCGACGCCAAGGCGGCCGACATGGAGAGACGGCAAAAGGTTGGCGGTCTGCTGAAGCCGTCGGAGCTTGACGACGAAGAGCTATGACTGGGTGAAGAATTCAGGTCCGAGTATGCCCCGAAGCGAGACGCTACGACGGTCGATGAGGGCGCGCAGGACGGAGACGGCTGGGAGTTTTATGGACTTTGAGGCGTACAAAGACAGGAGGTCGACACGGCCAACATGATGACCCGTTATTTTTTGTCTCACCGCGTGGTGCTTTGCACATGCTTTCTTGTTGTTGTTTCTTTTCTCCTTTCTCTAATTTCGTTTATAGTTGTGATGATACCGACAAGGGCAAAAAAGATTTTGATTTTTAGTCTCTACGGCAGAAGAGTTGTGCCTGCAAGAGGGAAGAGGGACGATGACTGGGGTACACCTACCTACTCGACTGAGGGCAGTGCTTATGCAACCGCTTTTTCTTTCCTTGCCCTGATATTTGCCCCTTCGCAGATGAGAGATGTAGAGTAGCAGCAGCAATAGGAATAGGATACGTCGAGAGCGAGAGAGGGCGGGAGGCTAGAATGGAAAAAAAGCGGTTGGGACGTGGGAGATGTAGATGCCTCTTTAGTATAAAGATACACAAAATAAAAAAGAATCCACTTAAAGTGAGTAAAACTGCGTCTTAGAATGGACGTGTAGATTCGTGAAATGCTAGGTGTTGATACATGGTATATAGCAAAGAAATGTATGTACAAAAAAGGCAACGCCTTATTCCTCCCTCTTAAGCCGAAGATGGACAAACGGCAGCTAGCAGTCTTCCGTATCGACGACCTGCAGGGGCCAGGCCATGGCGTCGCGCCAGAAGGAGCCAATGTGGTTGGCAATGGCCTTGATCATGCAGGCACCCGAGTTTTGAAAGATCCAAAAGTGGCGGCAGCGGTGGAGGAGGACGGCAAAGTAAGAGAGGATGATGAGGGCCTCGGGGCGATGCTTTCGTAGGACGTCGACAAACTCGGCGCCAACAATGACGGAAAAGGCGGAGACGGCGTGCTGACCACTGTCCGGGGGTAGATTGTTGCAGAGGTCGAAGGCCCACTGGAGCTTCTCGACGGCGGTGCGGCAGGCGTCGAGGCTGGCGGGGGCAAGGTCGGAACGGGCGAGGAGGTCGGAGAGGGGCGCACACTCGCGGCCGCGGGCGACGATGCCGAGGTTGGCCTCGTGCGTGACCTGCAACAGGGGTCGGAGCTCCGAGTCGGAGAGGAAGCGCCAGGTCGGATAGATGACGGCGCGGATGCCGCGGTAGAGGTTGAAGCAGTCAACGAAACGGTCGATGAAGCCGTGAAAGTCGGCGTTGGCGGCACGCAGCTCGGCGAGGGAGTCGGCGAGGGCGTGCATGGAGAGGGTGGAGGAGAAGAGAAAGCGCGGGATGCACGAAGCCGTGTCGTCTGGGGGCAGATGGGCGGTCAGGCGCGTAAAGTTGGCGACGGCGCGGGTCTGTAGTTCAGTGGCCTGGTGCCGCAGGTTGGCAACGGCGGGGTTGGTGGCGGCGATGGCGGCGGCTGTGGTGGTGAGGAGGGAGGGCAGCGGCGCGGAGGAGGAGGAGGCGGGCGATGATGTCGACGATGGGGAGCCATGCGGGGGGAGGAGAGGCGGCAGTACGGTTGGGGCATGAAGGGACGACGATCCAGGAGTGTTGGCAGCACTGCTGCTACTACCGTTACCGTCTTGGGCCTGGGTTTGGTGTTGGTTTTGTTGTTGTTGCTGCTGCTGGAGTAGCTGGTTCTCCTTTTGCGTTGCCATGTGCACGGCGGCGAGAGCCAGCAACTCGTTGATGAGGTACGGGGCGTCAACTGCGTGGCGCATGGCAATGTCGATGAACTGCTGAAAGTGATTGTTCGTGTTGATGGTTGGGTCCGGCAGCATGACGGTTTGGATGTGGTGCATGAGCTGCAGGTGAAAGGGTGTGAAGAGTGAGGCCGAGGCGGATGGATCTGGATCGAGGCCGGGTGCCGGGCTTAGGGGCGCCGTGTTACCGTTCAAGGCGCTGCTGCCGGCCGTGTTTGGGTAGTAGGTGTAGTTGCTCCGGCGGAAGTCGCCCGGAGTGGTACTGGGGTGCGGGAGCGGGCCACAGACCTCGTCAAAGGAAAAGTCGCGACGGGGTGAAGGGGTATTGGCTGTAGCGTTGCCGGCACGGGGACTAGGAAGGTGGTGACTGCTGGGCGGCGTGGGGGCGGCGACACTGTGGTGACGATGAGAGCCGTTGCTCGTCGCTGCAGAGATATTGGATACCCCGCCGCCGTTCGGCGTGGAAGCGGCCGGGACGGCGGCCGAACCACGCGGGAAGACGCATGTGCGGTCGGCGCTGACGCAGTTGGAGCACAGAGGACGGTGCTCGTCGCAGCGGATATGGCGGCGCTTGCACTCCGTGCATCCGTTGCGCGACTTGCGATGGGAGCGGCGTGTTTTGTTGGCAGCGGCAGCAGCAGCGGCGGCGGCATCAGCGGAAGATGCCTGCGCAACTGATGATGATGAACTGGCGGCTGGGACGGATGGCGCTGTTCTCGAATCAACAGCGGCGGCAGTGGCGGCCAGACTGTGATGAGGCATGTCTTTTTAACCGGACAGCTCGCAATAAATGGGCGTGATGGCTGCAGATGGTGATTTCAAATTATCAATGGCTTGTAACGGGAGCGTCAGGCGTAAAATAAGATGTCCGTTGTTGACGAGTCATCATTAAGGTTGAGTTGGTTTTTCCCCCACCGTTTGGGGTCACTTCTGGGGGCACCCGAGCGTGAGCGGAGATTGGACGGTAGCGGTCGGGGCGAGCGAGTTGAGTGATAGATGATGAGTATTGTCTTGCTGCGATCGGGTGGTTTTTCGTTTGGGATTGTAGAGAAATGTGGAATGACGTAGATAGATTCAGTTGGAGGAGTAGGAATCAGCTGGTGATGGAAGGTGGAAGGAGCAAACGCAGAAACTACCGATCCCCCCGTACGCGGGATCTACTGTTAGCCTGGGCTGGATACAACGAGGATGTTCGTATTCGTAGCAGCAAAAATCATCGAAGACGTGCCTGATTGAGGTAGCTAGTATAATGAATAAGTTTGAAAAAAAAAAAAAAAAACAAGGAGAAAACAGAGGTCAAGTTCGGCTGATTCGGTTGATTGGGTTGGCTAACTGTCCGTCAGCTGAGCGCACCAATAGCATCAATTTTCTCCTCTTCCCCTTCTTCATCTGGATAGTTTCCCCTCTGGGCGTCCACCCTTTGGCGCTTCGTTTGTCTCAGCCAACAGCATTGACAGGAAGGAACTCCGCCTCCAAACACCACATAATGCCCGCTTTCCCGCGGCGGACTCCATCAAGAACCCGTCCTCATTCGTCTTGCGCCCTGCTTCGCCCCCTCCCGCCTCTCACCACCAAACGGGCATCATCATCAAGCTAGTGCGCCGAGTCTTATTTTTGGGTCGGGCCTCATCCCAATCCGGTCAATCCGACCGATCATATCTTGCAACTGCCGCCACGGAAACAAGACAGTCCTCCGAACCCCGTCATCCGGAACTGTCAGGGCAACACGCCGGTTCATCATGGGATATCCTTGTTTTGCGTGGTGGAGGGGGGCCAGGAGCAAATCATGCGATCCAAAACTCCGCAACAATTAGTTGACCCTTCAAAGTGTGCAAAGGACTAGGTGCAACCTAATGATGTAAACGTATGGATTCTATACCTGATCTTTTTTACAACAATGAAAAACCAACAATACGGTGCGATCAAACCCAACGCCTATGCAAACGCCCGCATCGGTCCCATTCCTGCTCTACTTTTGCAGTCCCCGCGAGGAAAAGTGAGACGCATCCTCGCCTCCCGAGTCCAACCGCACGCTTGAGTCGTTGACGCCGCCGCCCATGCGCATGCTGCCGGCACCCTCGACGCTCTCCCACGCGGCCGGCGGCGGCGTCAACCGCCCCGGGTACCACCACACGAAGACGGCCATGGTCAGCACCATCAGCAGCGCGTCAAACACGTACAGCGTCCACTCGTGCGTTAGCAGGTAGCCCCCCTTGCCCATGACGTACTCGACCACGCGGAACACGGACCGCACCATGATGAGCACGCTGACCACGTACATCATGCATAGGATGCGCTGCCACGGGACCCCACCGTTGCCGCTGCCGCCCCTCGACGCCGCCGATGGCCAGCGCCGCATCCTGACGTGAAAGATGATGGCCGTTACGGAAAACAGCCCGAACAACACGATCTGGATCAGGAGGCCGGCCAGGATGATGTTCTGCGCCGTCGTCCTGGAGAAGCTCGCCGACGCCATCAGGCCGCCGCCGGCCGACTGCACCAGGAAGGAGCAGATGTCGCCAAGCACGAAGACAAGAGTTAGCCACCGTGGGCGGATCACCAGGTGCCGCTCGCCGTGCACGCTGCGCGCCAGCCGGCTCAGCACCATGTACACGGACGCGGCGAAGAGCGCGGGGGCGACTAGGATGGAGACGGTCTGCAGGATGAAGAGGATCAGATTGTCCGTCTTGTCGGGGGCGGCGGCGCGGGCGACGTAACCTATGAACTCGACTGTGGCGGACGGACGTTAGTGGACGTTGGGCGGAGAAAGCGGGAGAGGGAGAGGGAACGCACATAATCCGCCGATGGCAAAGGGAATGGAAAAGCGTGTTCGCGTGGATATGCTACGCCATACGACGCCTGATGTGAGAAGGCCGAACAGCACCACGGCCACAATGGCCGCTGGCATCGACGGGACATAGTCCCAGAGGTAGTAGGTGCCGCCCTTGTAGGGCTTGAGTTCCGGCATCGTGGCTCCTTCGTTTTCAGTCCGGGTTTTCAGTCCGGAAATAAATCCGTGTACGAAAAGTAGTGATGTGAAGGCAAGACCGGGTCCAGGTAAACGAGAGTTCGTTAATTGACGATTGAAAAGAACAGCTTCAGTGTAAGTCAACGTCCCGCCTCATCCCTTATGTACTCGAACTTTGTATCAGAAAAGAAAAAGACAAAGTCAGGGTATACACGTCAACAACACTTGAAGAGAACATTTACAACCCATCTTCCCACATCGCGCGAACTCTGGCTGCCACAATCTCAGGCACCGACTGGTGAACACGCGAGTTGCGGCGGATCTAGCGTCCGTGGGAGCGATACCGAGGAACAAGTCCGTCATTTCTAGCCTATCAGCAATTGAGAAGATGCTTCAATACGCGTATGCTGTTAAAAATAGTTTAGTTCGCTGACCCGCCCACCCGTCAGCCGCACCGGAATACGCGCATCTTTCTTCAAACCTTGATTGCCCACGTTTTATTATCTGGACTGGAAAGGCCCGTGTTGGTGACGGTATGTGGGAGGGTAACACGTATGCAAATGCGAAAAGAAGAAGCAATCCGAGCGTTTCAGGAAACCGAGCGCCGTCGATAGGATTTAGGGCTGATGCTGCGCCGCGTTGGTGACCCTCTCTCCGCCTTGCAAGCTGCCTTTCGACGACCCCAATCACCATCAGCACCGCGTCAGTGCAAGGCTGTGCACCAGGCAGGCTCGAAATACTCAATGACTGGCCATGGCGGTCGCGCATCTCGCCCCCATCTCCATCATATAGACAGACAATCTCCCGAGACTATGCAGTGTCAGGTGGCGGGTGTCAATATGTATTTGTTCCCTACAAGGTATCTTAGCTATGCCTAGGACGGGTGAGATACCTATGTACAATGCCTGAGAGTGGTGAGATAGCCAAGCCTCTAAGGAGGTCCAAAACAATACCCCCGACCAGGCTGGCTTGGTCCGACACTTGTTGGTCCATTGTTGGACCCGAGACAAGTTCCCCCACATCTTACCCGGAAATTCCATCATTGGTCAAGGTCGCAAGCCACAAGACCGCGGGTATTGTTCGCGGCCGAGATTCTCCTGCCAATTATAGAAGCCAATTTCACTTTTGTGAAAGGGATAGAGCACATGGATAGGGATCTAGACATTGGGGTAACGGGGTACCATGGGGGACGTGACATTTCGACTTCACCAAGGCGTGCCGCCGGTCATGGGTATATACACATTTACACATCTTCATATACATTTGCTCAGTCATCAAACCCCTCAAACGAGTCCTCCTTGTCCTCGGTCCGCACCGCCTTTTCCGCCTCCCTCTTGGCGCGGTTCTGCTCGCGCACCTGGCGGATCAGGTCCTGCAGCTCCGCGTCCTGCGAGCGCTCCTCCGTCGTCATATTGGCCGCGCGCTCCGCATCGCGCTTCTTCCGGCGCTTCTCCTTGCGCTCCTCGCGCACCTCGGCCTGCTCCGCGCGCCCGCTCCACGCCGCGTTGTTCTTGCGCTTCTTCGCCCTCTCCTCTGCTGCCTTCTCTGCGGCCGCGCCGCTGCGCTCCTCGGCCAGCGCCTCCTGGCGCGCCTTCTCCCGCGCCCGGTCCTTGTACGCGAACGCGTCCCAGTCGACGCCGGTCACGCCCAGCGTCTTGTCGCCTTCCCACTTCTTCAGCTCGGGCATGCGCGGCAGCCGCAGCAGGCCCCAGGCGGCGCCGAGGTCCGCCCAGTCGAGGTCTGCGGTGCGGAAGATGGACGTCGCCTGGTGGCCGCTGTAGCTGCGCACCCAGCTGACAAAGGCCCGCTGCGCCTTGTCGTGGACGGCGCGGTCGTCGCGCAGCAGCTCGCGGAACCGCTCGGTCGCGGCCTGCGCGTCCGACGCGGAGACGGAGACGTCGGGCCGCGTGAGCGGCTGGATGGGCGTTCGGCGCACGTCGAGGAAGCGCACGTAGTCCTCCTCGCGGCCCGGGTGCAGCATGACGACGGCGAGGCCCTTGCGCCCGGCGCGACCGGCGCGACCGCACCGGTGGATGAAGACTTTCGGGTCTGAGGGGGCGTCGACCTGCACGACGAGGTCGACCTGGGGGATATCGAGACCGCGCGCGGCCAGATCGGTAGTCAGAAGCAGCGTTGGGGAGACGGAAGTGAGGAACTTTTTAAAATTCTTTTCGCGGACGTTGGCTGGGTGTTTGCCGTGTAGCGGTACTAATGATATGCCGTCGGGAAGGATCGTGGGTAGTGTATGTTGAAAGTAGTCGACGGCGGCGCATGTGGACAGGAACACGATGCTTCTTTGCGGCGTGATGGGTAACTTTCGTAGTAATTGCGCCAGGGCCGGCAGCTTGTGACTGGCAGGCTGTACCATGTAGGTCATTTGCAGGCTGGCCGGCGTCCTGCGATCCTCGAGCACGCCGCCGTCCTTCATCTTGACCTTGACCTCGATCTTGACGGGATTCCGCAGGCCGACGCGGATGATTTCGCTGACGGCCTCGCTGACGCTGGCGCTGAAGAGGCCGGTACGGCGCTGCTTGGGGAGATGGGTGAGAATGTTTTGCAGGTCCTGCTTGAAGCCGAGGTCGAGTAGGCGGTCGGCCTCGTCGAGAACGAGCGACTCAAAGGTAGATTGCGGGCAGTGGACGTGCGGCGACGAGAGCAGCTCGACCAGGCGGCCGGGCGAGGCGATGAGGAGGTTGGGGCTGTGGCGCATGAAGTAACCGAGATCCTGGGCGGGCGTGGTGGTGCCGCCGACGAGCAGCTGGGGCACAACGACGGGCGCGGCGGTGGCGGGCCGCTTCTCGTCGTCCTGGGCGAGGTACGGCAGGAGCTCGGCTGAGGGCGGGTGGAACGCGAGGAGGGAGAGAAGGACGGTATGTATCTGCGCGGCGAGCTCACGAGTCGGGGAGACGATGATGGCGCCGACGTGGTGCCGCTTCGTGGGTTCCTCTTGTCGGAGGAGGCGTTGGACGACGGGAAGCAGGAAGGCGAGGGTCTTGCCGGAGCCGGTGACGGCCTAGAAGAACAATTAGCGTTGACGTGATGGGATGTGAGGTTGATCAGGTTTCCGTGCTATACCTCGACGACGACGTCCTTGTTTCCGAGAAAGTGCGGCATGGTGGCGGCCTGCACCGGCGTCATGCGCGCAAAGCCCATGGCCGCCACGGCTTCTAGGACCCAGGGCGAGAGGGCGGGCGACAGGCTGTCCCACGCTCGAGGGTCCTTCTTGGGTTGCACCTTGCCGGGAGCCATATTGAGTCCCGGTTCCCGACCAGAAGAAGACTTAGTTTTGAGGAAAAAAAGGAGAGCAGAGTCTTGGTAGAGGTGATTTGGTCTACCGGTCGGTCTATCAAAAAAAAAAGTTGGCGGGCAGCGTTGATCTTGAAAATCTTTATCTTATCAACACGTGCGGGTCAAGACATGGTATGTAGTACCTATGTACCTGCAGGGCAGGCCCTGGAATACAGGGGGCTATGGTCGTGTGAATGCTCACGAGGGCAGCAATACCTGAAGTTTACAAGCACTTGAAAGGAGTTGACGTACGTAAAAGGAATACTCCAGCCTTGACTCTATGTTCTTGATTATTGCAGGTCTGGAAGAATGAAGCGGCAGCACTCGTGATGATATACTAGACGATGCCAATGCGTGGGAGAGCGGGCGCTTATTAGGTACTTATTACCTGGTCCCTGGCTTCTGACGTAGTAGGTAGCACATTGATGGATGAGCAGACGTAGAACAACCTATCAACTTCTTAGCAATGCCAACGATAATTCATTTCAAATAGGAGAGAAACTTGACACATTGCATTCCCAACATTCCTGCTGTCACATGGTCCTCAACCCCGGTCAGAGGCTGGGCGCCTGCGGGTCTCACCGTCATCCGGTACCTTCGGAGCGCAGCCCAAGACAGGATTGGGATTAGGGGAAAACCTTTACATGCACCAAAAGTCTGCCTCTCCACAAACTCATTCAACCTTTTTTCTTTGAGCTGTTCATCCCACTGCGCCATCAAGATTTTTAGTCTTGGCGATACCTGACCGTGACCGTTGTCGAATCTTGCCTATCCAACGTTCTTCTACACCTTCCATCCCCGCCGCGGAATGCAGTAGAGGTGGTTTCCTTTACCGCAAACCCCGGCCCTCCCCACGTTCAACTCTGGCGCCCATCACCGTCTACAATACCACGACCATCACGCCTTTGCTTAGTCCAGATACGATATCTCATCACGCGACGGCACCGCCTTGGTCACTCTACGGCTTGCGCTCCCACGACGTCCGCAACGCGTGCTCGCCTCCCAAAAACAACAAGGGCGTCGTAGCCGCCGACCTCGCCTCAATCGCCAGCCCGCTCATTTGGCCTTCAACCTTTCCTTCGCTGCGACGCATCCTCGCTGGCCCTCTCACCTGCTCACCCCTGCCCCCGATAGAATTCACCATGTCGCTCCGCCGCAAAGCCGCCGCGTCGGCGTCCACCAGCACGCCAACGCCACGCGTGGCCGACCCCTCTGACGAGGTTGAGGAAGAGTACACAGGGCCACGCACCCGCTCCGGCGCGCGCCGCCGTCACACACCGCAGGCCTCGTCGCAGAAGACTACCCAAGACTCATCCTCCTCCGACGCCGAGAATACGCCCGGCAAGCGCAAGTCGCGCACGCGCAGCCGGTCGCCCGTCGACGGCAACAAGCTCGCCGCCATGACGCCGCGCATCGCCGAACCCACGACATCGACCACGCCGCCCAACGGCCACCACAAGCTGCCCGCGACGGCAACGACGGACGGCCCCGCGCAAATCAACGGGAGCTTCCTCGCGCCACCGACGGCCGGGGGGTGGAACTGGCGCGACCTGAGCCGCAGCCCGAGCCCGCTGGGGCTGATCCCGATCCACCGTCACTTCAAGACGTTTGTGCACAAGCACGAGGTACCGCGCAAGGCGCTGCACGTGTCCATCGGCTTCGTCGTCGTCTGGCTGTACACGACGGGCACGCGGACGAGCTCGGTGCCACCGTACCTGATGGCCGCGCTGGTGCCCATCGCGGCGACGGACGCGCTGCGGCACCGCTTCGCGTCCATCAACCGGCTGTACGTGCGCGCGCTGGGCGCGCTGATGCGCGAGAGCGAGTACGCCGGCTACAACGGCGTCATCTGGTACCTGCTCGGCGCGTGGACCGTGCTGTACGCGCTGCCCAAGGACGTCGGCGTCGTCAGCGTGCTGCTGCTCAGCTGGTGCGACACGGCCGCCAGCACGTTCGGCCGCCTCTGGGGCCGCCACACGCCGCGCCTGCGCCGCGGAAAGTCCCTGGCGGGATCGCTGGCGGCGCTCGCCGTCGGCGTGGCCACCTCGACATTCTTCTACGGCTGGCTCGTGCCGACCGTTGGGCCGATGCCCGGCGACGAGGACTTCATGTTCAAGGGCACCTTGGCGCTGCCCGCCGCGCTCGTTGGCGGCGAGGAGAACCGCGAGGCGTGGTCCGTCACGGGAACGGTCGCGCTGGGCGTCATGTCGCTTGTCTCGGGCGTGGTCGCCTCGGTGAGCGAGGTGGTGGACATTTTCGGCTGGGACGACAACCTGACGATTCCTGTCCTCAGCGGCCTAGGCATCTATGGGTTCCTCAAGGTGTTTGGTTAGACCCCGGGGATTCCTGGTCTCAACCTTTTCCTCCCTTGTTGTCTTTTCTCCTCTTGTTCTTCCCTTCTGTGTACTTTTCTCTTCGTCGTCGAGCAACGTTGCTGCGAAATGTGTTTGGATAACACGGAAACCGTTGTCAAGACGTAATGGTCTCTTTCACTTGTCTCATATTTCCGTCTTGCTTGTCTATTCTTCTTCTTTATTACGAACACTCCACTCGCGATTATGGGGACTTCTATGCAATATCAAATTTGGGCAAGGGGGATGTCTCTGCCCGCTGCATGACCGGCGTTTATGGTTCCTTCCTTTTTCTTTCCCTTGTGGTTTCCATACGCCATGCCAGATACCATTTGCATTAGATAGGAAATGGTGATTCAACTTCAAACCACCGCATCTGTTTCTTTATTTTTTTTTTTTTTTTTTTTTTCCAGTTGTTGTGGTTTTCCGATTGTGAGGCTGATTTAGGGAGCGCCAAGACATACTGACCGAATGGCTAGATTCCCCTCTTGTACGAGACTTCTGTGCTGTGCGCGTCGCATGCAGTCATTGGGATCTTTTATGCCTTCTCACCGCGTCCTGCATGTTGACCGTGCGTCAGCATGGACGTCTGCATGCTGCGAGTTGGCACGATGCCGTACATAGGGACATGGATGGATGGACGGATGGTGATTACACCTCTCCGCGAAGTGGGCAACGGTCCGCCGCATGCCTGACGGGGAAGCGAGGCGCGCATTGCATATACACACCGATTCCGAGGGATCACAGCAACCATTTGGCAAACTCTTTTTTAAATTTTTTTTTTTAAAAAAGAAGAACCGTCCATGTCAGAAATACATGTCAGAAATACCAGCCGCGCGCAGCCCACTACAATGTCATTCTACGAAGCTAATCCTAGACCTTACTATTCGCACGCAGCGCGCCGGCCCCCCATCGACTGATGCCTACCAAGAAATGCACTGGGAGAGCCGCACTGTGAAGGATGAGCTGAAGCCCAAGTGCTGAGCTGTTCTTGCGGTTGGCGTCGTTGCGCTGTTTTGCTGGTACCCAAAAGAAGCTTGGCTGGCAACCCGCACCGAACAGAGACAAAACAACGCATACATACATACATACATACATACATACATACTTGCTCGGGTGGACAAGGCAAGGCCATCCCCATCACCTAGATGCAGCTCATTATCCATTCCATCGCATGGTCGATGAACTGGTAATGCAGGCAATGCTGTCGTGCATTCGCATCCTCCAAGCCACCGCTGGCTGCTTATTTGTTTCCTTGATATCGCCCTCGACCTGTCCGTCTATCTCGACAAGTACTGAGTGCCGAGACTTCAATGCCACAGTTACATGACCAGCTGAGACACAATAGCCTAGGCCCCCTGCTTTTCATGCCCAAGCACTCGAGTGCAATGTCGCTTCGTTGAGGCCTGATTCCCGGGTCCTTGGGAGCGGTGTGCGAGAAAAAAAAGGTGGGCGAACGCTAGTCGGTGCTAGTGATGCGCCGCCTCGGGGTTTTGGTGTGTGTGGTGTGCAAGGATGGCCATGGCAAATATGGTGATGGCAAATTGCGCTGATGATGATGATGAAAGGGATTAAGTGGCAGTGGTTGGGCTGCAACATGATGTCCTTGCTGGTGGTGGTGGTTGTTGTTGCTTCTGCCGTTGGAGAATGGGAGACGTTCCGTGTCGGACACGCAGAGCTTGGACGACCCCTCCGTTCTCTCGTCCACCTGCATAAACTTGCAGCGTTGAGCACATGCATGTCTGTACCATCACTCGAAACTCGTGACAATTTTTACATGTTTGGGGATTACTTGAACAGTTTGCGAGAGACAAACATTGCTGTTAGTTCATGTCCAAGCTGCAATCCACGAGGAGCAGCATCGGAACGAACGAGTCGACGTCACCGGGCGCACTTGGCGGGGGAGGCACAAGTGAATTGGCCAGTCAAGAAAGCGGAAAGGGCCGCAAGTTTGGGACATGGCCAATCATGAGGTCAACAACTGTGCATGGCTAGGGTGTTTGATGCCGGGATCACCGAGCATTGTCCCAATGAGGGGTTGTGGAAAATGGAAAAGAAACCAAGGACCCCGCGGTATTCGTTGGCCCTTTTCACTATTAGCATCACTGATTAGATTAGAGGCGAGGCCTAACAAGGTGTGGTGGTGGTGGAGGGCATGGACAAGGCGGGTGTGGTGCATCGGGCTACGACAGCTCTTCTGCAGGGATTCTGGGGCGTAATTGAGGGCGGGGGGCTGTTTTAGCAGATTGTAAAAGGACATGAAACGACTCGCCCAAGCTGGAAGCTCGCGCGATGTGACGGATGACAGCAACAAGGAGAGGAGGAGGAGGGCATACTGGGCTAGTGTGTGTAGGATGAGGGCGACTGGAATGGGAAGGTTGAATAAGAGGGCGATTAGTCGTTTTCAGGAAGCCATCGATGGGGCTATCTGAGAGAGAAAAGCGCAAGAATTGATATTTCAAGGGGATAGATGGATAGATGGTATACAGTCTTGTTTGCATGGTGGTAAGTTGCCTAGAGCATGCACAACTTGGTGCATATACCAGAATCGGCTCTGTCATCCAGGCCCGTCTGTTGCATGCGAGCCAGGCACGATAACTACATATAGGACATATCGGTATACATATGCAAGGTTCGAGTGCACATACACACACAACACACACACACACACACACACACACACACGCACGCACGCACGCACACATATGCATGCGTGGGCAACTCTCGGGACATGTTCTGGCAATTAACTCATTTTGACAACGCACACGTTTTTTTTTTCTGGGCACTGCACCCCTCCTTCCCCGAATCGAAGGGCGGGGAGAGCAGCTGCATCTCTGCCCAAAGGCCCCGGGGGCGGTGGTTGGTTGGTGGGGGGGGGTGCTGCTTTAATGGAAGAGGAAAGAGGTTCATGCATGACGCCGGTTTGTTTAGCGTCCCGGGGCCGCGCTTGTTTGACGGCAAGACCTTGGCTGGGCAGTTTCCAGTTACGGTTTTTCCGTCTTCTTCCTGTTTTTTTTTTTTCACTCTCACTCTTACTCGTTTTTGCCAAAAGAAGAAGAGAGTACCTCGGTAGGGAGAGACTATTCAGTCACCCAACAGATTGCGGCTCAGCCTGGGACGAAAAAGAAAAAGACCTACATACATGCCGGCCCGTGAGACCTTGACTTACACCCCTCGCTCGCCTTGTTCGTCCCCGCCGCCCTCCGTCTCCGCCCGCCACCCGCAAAGAACGTGCCCAATGAGCAAACTGGTTTTTTTTTCTTCTAGTTATTTTATGTATAACCGTTGAATGAGGTCATAATGGCAAGCAGTCAACGACGAAAGAAAAAGAATTAAAAAAAAAAACAAGTTAACAGTCTCGTCCATCTGTGACGCCGGCGGGGTTCGACTGGCTGGTACGGGAACGTGAACTTGCTGCACTTGCTGCTGTGGGCTCGGACGAATGCCATTGGGCTGCAAGCCCCTTCGAGCCTGGTATTTTTTTTCCTTCTACGCCTTTTTTTTTTTCAGCCCGACTTGTGATTGTGATTTCCATTTCTTCTTCTTTTTCTTTTATACTTGGTTTCCATCCCTCAACCCCGGTTGTCGCAATTGGCCCAATGCAACATAACCCGAGTTATCTGTACTTGTTCATGTACCTAAACTACCCTTTCCTCCCACCACGAGCCATGCAGTACATTAAACCTCCTTCATTATTAGCGCACATCTGTTTGATATCTCTTTCCTTTTTTTTTCGTCATCATTCTCGGCCTTGTAGTCCGTTCCCCATTCTCCACCACACCCGGGAGACTGGATTCTGGAGCTTTTCCTCTTGCTCCTCGGCATATGCAAGCACTTTTGTTCTACCCGTTCTTGCTTTGTCTTAAAAACCAATCCGACACCTTTTTTTTAATTCCCATTTTTTTTTCTTTCAATTTTACCTAACCTTGCACTTTGCCAACACCCGCCTCACACTTACACCCCCCTCCCCCCCCCAAACATCATCACCGCTCACCACGCACGCCCCAATCCAATCCCATAGACCAACCTCCGTCTCCTGCTCTCTCTTTTCCTATCTACACCCTCCCCATTCAACACTTTTTATCAATTGCCACCAGACCAAAAGCCATTCAACTGCCCTCTACAAAACTAATTGACGCCTTTTTCTGGCCCACACAACCATCACCGCCCCGGCCAGTGCTGGCTGGCCCACCTTGCCCTCCTCATGGCTACCACCACGGGCGAGGTCTCGCCGCTCCTCGCCTTCCCGTCCTGATACCAGCACGCATCGTATCCGTTCTCGTCCCCCCGGAGCGGGTCGCTTCCAACGGCCCTTGGCGAATAAATCATGTCATGTGTTATCCAAGAGCAAGGGGGGCTGTCCGTCCCTCGAAAAACTATAAAAGGGCCCGTTGCCCGTCCTGTAGACCGTTGCTCCTCCTTCTTCCTTTCATACCTCGTCTTCTGTAGAAACTTGTTCGATATCCTCCTCCTCCAAGTCCAACCTTGCCTCCTCTGCCTTGATACGCTTATACAATCCCCAACCCTCCACGCACACACATACACACACACACACACCCACGGATCACCATCATGTCCGTTCACTACCAGACCGCCGGCTACTCCATGCCCATCAGTGTCCCCGGCAAGGGCAACGCGTACCCTTCCTACAGCCAGTACTCCATGTCGCCCCCGGAGTGCGACGACGCCGCCTCCTCCGTCTCCGGCGCCCACTCCTACTCCCACGCCGGCCTCTCCAGCGCCAGCGCCAGCAGCGCCGCCGCCAGCTACTACCTCCCCGGCAGCGCCGTCCCCAGCAGCACCGGCGCCGACTTTGACAGCGCCGGCTCCGCCAGCGGCATCGACTTCCAGGACTACATGCAGGACCGCCTCTCCCACTCCTTCAACCCCATCCCCCTCGACCGCAGCACGGCGGTCCAAGCGCAGAGGTACGTTGCTTTCTCAACAGAGTGGCGGGTTTTTGGCCGGCTAACGAGGGAAATGATTAGCTCGGGCAAGCTCAATGCCAAGCATCGTGAGCTGATGGACCTGCAGAGGCAGGCCCAGGCTCGTCTCGCCCGCACTCGCGAGCGCTTCCAGGAGGGAATGCGCGACGCGCGGGAAGTTCGCGGCGATCTCGAGTGGACGCAAAAGAAAGTCTCGTAAGTGAAATCGCGACGCCCCCTGATGGCGGAAATTGCAAGGGATATCCGGCAAAAGTTCTTCACGTCATGTCTTGCTTTAGCGGATCGCGTCGGCTAACTTGACTCGCTTAACCAGCTCCCTCAACGCCAAAGCTTCACGCATGCATCCCAAAGAATACGCCAAGGCTCGCGCCAGGTTTCCATCTCCGGAATGCTAGGAAACCTGCTCTCACGACTTTTTTTTTGACACATTTTCATTTGCGACATTTTAGCCTTGGTTTTGATTCTTTCCTCCCCGTCTTTCCTCCCGTTAATTTCTCATCTATTCGGAAACGCAGCGGCAGCATTATGATTTCACGACATTACGACCGGACAGGACTTCCTCAACAGGATATTTAAAATTTCAACTATTTCAAAACTTGGCAAGTAATTTGGATACGCCAAGAACAACAACCCTGGAGAATAATACAACAAAATTTCATACCGCGGAAAAACATCCCCAGCGTATCGTTCCTGGTGGGCAGGGACGTCAAATCTGGATCGCTGCGCGGCAATCGTGCAGCCATCTAGGCGCGCCATCTCTTGCTGCTTTATCGGCCCCAGCCGAACGACCGGGGTTCTTCCACCAGCATATCCCACTCTGCGGGCCACTTGCAGACTGTGGGGTGCTGTGGCCGGCGTCATCCCCCGGGGCGATTCGTGTTCGATGCCATCGAAAACACTGAACGTGTCCCTGGCACCTAAACCGGCTTCTCCCGGGGGCTCCTCATCGTCTGAGCGATCCAGGGTCGTGTATTCCACTCAATTGGCTTCCAGCGTAACTGTGAGCCCCGCACACAGTGATGCTTCATCCGTGCTGCTGCGCAGGCACTCGACAGGGTTGGCTGCAAGCCAGGAACGCCGACAAGAGGAGCCACGCGGGGGACGGCGTACCGGGGTGGAGGACCGTTTGTTTCTTTGCAATGCGCTTTCCCTATTCTGGATAGATAGTGGTGTTCGACTCAATATGAGCTCTGTATCTGTACATCCCATAGCAAATGATAGGCTTTGGTACCTCTTTTCCGTCCTGGGACAGTAAGCCACCCCGGAGAGGCTGCCCGGCCAGTATCCATCTCTTCCTGCGACACGCCCCCCGTAGACCAAGTCGACTGATGCTTCCATGTCTTGCCAAGGGTGTGTGCTAGTGTCTGTGCCGGTAGAAGAGCGGTTCCTCCAATCAGGTGATTCGTATGGCCGATGGGATATCGTCATTGCCGACAGAAGACCTGCATCACGTGATGACTGTCCTGCATCGGCAACAAAACTGAGGCCAAGTGACAGAAGTCGAGGCTATGGACTGTCGACGGTATTGCCCAGGTTGTTCGTATCCTGTGCTTTGAGCAACGCTTTCAAGCGGCCTGCTGAGTATCGCCCTTGTTCATGTGAACGTGGTCCCACGTCGAAATTGGTGACAGGCCTGCCGCTTCTTCGAGTTTTGCCCAAGGGTTTTCGTTGGAGAAATGGTCGTAGTAATCCTGATACCATAGCTTGTTCCTATCACGATGGCCGCCCGCTTGTCGTGGCGCACCCCCCCGCTGGTGCTGATGCCCAGCGAAGCCCCCGGGAGGAGGGGCGGGACGTTGAGGAAGGCCAGCGATTCCGGCGCCGATGCTGGGAGAGGATTTGCTATTGGCATCGACAGGGAGAGTTGCACTTTCTGTTGCAGGGGTGGTTTCGCCGTGATTCTTCGCATCATCGTTGCCGTCTTCCACATCCAAATCAATCTCGTCCGCGTTGGTAGGTGGAGGAGCTCGGCGCTCCCCTACAGGTGCAGTGTTTGCGCCAGTACCGTGAAGCTGACCGTCACCGATGGAGATGACGGCGTCGTTGTTGGGATTGTATTTGCGTTTTCTGCTCGGAGGATCTTGCGCGCCAAACGAAGAGAATCCCATGGTGGCCGCCATGGCCGCAGCCGTATCGTCGTCCATCTGGCTTCGGACTAAAGTTGTCGGGCAGATGAATGAAATTCAAGACTACCAAGTGCAAGGATCTGTCCGAAGCTACGCAGGGAGGGTCGTGTGATTGCGCGGCAGGGAGTAGTGCTTGGAGATTGAAGATTGAAGAAGCCGTCCCCAGCTCTGTAGCGGGCAGCCTGTCTAGGCAAGTTAAGTGGGGCGCTTGATCAGTGAGCGCGGGATCACAGGGAATGTGGGTGCCTTGAGAAAGGTTTTTGTTGCTACGAATAAATATGTGGCCATCGCCCGCCACGAAGATTGGTAAAAAGGGCATCCCTTATTTCCGCTTTTCAATTCAATTTAATCTATCCCGCTATTCAAACTTACAAAGCATTCGTGTTGCGGTGTCTTGGGGCCGTTGAGCCAACCCTAGCGGTTAGGAGAGAGAGGGCCCTTTGTTGGGTAGCCTCAAGCTGCAAGCTGTGTGGTTGTTCTGCCTCGTCACAACTAGCTATTGTTGCATAGCGCTTCCCGGCTATATAAATTATAGGGGAAAGGGTGTAGAGTTCATACTAATGATTAACCGTAGAATACCAACGTAATGAATATATTCAAGGCAATTCTTATCCGGCTCATCAAACTATAAACGCCTCCGAGGCTTAGTGCTCCTAGAACAACGGATCTCCTCACCGAGGCCCCCACGACGGCTGCGCTAATCATCGTTCTTGTTCCTGGCCACGTTTTTTGATCAGCAGTCTTCTATAATTGCATAGAATGAATATATTCGAGGCAATTCTTATCCGGCCCATCAAACTATAAACGCCTCCGAGGCTTAGTGCTCCTGGAACAACGGATCTGTTCACCGAGGCCCCCCCCCCCCCCCCCCCCCCCCCCCCCCCGGTGTTCCTGGCCACGTTTTTTGATCGGCAAGCTTGCAAATGTCCGGCATGCTACTGGCTATAACAAGGCTGGGGTTCGTGCCAAGAGCAGATGCTCTCTTGGCCAAGACTCAACCGTCGCTCGCTTTTTTCCTCTAATGGTCTATTTCCGGTTCCCCGCCATGAAGTCCACGATTGCGCTCTTGGCCGCCATGGTCGTCGGCGGCACGGCCGTCACGCTGAATCCCCGCGGGCCGAACGCGGCGGGCCAAATCCGTCTGGCCTACCACGGCGACGAGGGCATGATGGTCAGCTGGAACACCTTTGAGCACGTCGCCGGGCCGTCGGTGCGATGGGGCCTGTCGCGGGACAACCTCGACAACACGGCGTCGTCGGAGACGTCGGTGACATACCCGACCTCGACCACCTACAACAACCACGTCCTCGTTGCCGGGCTGCAGCCGGACACCACCTACTACTACCTGCCCTCGCCGCTGCCGCAGGGCAACCATGAGCCGTACAGCTTCAAGACGGCGCGGCCGGCCGGCGACGCCCAGCCGTTCTCGGTCGCCGTCGTCATCGACCTCGGCACCATGGGCCGCCTCGGCCTGACCGACCACGCCGGCAAGGGCGCGCGCCCGGAGAACGTGCTCAAGCCCGGTGAGAAGAACACCATCGACTCGCTCGCGAGCACCGCCGGCGGCTGGGACTTTATGCTGCACCCGGGCGACATTGCCTACGCCGACTACTGGCTCAAGGAGGAGATTGCCGGCTTCCTGCCCAACACGAGCATCGCCGACGGGCACATCGTGTACGAGGCCATCCTCAACGACTTTTACGACGAGATGGCCGTCGTGACCGAGTCCAAGCCGTACATGGTCGGCCCGGGCAACCACGAGGCCAACTGCGACAACGGCGGCACCACGGACAAGGCGCGCAACATTACGTATGATGTGAGCATCTGCTCGCCGGGGCAGACCAACTTCACGGGCTTCAAGAACCACTTCCGCATGCCGAGCGACGTCTCGGGCGGCACGGGCAACTTTTGGTACAGCTTCGACCACGGCATGACGCACTTTGTGCAGCTCGACACGGAGACGGACCTGGGCCACGGGTTCGTCGGCCCGGACGAGGTGGGCGGCGACGGCGGCGAGGGCGCGACGCCCCTGGTACCTGAGCAAGAAGAACGAGACGGGCTCCATCTGCTGGTCCTGTAAGCGCGTCTTTGAGCCCTTGTTCCTGCAGCACGGCGTCGACCTGTACCTGTCAGGCCACGCGCACGTGTACGAGCGGATGGCGCCGCTGGCGGACGGCGCGGTGGACGAGAGGGAGCTGCAAGATCCAAAGGCGCCGTGGTACATCACCAACGGCGCGGCGGGCCACTACGACGGCCTGGACGACCTGCTGCCCAAGAGGCAGGCGTACAGCCGGTTCGCGCTGGACGTGAGCAACGCGACGTACGGCTGGAGTCGCCTGACCTTTCACAACTGCACGCACATGACGCACGAGTTCGTGGCGAGCAACAACAACTCGGTGCTGGACACGGCGACACTGTTCAAGGACCGCAAGTGCGACCTACGCAAGGGCGGCCACGGTAATGGCAATGGCACGACGGGCGGGCATCACCCCAACGGCACGGCGACGCATACTGCGACGACCTGCACCGCGGCGACTGCAACCAGCTCGGCGACGACGTCATTCAAGGGAGCCAGTGCTACGCACAGCGGCGTGGCGGTTTCTCCCAGTGGCGTGGCTGTTACTCCCAGTGGCGTGGTCGTTTCTCCCAGCGGCTCGGCGACGGCCTCTCCCAAGGCACCAAATGCTACGCACAGTGGTGTTACCGTTCCCCCGAGCAGCTCCGGCGCTCGTGCCGCAGCTTCCGTCACGGTCCTTGCACTTGCTGCGCTGTTTGCCTGCTTGTAAATGGTGATGTTGTTCTATGGCGCTGTTGTATAATCTAGAGAGACACGTTTCATAAGTAAAGAGAAATTTCACGTCATTTCAACGGGCTCATTGTGTACTGTCCTTTAGAGAAGCGCGCTTGATGAAGTGTGTCATGGTAAAAGTAAGATAGGATAGATGGCACAGATAAAGCATATGAGACAGAGTAGATGAAGCAGATAAGACAAATGATGAACATATGATGCATGAGCCGTATTCCTGCTACTCCCAATCAGCGCTTAGTTCGTCTATCGTCTTCTAATACGATACAATGATCTCATCATGAAGCCGTTCCGCGTCCCGAGGCGTACCAAGCATCAGCTCCGCCGAGCTGCCAAAGATGATCTCCCGCATCTCCAAGCACAGCGGCTCGACCACCTCGAACGCCCCGCGGAAACGACCGCATGACGCGTCCCAAAGCCATTGACCGTCATGCAGCCCAGATTCACAATCGGCATCGGCTGGCAGCAGCCACCCTCGTATCCGCCAAGGGCCTCCCCGTGGCGGTCGACCTCGTCGCGTGCGCAGAGCCGCTTCCGCTCCTCCCAGGCGGCGGCGCCCGCACATCCGCAGCAGCACGTAGAAAGGATTCGAGGCCGTGCCGGTACGTGCGCTCCTTGCCCTCCAGCACCTCGATCGCCATGAACGGCCCCCCCCCCGCCCCCCGTGCCAGCGCGCCTTTCCGCGACCGCGCCGTCCCGCGGCGGGCGCGGGTCGAGCAACATGCCCTTGAATCCGTCCGCGGCGGCGGGGTTGATGGTCACGATGGTGTCCATGGAGATGTCGCCGTGGAGCAACCCAGAGTGCGCGTACAGATTGCGGTGCACGCGCGTGCCGTCGCGCAGCGCCTCCAGCAGCTCCGCGATGGTCTCGAAGTGGATGATCGGGACCATGCGCGGTCGCGGGGGGATCAAGTCGTCGAGTGGGTGCTCCTTGATGAGGGAAATCTGCTCTTCGGTTAAGATCATTGTTGTTATTGTTGCCGTTGTTGCCTGTCGTTGTTCTTGCGGAGAGATATGTGCTGGGTACACGGATAGATGCTGCCTGGAAACATACTCGCGCTGGCCCTGTAACACATATCAAGTAACGCAGAGAGTACTAGCAAGGGTTTTCCTGTCTGTTTCATCACTTCTTACACATTTGATAACTGTATCATTTCCTGTACTTGTTCGCTTTTCAGTCCTGCTCGGCGAGAAACTGACCCTTGGTTGCTAATAGTATTTGCACAGCCAGCCCAATTATAGGACCGGTTTCTCTCAACGTGTTCTAGAATTGAAGTAAATATATTATACCATGCATTAAAATGGGACATGCGCCTCTATAAAGATGAAGAAATTCGCTCTTAGTATCCGTACCGTAAAACCCTCCACAAAAGGGCATCTCAAAACACAACCGCCATCATGTTCGCTTGCTTAGTGTCATATTTGAGCAGAAAGAAAAACAGCACCAGACGCCTACCCCTCAGTTACTGAGTATCCGCGGCGTGTCCTCCTCCTCCTGCTTCTCCTGCCGCTTCCTCTTCTTCTCCTCCAGCTTCTTGATCGCATCGCCCGTCAGCTCCTGGCGGTCGATCAGGCGGACCACGTCCTTCTTGCGCGTCTTGCGGTCGCCCCGCATGATGACCAGGCCGGCCACGATGTTGGTCGTGATGCTGACGCACAGGATCGTCGTTGTGATGGCCGGGTGCCGGTGGTGGTAGTCGATGCCCCACGTCGTCGAGCTGAGCGAGATCTGCAGGCACGAGTGCAGGTCGAGCAGGATGACGACGGTGATGAGCAGCCGCAGCGGGAACTTGTAGTGCGTAAAGGTCTCGTGCGGCTTGTAGAAGCTGTGAGACTTGACGAGCTTTGCGCGGTGGTGCAGGAAGCGCCTCTGCTGCTTGGGCGTGAGCGGGTACAAGTCTTCGTCCTCCTCTTCCTCTTCCCCATCCTCGGCATTGACATCTTGGTGGTTTGGTAGCTCGCTGGTAGTGCGGACGATAGGCATCGGCTCTTGCGCGCGGTGGTCAGTCGGGTCAGGAAGTGACGGCTCTTTGCCGTTGGTGGCCGTTACTGGCGCTGCAGATCCATCCGACGACTCACCATGGTCTGGCGCTTCGACATCTCCCCTCTTCAGCTTGGCCTTTTTCATCTTGCGCGAGTAGTGCACGACGAACCCAAGGTGGTAAGTGTCAATGGCACGGAAGGGGGCCATGCCACCCCCGACGACCAAGAAGAGCGCGACCAAAACACTGTCGATGATGTGAAGCGTGTATTCCTGCTTGTCGCCGACGTAGATCCAGCCGATCAAGAACAAGACCCAGGCGAGACCAAACGCGGTGATGCAAACGGCGTAGAAGGTGACCAGAAAACCAAGAGGTCGGCTCACGTATTGTCCGAAGCCCTTCATCATGCGCTTGAACTTGGACCGTCGAGAGTGCAGCATGTGGCGGACGTGGTCGTCGAGCTCCCACTTCTCCGCAGCCGTCCAGTTGGCCAGCGATACGCCGTGGGGCAGCGCGGCGTAGTGGGAGTCGCTCAGCCGCGAGGTGATGGTGTTGGTTCTTCGCATGGCTGGTGCCGAGGCCTCCGCCTCCGCCTCCTCCTCGGTCGGCACCTCTTCGATCGTCTCGTCGGGCGCGGTGCCCGCTGCGCCTGGCTCGTACTGCTGCGTTCCCGACGTTCGCGGCTCCGACGTGCCGGGTCGAGATCCAACCCGCTCGGCATCGTGCTGCGTGAGGGTATAAGTAGGGCGTCTGTTGATGAGCCCACCAAGATCGGGGACGAAGAGGGAGTTTTGAATGTTTGTGAGGGTCGAAAGGGTTTGAATTTCGGGATCTGCACCGTATCAGCGTGGGTGATGTTTTCAGCCAGTTGTACCAGACAACTTACCAATGGTATCTAGCAGATCTACGAGATGCTCGTCATACTCATCATCTTGGTAAATCGATCCTCGGGATGTAGTGTCTTGGGAGCGACGCTGGGAGCCGCTGTTGCCGCCTGGCCAGAACATCCTGCTGAAGCGTCTGCGGCGATTCTGCTGAGACGTGCTGGAGTCGACATCGAGAGACGCGCGTCGCTGACCAGCGACGGTTCCGGGGAGTGAGGTCGTCGGGGACAGGTGAGTGCCTGTGATGCCGAGTTCCTGCATCGTCGGGCGCGTGCCCTCCTCCGTGAGTCGCGGCAGCGCAGCCTGGGGCACGCGGCGCGAGTGCCTCGCGGTTTCGCCGCCACCGTCCCGCGCCGCCGCGTCCAGCGTGGGCTGGGATACGCTGCGAGGGCGGCTCCGACGCGCAGACCCCGTCGCCGCCGCCGCGTCGGACGAGGAGGAGGCGACGACGGGATCGGCATCGAGCGGATTCAGGGATGCGTTGGACAGGCGCCGGATGCGAATGCTCGGTCGGCGGCTCGAGTTGCGGCTGGCCGGGCGGGAGAGGTCAGGAGGCCCGCCGAAGCCGGACAGGTGCGAGGCCGATCGGACGGACTGTCGCGAGGGCTGCGTACGTAGGTTGTTGGCGGCGGCGTCAAAGTAGTCGCCGGTCAGGTCGGCGGTGGCGCTGGGCGTGGCAGGACCGAGACTGTTGCGAGCCATCCGTTGTTGTAGTTGCTGCTGTGGCTCTATGGCCGCCGCCAAGGGAGGACGGCCGTTGGGGTTGTCCATTGTGGGCAATGGGCGCGCAAGAGAACGGGCAGGAAGACGGGGAAAAGTTGAGATGAATGGAATAAAATTGTCGATAAAGCTGCCTTGCCAAACAAGGTCAAGATAGGATGTCGAAACTGGGACGGCAGATGATGTGGGGGGCCTGTAGCGTGGCACAGTTACAGAGAGCCCACAATGACGCAGTGAAGATGGTCACTTTGGACGGCAAGGGAGGGGGCCATGTATGACTCCGTGTTAATTAATGCTACGTCAAGATATAGGTAACTGGTTTGACATGAATTTACACGTGAAAAAATACTATGCTCGCCATGGCAGCGTTGTAGTCAGCATCATGTCTAGTAATTACCAATGTTTTTCAGGGCCGCGCAACAGACCTGGTTGGCGGAGCCCTAGCGGCTCCGGCACTGTCGGATCCCGTGGAATCCGCTAACTAATAAACTCGCTGGAATTCTTGCCGCCACAGCGCACTACTCCACTGTGACAAGCCAAGCCAAGCCAAGCCAAGCCTTCTGTACTCGGGGTGCAACTTGGGGAAGGTAGATATATACAAGTACATACATACATACATATATACGCCGTTGATTACGTTGGGACAGAATAAAATGCTGGAGAAAAATCTCTGATAATTTCAAGGCCTCTAAAAGGCAAATGGAATATTAACGGAAAATGCTAAAAAAAAAATCTAGAGTGCCCCCTTGCCTACTCTTTCGAAACGAAGCCGACGCACACACAATAAGGATATCCAAACATTTCAGGGAAACACGACAATAGCCGCAACCTAAGCAAAAGGTGTACCCAAGACGAAAAAAAGAACGGGGAGAGAAGAGGACAGAGGGAAAAACACGTTCAACCCCGCAATTACCTCTCTGCGTTGGCAACCGCAGCCTCCACGGCCTCTTGCAGGTCAAAGTGAAAGTACGGCCTGTTCAGCCCGTGGACGGCCACCAGGCGCGCACTACCCGGGTTCTTCGGCGGCGCGTCATTGCCGCCCTCCGACCCAGACGCCGGCCAAATCTCCGAATCCGGCGCCGCCTTGCCCTCCACATCATACGATCCTCTAGTACCGGCCGCCTTCTCCTCGAGCTCCGCCGCCTTGGCCGCGCTGTCGGCGCCGCCGAGGTCGGCGATGCTGAAGATGGTCCTCCAGTGGCCCGCGGTCTCGCCGGCGCTCGGCTTGGGGGTGCGGTAGCCGAAGCCGGCGGCGGCGAGGGCGCGCTTGGTCCAGCGGTTCTCGACGTGGGCAAAGTGCCAGTCGACGACGCCGGGCGCGGCGTAGCGGTCGAGCTGGTTGCGCACATCGATGAGGGCCTGCGCGGCGGTGACGTCGATGTGGTTGACGGTGGAGAAGTCGAGCACGATGGCTTTGAGGATGGGCCGGCTGTCGTCGACGGGCTCCTTTTCCACGTTGCGAGGCGTGGGGTCGTTCCAGGCGCGGTCCTGTACCAAGGTATTGTTAGCAAGAAAGATCAAGGGGGCGGGGGGGGAGGGTTATGATCCAGTACTTACGCCAACCTTTCCGACCAGGGTAATATCAGTCCGGCGCGTCTCCTTGAAGATGGTCTCGGTGAGGTGGTTCAGGTAGCGCGTGGCGTTGGGGTAGTTGAAGCCCTCGGCGAAGCGGTACACGTAGACGCCGGGGTAGGGCCGCTGGAGGTCGATCCTCGGGTTGGAGCCGTCCTCGTGGTCGAGTGGGAGGAAGCCGGTGCGGAGCGTCTTCTCCGAGTCCGCCGCGAGCAGGTCCTCCTCCTTCCCGAGACCCGTCACGGAGCCGTTGGGCGAGGTGACGACGGTGCGGATGCGCGCGACGCCGAGGAAGCGGCCGCGGCTGAGGAACAGGCGCCAGAGGACGACGGCAAAGGAGACGCAGACGGTGGTGTAGATGCCGTTCTCGATGGTGGTGAAAACGGTGACGAGCACGCCGGCGAGGAAGATGATGACTTCAAGGGGAGAAACGCGCCAGAACTGCAGGATGACGGTGGGCGGGGTGATGACGTCGCCGACGGCGTGGATGATGACGCCGGCCAGCGCGGCGTTGGGGATGTAGTAGAAGACCGAGGTCAGGGCGTAGACGGCGAGGAGGACGACGATGGCGGTGATGACGCCGGCGAAGGGGGTGCGGACGCCGGCCTTGGACTTGATGGCGGTGCGGGAGAAGGAGCCGGTGGCCGGGTAGGCGCCGAGGAAGGGGCCGAGCAGGTTGGTGACGCCGATGGCGACGAGCTCCTGGGACGGGTCGATGACGTAGTTGTTGACGCGGCCGAAGGACTTGGAGATGGAGATGTGCTCGATGAGCATGACGATGATGGCGGCGGGGAGCTCCGAGGCGAAGGCCTTGATGATTTCCGAGTTGACCGTGGGAGGGGCGGCGTGCTGGAAGCCTGTCTTGTGTGTTAGCTTATCACGGGCATTGTTGGTTCAGAGGGAGGAAAAGCCACGCTCACCTCTCGGAACGTCCTTGATGAGAGAAAACTTGAGGTGCTTCTTGTGGCGGGGGACGTTGACGGCGGCGCTGATGGCCGTGTAGAGCAGGATGACAAAGGCGGTGCGCAGGGTCGAGATGAAAAAGTACATCTTGGCGCGGTGCGGCTGGCGCTTGGCCATGTATGTGCAGAAGCTGCGGATGATGTAGAGCATGGCGAGGGAGGTGAGGCCGAGGGCGGCGTCGATGGTGGAGAGCGGCAGGCCCTTGAGGGTGTCGATGATGACCTGGTAGGGGGCGTTGCGGGTGTTGATCTTGGGGATGCCCATGAGCTTGGAGACCTGGCCGGCGATGATGTTGACGCCGGAGCCGGTCATGAAGGCGCAGATGGCGGGCAGCGGGATGACCTCGACGACCCAGCCGAGGCGGACGAGGCCCATGAAGAGGATGATGGCGCCGCAGATGATGGCGAGGGCCGAGGCGACTACGTGGCCCTCAACGTGGGGGAGGACGTCTTTGGCGTGAAGGACGATGTTTCCGGTGACCTGGGACATGACGGCGACGGGCTGGGGTTGTTTGTTAGCTGGTGAGGAGGAGGACGAGGGAGGCCATGGGAAGAAGAGGGGAGGAGACATACGCCGATGGTAATATCCTTGGACGTAGCAAAGAACCAGTAAATCAGGACGCCCATGAAGGACGAGTAGAGACCAAATTCGACGGGGAGCTGGGCGAGCTGGGCATAGGCCATACTTTGGGGGACGACGACGGCTCCGACAGTGATGCCTGCGACTTGTCAGTTTTTCCAAGTTTTTTTCTTTTAAATTTTTGGCGTCTTCTCCCAACAAAACGCACCCGCAACGAGGTCACCAATCAGCCAGGTGCCGTTGTATTTGCCAATCCATTGGAGGAAGGGAAACAGGTTGATGATGTAACGAACGACGTCGTGCAGCGAGGGTGTGATTTCGCGGAAGAACTCGCCGACGGTGGGCTCGCGCTCAATGAAGAGGTCCGCGTTGGAGATGGAAGGAATATCATCGTCGGCGTCATAATGCTGGGGTTTGAGGGCGCTCTGCAGGCGCTCCTTGATGGTAGGCATGGCGACGGCGACGGCTCTGATGAGGGCGACTATGTATTGCGAGGTGGGAGAGCCAGCCGAGAGAGGTGGTTGAATGCGTCAGAGCCAGATAATGAGGCTGAGCTGAAGGAACTGAGAGAAAGAGGGAGGGTAGTGAAAAGAGAGGATAGCCGGAGAGGAGCAAGTTCATATAATGACAAGCTTCAAGCAGATAGAATGGGGATAGTCAACTAGCATGTGTGGACCACCAGGTGCCTTCTTGGTCTTCGATGGACGGTTTTTTTTTTCCCCAACTATTTAATTTTTTCTCTTTCTATTTTCGTGGCTGAATATGAATATCTACACGTCCGCGCGCCAAGCGACGAATCCAGATTTCCAGCTTGGCTTTAGTAGGGGGGGTGGGTGAGAGAAGTTGGACTATACCCGTAGTTATCTTGAGGCTTGCGTGGGCTTGTGCTGGGCTCTCCGGGGTACGGCTATTACTATTATGGGAACTTAGGAAGAAGGCCGGACGACCACCTCAGCTCGGAAAACCCATGTAATGATGTCGACCGAGCCACTGAATTGCGTGCTCACAGGCCCAAAGCAGCGCGACAAAGACAGCGAGTAAGATTGATCCAAAATGGCGTCAACATCGAGAGATGGCCCTGAATGGCTCCTTCTCCCCACATTTTAAGCTGTCCGTGACAAAACCAGTTTAGTTTTCTAGTCATGAAGTCAATGGGGGATTCGTTTTGCTGATTTTATTGACTTTTTTTTTTCTTTTTTTGCTCTTTTTTTCTGCAATGAGCAAGGCCGGACTGGGACTGATAAGAGAGGGGAAAAGCAGGCGCAGGCTGGGCAGCCATTACCAATACCCTTCATCTCTCAGGTGGGCGTCGGATCATCGCCGTGTATCAACGATGGAGGGTGACAGACAGAGTGGACAGAAGACTGTACTAAACGCCCGTTAATGAGGCTCTCACAGCGGAGGCGCATTGTAAACCAAAAATGTTGACTGTTTAGTTTCCACTCGCATGAGGGAGGCCCTCTCTAGCACGCTTTGTCTTGAAATAAGTCGAGCTCTTTATTGTTGTCTTCACATTTGGTAGCATTTGCAAACACGCCATCACCACAACAAACAACGTCTTCCAAGCCATTCGAAACTCTCTTCCCTCCCACCCCAGCCCGTGTGAAACTAGAGTGCGCCACGGCGGCCACTAGCAGAGACATGGCGACAAAGTAGCACTGGTCCAAGGACAAATATGAAAAGGAACAAAATCACTATGAGAGAGTTTTGTTTATCCAACAAGTGCCACAGCCTGCAGCCTGACCGCGCCGCCTCTCTCGGTATGTCCTATGTAGTTAGCTGCATACAGATGCAGTGTAATAAGCACAGCCCTGGCTGCAACCGCATCATCCACATCCACAAGCACGCTACCTCGTGGCATCTCGCTCTCTCTCTGCAGAAGAAGATGAAAAGGGGCTTCATGCCGTTGACTTCAGCTAGCGACGGCCCGGTAGGATCTGCTGCTGCCACGCCGGAGCCCAGCCCAGCCTAAATCTTGCATTCACCCTCCCCCCCTCGCCAAGCTGCTCAGCTGACCGCAAGGGCGGGCGGGTTGGGCATCGTGAGCGCTGACAACGACGGTCACGCTACGTCTTGCAGAGGCCGGCGTGTCTTGTCGTTTTGGGGGCCGGCGATGCGCCAAGTCCAGTCCGTCGCTGGACGAGCTTTGCGATGGAAAAGTATATCGACGACCGTCTCAGTAGCTCGTCTTTTCTGTTTTTCGGTTAAAGATCGCAAACTAGTCAAAAAGCGTCCAAGGACTCTCTGTGTGCCACTCTCCGTCCTGGGTGTTGGTTGGCCCGACATGTACACTTGAGCCTGCATGCAAGCATCTGGCATACAGAATACAGAACGGCACGAGAGCATGAGGAGATTATCCCGGCAAGACAATGCCGCCATCAGGTTCTAGACTTTTTTCAGTGTAGGCTCGTGTTTAACGTTTGCCTCGACATCCCTCGCTATTATGACTCCAATCGACTCTCGGTGTCCACGACGAGCCAATATTGCACAACCCAAACAAGTCTGTCGAACCAAAACCACAACCGTGACCTTCATGCCATGTCGGTTCGGATATTTGCCGACCACGTAGCTGTCTCGAAGCCACATTCAGCCCCCAGACTCGGAAAATCCGATATATTTGAAATAGTCTCAACCAACCCATCACTGATCGTCGCTCTTCACGCGAGCAACTACCCTCCCTCTGCCGCGGTTCGCGGGCTGGCCGCGTCGTCCGCCAAGCCTAGACGACGCCCATTTGCCCTTGAAACCTCTGAGATTGATTTTTTCTAGGTCCCTCGACCTCAGCCGCCGGACTGTCGCTGAGGCTAAAATGGCGTGCTCGAAGACGTTATCAGGTATATTGGTATCCGCTTGCTTGCGCGGATGCCTTGCATCATCTTTCCGGCGCCTAGGCCCCAGCAAGTAGTGCAGGCATACCCGAATGTTACCGTTGCAGTGCATGTGTGCTCGGGGCCGTTTGCTCGAGTTTAAGCTCACATACGCAATAGCTCTTCGCCATGTCCGAAGAGACAGACGCGGAGGTGAGTACAGCAAATGCAGGTTCTAGAGGTTCGGCCAACGTCCAGGGAGTCGAGCTACCTGGTGTGGTATGGAAATTAGAATAGAAAGTCTAAATGCTGCAACTTGATACTGATGTCTAATTCTTTGCCGAAATGGGCATCTGGAAGCGATTCTCAGATGCTACCACCAGCAAAGCGTAATCAGCAAGACCATTCATTATATCAAACGTCTATTCGACATCCTAGGCTTCCGCCTACATCTCACTCTATCCAAAAATTATGTTACTCCTTGTTCCATCTTTATACGAGTCACACGTTGCTCCTCCTGACTTGACCCTCTTCCGTAGCTTCCTCCATCACTTATCTGGTCCTCACTCAGTCCGTGTCAGTCACTTGTGGATTATTATTACAGGAAATAAAGTCGCCGCGGTAATTGAACGGTATTCGATACTGAAGATTCTATTGTATCCACACGTTTCTAGGCATTCGATCCGTGAATCGGCAACGGCAGAGGCTTGAAAATTGGCACTTGGCGCCGAGATCTTGGCCATCACTTGGCCATGAGGCTGCTGCTGCAGGCACTCACATACCACGATGATTTAAGCTAGCCGCATTTGTCACGTTTACACCTTTTTACCCTAAATGTCTCTCATCTGCAGACTTTCTACAGCAACTGCAGTGATATGAACGGGACAGTAGCCAATTAGCGTCGAAGCCGAGGTCGAGAGGCGCACCATCCGAGCACTTACCCTATACTAGGTACTTTGCTTTCGTCGTCGCGATATCACGGTCGCAATCCGGTACAAGTATCTTGGATTAATCCGTTTTGTTATTTTATTGTATTTCAATATTGATTTCTTTGGTTTTATGCCTATTCGTCCTGCGCACTTGCTGAACGTCGTCTTCACCTTAAACCGGAGGCTATTTCCTGATTAGGACTGGTTTGCGGAATCAGCTCCGAGTGGCCGGACGGAACTTGAATCTCGGCTAGGCACGGAACTCACGGAGCTGTCCACCCCGCCTTCCGCAACGAACAAACGGACTCATTCAGATGCAAAACCCCAACTCTCACCCCTTTCTTGAAATCAATTGACTCTAGTTTCTTCACCAGTTCAATAACGAACAACAAGCACTCACCCCACAACTCATCACAATGCCCGACTACACCCTCTATACCTACTTCCGCTCCTCGTGCTCCGGCCGGCTGCGCATCGCGCTCAACCTCAAGGGCATCGAGTACGCCGCCGTCCCCGTCAACCTTCTCAAGGGCGAGCAGGCCTCCGACGCGCACCGCGCGCTCAACCCGTCCGCCACCGTGCCGCTACTCGTCGCCCACCGCGATGGTGACCTGCGCATCGGGCAGTCCATGGCCGCCCTCGAGTACCTCGACGAGGCGCACCCGGACGTCTCCCCGCTGCTCCCCGCGGACGCCAGCTCGCGCGCCGCGGCCCGCGCGCTGGCCAACATCATCGCTTGCGACGTCCAGCCCGTCACCAACCTGCGCATCCTGAAGCGGCTGCGCGCCATCGAGGGCGCCGATGCCGAGGCCTGGAGCGTGGAGCTGATCAACGAGGGCCTGCGCGCGTACGAGGAGACGGCGCGGGGCGTGGCGGGCAGGTACTCGGTCGGCGACGGGGTGTCGATCGCGGACGTGGCGCTGATGCCGGCGGTGTGGGGGGCGGAGCGGTTCGGGATCAGCTTGGAGGCGTACCCGACGGTGAAGAGGATCGCGGCGAACATGAGCGCGCTTCCGGCGGTGCAGAAGGCGCACCCGTTCGTGCAGCCGGACTGCCCGGAAGAGCTCCGCGCCAAGTCTTGAGCGTTGCTTGCTCTGGGGTGGCATGGTCTGTGAAAAGCGAATGCAGGCACTGGCGTGTAAGAAGGACAATGAATGATGCAGTTGCCATGGGTACATGCAACGACGGAAATTATTGACAAAAAGAAAAAAGAATAATGAAAGCATTTTATGTTACTGAAGATATGTACCTTGAGAGCTTGAGACGTTGATTTTACTTTGACTGTTGAAAAATTCGAGCAACGTCCTCCGTAGCCCGCGCCGTCATGGCATGCTGCCCAAGCCCGCACACAAAGTGCTGCGGCATGAGCATCCAGCGACAGATATGGCCCGCCAGGATATCTTTGCCTAGCTTCCAAATCCTGCTCTTCGCCTGGCCCGTCAGCTGCACCACCAAATCGCCCATCGCAGCCTTTTGGGCACCATCAAGGTCGGCATCGCTGTACTCGCGCCAGACCGCCTCCAGCTTGTCGACAAAGGCCCTGGGGCTGCGCGGCCAGTCCTGCAGCGGGTAGGCGCAGAGCGGATCCGGCGCGCCGTCGTTCTCGCAATACGAGAGCGGCTCCGCGTTGGCCGGCAGCGCGGGGGAAGCGGAGGGTGTCGGACCAGACGGAGACGGGGTCGCCAAAGGTGACGAGGGCGATGAGCTGGCCGCGCGCGTGCTCGTTGACGAGCGCGTCGAGGTTCTTGTGGGCGCAGAGCGCTCCTTGGCTGGGGAGAAAAGGAAGTCATTTGTCAGTAAATGTTGGACTGAGAGAAAGAGAGAGGGAGTCTTGTTACCTCCATCCGGACACTACAATCTTGGCCGAGGGACAGCGGGCAGAGTACCGCTCGACCGCTTTTCCGAGACTGACGGCGCAGCTCTCGGGGACCTCCGTCCTCGATGTAGCCGTCTAGGTTGGCGGGATAGTATTTGAGGGCTGACACCTTGAAAGGACACTTGATCGGCGCCGATCCTGGAATACAGGGCATCCCGGAATGGCTGTCCGACCCAGGGACCAATGTTTCTGGAGGTGCGTTTAGCCAGCGCATGATGGTAGGCAGAGGAGGGCGTTCACGAACCCAGAGTCAAAGGTACCGCGAGCAAAGATGACGGCGAGCTTCGGCGCAACCAGGTCTGTCCCAGTCGTTGGCGACATCGCCAGACTCTCGACCGACCAGAGGCGAAGCTTGCACGGAGACGGCAAGGCCGAGAGCACATGCCAGGGTAGCTATGGTATACATGGTGAGCGAGTAGGCGAGTCTTGAAAAATACCAAGAGAGCATTTCGAGAATTGATTTAAAATCTGCCATGGATATCAGGAAGCTGTCCAACTTTTCAAAGCAACGCCCGCGGCGATTTCACGGCGTTTTCCACGCTCCCAACGCACCGCGACAATCTCCAAATACAATGCAACATGACCAACGGCCAGCATCCTAGTAGACGTAGATAATGTTTCCGCCCCAATTTTCGCGTATACAAGGCCAAGAAGGGCAAGCAAAACGCTCGGTAGCAACCAGGACGTCGTCCTAATCTCGGCGTCAGCGCCGGGTCTGGCCCAAGCGCTTGCCCGCCGCGTATAGCATCGAATCAGAAGCTGTCTTACTTTGCGTTTGCCATGCACCAGTACGGCGCTTTCCGGTATCCGCTCACATGAAGTATTCTTTTTTCCTGCTGTTGATTAATCCAGAGAGGTATAGTTGGCGGCGCCGATGATCCCCGTAGCTCGGGTCCGGATGAGGGGTGGCGGCGATCAAACATCAGGCAGGTGAACCGGGGTTTACTAGGTTTGCCGTTTGGGAGAGTTGAAACCGATGGAACATCGGGTTAGCACAACTCCGACGGGTCGGGCGAATAGTACTGGGCATGTAAATGCTTCCCTCTGCTCGATGTCATGACGGCAGAAGATATGGGGGCGATAGGCTTCTTATAGGGCATCTCTCAGCTTTCCCGTGCAAGTAGAAAAAAACCCCAATAGAATTGTAAAGATACAATCTGGACTTTAGCAGTGGGGTAGACTTGGTCACCAGATTATAGAAGGGCAATGGCGGACCAAGATTGTCAAGAGTGGTATGGTTCCTGTTGGCTAAGACAATGGCGCATCCAACAGCCTGACTTGCAACAGCCGCGGCTCATCTATTATTCGGGCAAAGACTAGATGGCTTAGGCAAGCCAAATATTTAGATCCTCTTGTTGACTTGGATTATTTACAAATCTTCCCCACCCGAGTCCGGTTGCCTGGCCGTGTGAGTCACCTGTGACGTATGAGAGAGGGGGCATGTAAGAGGACCTAAAATGATCAACCACCAAGAAAGAGCATCCCAATTCTTCACTAATTATCAAGGTAATATATAAGCAGCTGACGGAAGACTTACGCGGTCCATATCTATGCTTTCTAGGAATTAGGCTGGACCGCGTATGCGCCGGGTACTAGAACCGCGGGAAGGCTACTACTAAGAACGCGGCTTGCCGAAAGCCAACAAACTTTACACATTCATCTTTCTTCAGACTTTTACCCCGTTCTCTTTATACAATGACAAGCAACGCCGACGAGATGGCCATCCGGCCCGGCAGCGACTTCACCATGGAGCAGCTCTCCGAGTGCTCCAACGCGGCCTTTGCCGACTACTTTGGCCACCCGATCGTGTGGACGCCCGCCGAGCTCGCCGCCTACCTCCCCGCCCACGGCGTCTCCCTCTCGCGCAGCCTGGTCGCCGCCGATGAGCGCGGCGCGCCCGTCGGCTTCGCGCTCATGGCGCACCGCGACGACCTCCCCGGCCACGCGCGGCTACTGGCCGCCGTCGTCGACGCCGCGCGCGCCGACGGCACCGAAACCGTCTGGCTCGAGGTCATCACAGAGAACGCGCCGGCCGTCAAGCTGTACTCGCGCGGCGGGTTTGAGGTGGTGCGGCCGCTGGCCGGCTGGAAGCGGGGCGCGGAGCAGCCGGAGGAGGAGCAGCAGCGGGCGGAGGTGCGGCTAGAGGAGTGCAAGCCGGAGGAGGTGCTGGAGCGGCTGAGGAGGCACGGCGCGGAGGCGGACCTCCCATGGCAGCTGTGGCACCAGTTCCTGCTAGCCACGCGGCCGCAGAGCTGTCGCGGCTTCCGGCTGGTGGGTGGCAGCGCGTACTGCGCCATCTCGGACCCGGAGGACGAGAGCAGGGACGCGATCAGCCTGCTGGGCCTGGCGGTGGAGCCGGAGGCGCGGGGGCGAGGCGAGGCCACGGCGCTGCTGCGGGCGGTCCTGGCGAAGTACCCGGGTAAGAAGTGGAAGGCGCCGGCGACGATCCCGCTGGCCTACGGCGAGAGGATTGCGCGGCGGCTGGGGTTTGAGAAGGAGAGCATCACCATGAACCTGATGAAGCTGAGGCTTGAATGAGGGCCGGCACGTCGGGTAATGATATTTCTGGTATTGATAAAGGCCTGGTCGGCTGGGCAAGGCTTCTAAATCGGCCGCTCCTTACATCAACCAACGAGCAACCTAGACAGGATAATTATATTAGATTTGCTTTGAGATACTTTGCCCTACCAACAAGATACGTGGCCGGCCTGCTCGGCGGGTGGCTCGCGCTTGGATCGGAACGCCGACGACAACCGGCGCCGCGAAACCGCCGAGCGCCGGGACGGACCCCAGCGGCCGTGCACAACCCGGCTTCGATCCTAAGCGGGAGCCACGTGGTGGTGAGGCTTCAAAGAGAAGCAAATGCGCTTGTGCGGATTGGTAATCGGGCTTTGGATCGTGACCAATCCATTTCCCCGCCATGTAGGTATGTATGCTGCATCAATCCACAATCATACAATTGCATGATGCGCTAAGACCTTCCGAGTCGTCTTGGCCCTCCCGGGGTGCGACGGAGCCGAGCCTGGCTTCTGCGTGCACCAACCGACGCGGTGCATCATCCGCATCCCATCCATCCTATACAAGTGAATTTGGGCACATTTTCGCTACATGGAACCATATATATAGCCCAGTATCAGCGGAGCCTCCTCCTCTCATCACCTGCCCCCTCCAACCCCAAGCAACAGCAAAAATGTCCCTCACGCAAGAGCAGCTCGACCGGACCCTCGAGCACGTCGGCTACCCCCGGTCCCGGCACCACGCCGACCCTCTGCGGCGCCTACAGCAGCTGGTACTCCGACACGTCGCCCGCGTGCCCTTTGAGAACGTCGGCATCCACTACAACCCGACGCACCGGCTATCCCTCGCCCTCGACGACTTGTTCGACAAGATCGTCGCGCGCAGCAAGGGCGGCTACTGCGTGGAGCTCAACGCGCTCTTCGCCGCCGTCCTGCGCGGCCTCGGCTACCAGGTCCTCACCGTCGGCGGCCGCGTCCGCGCCGGCCAGCCAACCTACACCGGCTGGTGAGTCCCCCCCCCCATATGATGGCAAGTGAGCCTGCTAACGCCCCGCAAGGTCTCACATGTGCCTCATCGTCACCGTCGACGGCGCCCGCTACGTCGTCGACGTCGGCTACGGCGCCGACGCCGCCATGCAGCCCATCCCGCTCATCTCCGGCACCGAGTTCACCGTGCTGGCCCCGCGCCGGGGCCTCCTCGAGCACCGCGCCATCGACCAGCACACGGACCCGAGCCAGCGGCTGTGGGTGTACTCGACGCGCGACTCCGACGCCGACGACGCGCCGTGGGTCGAGCAGTACTGCTTCGCCGAGCTCGAGTGCTTCCTCGCCGACTACAACATGGTCAACTACTACACCAGCACCAGCCCGAACAGCTTCTTCATGCCGCACGTGCTGGCCGCGCGCGCGCTGCTCGAGCCGGACGGCGAGGACGAGGTGCGCTTGGCGGGCGTCCTGACGTTTTTCCGCGGGGAGGTGCGGCGTAGGAAGGAGGGAAGCACGGAGAGGGAGGTCCTGGAGACGGTGACGACGGAGGCGGAGAGGATCGCGGCGCTGGAGAGGTGGTTCGAAATTCCGTTGACGGAGGAGGATCGAAAGAGCATCTTCTCCACGGGGCTGGCGCTGGACAAGAAGCCGGAGTAGATGAGGTGGGATGGACGGAATCATGGTAAACACTGTCTACAACATGTACGGATATCAATACTAAACAGTTGCAATTTTTGAGTACCTGAGCGCCGAGCTAAACAACGGGCGAGACGAAGCCCGTGTGGTAGAATACATTCGTCTCCCCCCCCTCCTCACCGGTGCAGCTCGACCACCTCCCACATGTCTCCCTGGCACGCGACGACGCCATCCTTTTCCAGCATCACCTTGCCCGTCAGGATTTCCTCGCACGGGAGCTCCCTGTCCCCCATCCTCACCGTCCTCGTCCACGCCCCCTCATCCACCACCGCCTCATCATCATCGTCATCGCCCACGCTCGCCTCGCTCTTCTCCCAGCGCTCCAGCGAGATGCTCTCCCCGTCACGCACCAGCGCCTGACACAGCGTCCCGATCCAAATCACCATGCCCCGCGGGCCCCCGCCATCCTGATCCACGCGCAGCACCGCGATGGGGTCACTCGTCGGCGCCAGCAGGTCCGTCCACAGCTCGTCGTACGGCGTGGGCAGGCCCGTCGCCGGGTTCACCATGACGCCGCGCTCCAGCGTCGTGCTGGAGCCGTGCTGCGGGTACATGTCGCCCACGTCGGACACGCCGCGCGGGTCCGCGTGGCGCGAGCTCACCCAGTGCCGGAAGGTGGCGCGCCGGATGGCCTCCCCGGTCGGCGCCGTGGCCGCCTCGGAGGAGGTGGTGCCGGCGATGGCCCAGTCGAGCCGGTCGAGGGGCAGCTGACCGGCTGTGGTGGGTTCGCTGAATGTTAGCCAGGAGACAAGGAGGAGGGCAGGGGAAAGGTAAGGAAAACGGGGGGAAGAGGAGGATGGGGGGGGCAGGAGTAGGGAAGGGAAAAGAAAAACGACGACAGCGGTAGCGGGTGCGCGCTGAGGGGGGTTTTGGGGAATCCAGGACGAGGACAGGAACGAACTTGGGTCTTGGCTTAATTTATCCGAGCCGCCAGGCGGCAGAAGGATGCGCAGATCGACGAAGCGATTCTCCGGTGACGTGAGCACCACCGTGGACGTCGGCTCAGAGGCCTCATCCGGGTGCCATTTTATGTATTTTCTGTGCGACACGGTTCCCATGGTCGGTAGGACGTCTTGCTGATCCAGCCGTGTTGTAGATGGATGAATTTTAGATGGATGGATGTGTATGGTGTAGATTTTGAGATTGCCGAGAGCGGCAGGACTTATGCTTTTATGACTAGACTCCGGCGCCGGCTCCGGTAGGCGGGAACCGCGGGGTATTGTGGGGGTTTGGTTACACAGCGTCATGGCGTCGATTCAATACGAGGCAATCGATGCATTTCATTGCTCCGAACAGATTGTTTCAGCCATTGATCTTTCGCCTTTTTCTTCACTTATTGTTCACATGGCCAAACATAACTCTATTTTGCAGCATTATTCATGTTGCATTATCTGTATGCAGACTAGGTAATTGCCCATCTTGGGGTGGATGTGTCATACGGCATAAACCCTACGTTAAAACGATTCCAGAATCGCTGTTTTACTTGTTGTTTCTTTTTTGCACTGTGCCACTCGGCATCACGTCCATGCGTGTATCCCGTCATACCTTAACTCGGCTTGACGCTGACCAGTGTAGCTTGGTTGGTGACGACAAGCCCAGCAACTGCCGCCGAAGTAAGGGTCGAAAAGACACCAGAAACCAGGGCGGAAAACGCAAGACGCGAAACGTCGCCGGCGCGCGCAGGAGCCAGCTGTGACAGAATACCAATCTGAATACCGAGCGAGCCAATGTTGCCGAACCCGCAAAGGGCATACGTTGCAATCAGTTGAGAGCGCGGGGTAAGAGCAGCGTACTGCGCATCGTTGACGAGAGCGTTGAAGGCATTGTACTCGTTCTAAAGTAGCAAGGGTTATTCACGTACTCTAACACCACAGTCTTCACGGTGCTGGCATTATAACTTACGGTGATGATCTTCTCCGCGATAAGACGAGAAACACTGAGAAGTTCGTACTTGTTCTGGGGCACACCAAGCAAAAAGGCGACAGGGAAAAGAATGTAGCCAAGAATCGTTTGGAGCGTCAACTTGGGGTCGTTGATGTTCAGGTAATGACCCCACCAGGTAAGAAGACCGTTGATGAGGCCAACAACAGCGATGATGCAGAGAAGCGACGCAACAATGGTTCCACCGATCTTGATACCGAGCCAGGCGCCGTTAGCAAAGGCATGCAAAAAGTTTTCGGCCTTGTGCTCATCATCGTCAGGGATCACGACGCGGCCGGCAGTAAGAGTTTCTTCCGTCTCCGGGTAGCGCAGCTTAGAAATGGCGAGCGAAGCCGGGATGGACATGATGCACGAGGAAACCAGAGCTTCCTTGTTCAGACCAAGACCAATGTAGCCAACGAGAACCGAGCCGGAAATCGTAGCAAAGCCACAGGTGAGAATTTGATGAATCTCTGCATTAGTCATGTGCGGCACGAATGGCCGGACCAGCATAGCAGACTCGCCCTGGCCAATGAACGGGGTGGCAGCAGCGACAACTGCTTCGGCGCCGGATACACCAAGGGCCCAGAACACAAAAGTGGCAAACTTCTTGATGAACCACTGTAGAAATCCAATATAGTAGAGGACTTGGACCAGAGAAATGAAGAAGATGATGGCGGGAATCACACCAATGAAGAACCATGGCTTGGCAGCGGTCGCGGGGTCGGTCAAGAATGCGACACCATCTTTGGCGAATCCAAGCAAATCACCAGCGCGGTCCGCGATAAAACGGAAAATAGAGTAACCAGCGCCAGTGCGAAGAACGAACAGTCCGATAATGTACTGGGCAAGCATGCCTCCAATGACAGTGCGCCAGTTGACCTTGCGTCGGTTGTTGCTGGTGAGCCAAAAGCAGAAAAGGATAATGGCCATTCCGAGCAGACTGATGGCACGGTTGGCGCGAGTGTTGTTGACGCTTTCCTCGGTGACAAAAGAACCCACAAGCATGGCAGAAACGGTGACAAAGGCACCAGCAGGCGTGCGCAGCTTCGCGGGGATCCTGTTGTAAACCACGACAGCGCTGTGCTTCCAGCCACCACGAATGGCGTTGCTGACGTAGCGACTGGGAACGTGCCAGAAGACAATGCGCAGAGTGACGCAGAGCCAGACAAGAAAAGGAATGATCCAATTCTTGTCGTTACGGTGCAGAATCAGCGATGCAATCCACCAACCAGTGAAGAGAAGCAGGAAGAAGACATGGACGATGATGCGACCAGGGCCGTCGTAAAAGGTACGGAATGAGGACCTGTACTCGGATTGTCCTTCGACATCATGCGGTTGCGCCAAGATACCGGGCGCTGGCTTTTCCGTATCGCTGTATTCTGGAGGCGTACCATTGCCGGCACCGTCCGTGTGCTTGTGCAATGGGAGATCGGTTTCCCTTGTGTATATGACGTCGTTTGCGGGTGCGACGCCAGGCGCGTGGTGAAGGTGACCGTGGGTGTGCTGATGTTCGGGCTCGAGGGCTGGGTCAGAGTTGCGGCGCATACCAGGAGTGGTCTCGTGCGTCGCCTTCTCGGCATTGGGATGGGTGTCGGCCATGATGACTGGATCTTGGGCGTCGTTGAAGACGTGAGAAGATAAAAATATTTCTAGCCCTGGTTTTCTTTTGCCCTTCCTGATCGCTGTAGTGCACACTGTCTCTGGACTGGCGCAAAGTAGAGGGTACTTGAAAGCTGCCAGTCGCAAACGGAAAGGCAATCGTCGCAAAGGGCTCACAAGTGAGATAGCTGGTTGACAGCGAACAGGGCAGAGGGGCCACCAAAGCTGTCCAAAGCCAAGAGGCAAAAGGGAATGGGGAAGACTGGACGGAGGAGAAGACCTGAGGAACAGCAAGAAAGGTTTCTGCTCGACGGCACCCACGAGTTTTTGTATCCACCGGGGTCGCCGGGCAATGGGTTTGGGGTGAGCCCAGACAGAATGGCAGTACTCAGTTCGAAGTGGGCGCGGAGCAGGAACCACGAGATGGATGCACTAACCCACCACTAGTCGAGCGCAAAGCCATGTCCAAGACTCCAAGAAGAGGACCTTTTGCAGAGAATGGGCCACACTAGGGCCGCCTCGCTCTGGATATGCTTCTGCACCGCTGCAATCATCCAAGACGGTGTGGGGAAGTTCTTGAAATGGTGCTGCCGAGTGCACCCTTGCGCTGCAATCGCACACCTATCATCACTTGGTGGTTGGCGATTGTATCAGTTGTGCCACCCTGATGTCAGCCCGCATCCCTTGTCGTATGTAGTAGATACTCGTCGGATCATCGGCTACATCACCACGCGGTTGGTGTACTTTGGCACTTTACACGCAAATTTCTGCCTTGCTCGCGGATGGCTTCTGATCGGCCATGGTGAGGGCGAAGTCTCCGCGCAATGTTGTCTTCGTTCTTGGTTCTCTTGCCGCGTGAAGCTTATTCCGTTAACAGACGACCAGCTATCAAAAGACTTGGGGTATCCGTCGCTTTAGCGCGTTGGTGTTCGGGGATTGGATGCGCCACTGCTTTGTAGTGATTCGAGATGCAGGCCTGTATGGTTTGGCTCGTTCCACACCCCGCGGGCGGCGCTTCATCCCAGCCCGGTCCCTCCATCGACGCTGATTGATGGGATGCTTACCCATGTCTAGGGTGTTTCGCATGGGCTAATCGCGTATCGCGTATCCCTACTGGTAGAATGTTCTCAGCTTCCGGCCCTGTTAGATTTTATCGATGCGCCAAACAGCGGCTCACGAATTTTCTGGCTTGTCCACGGTTCATCCCTTTGCGTCCGTTGTGTCGCGTGGGCTTGCTTCTCCATGGGTTCAATTGCTGGGTGGTCTATTCGTAGGGTATAACGGTTGTGGGTTAATAATGAAGTGCTCTATTACATTCGTGTTGATTCCAAGTCAATATTATAGCCGGGGAGACAGGCAAACGCCGACTTGGGGCCTGCCAGAGCTGGCGATTTGTTTCCTTGCCAGCTGCCAGTTGCCAAGCTGCCGTTGTTGGTTGATCTGGTCAATTTTTGACCAGCTATGCATAATTTATCATTTCGTTCCTTACCACATCCAAATGCTACGCCGAAAACTCCTATCTCATTATCCTCTCGTCTTATTGTTCCGGTAACTTGTCTATCACAGCCAGATAAGCTTCACTGACACAACCACACCGAGCTGTGGATCTCGACTCGTTTTTCTAGCGGGTCGCGTGCAGGGTCTGTCCCCAGACCGACGAGCGCCAGGCCTCTGAAACCAGCTGGAGATTTAGATTTTCTCTTGGTCAGTAAGGCCAATCCGCGCTGCGAATGCTGTACCGTATACAGATAGGTCCTGGCCACTCCAAAATCTCAGGGGAAGCGCGCCGCCTCCCGAGAAACCACCAACAGAACGCCAGTATCAGCACAGAGAACAAAAAAAGGTTGCCAACGCCACCGAGTGGATAAGCTCCTTCTCGACGCGGTTCAAGACTTGCCCCCCTGTCGCCACCCGCAAGCCCTGTCGCAGTCGATCAGCACTTGACCCCGAAATGGAAGCCTGCTGGAACTTTGGTTCCGCCACCACGCCGGGCTTGTGCCCTAAAGAAGAAGGAATAAGTGGCCACAGGCCAGCGGGCGCAGCGAGATTGCTGCTTGCTCAAGCGACCCGGGACACGACAACAGAGCGCCGACGCTGTTATCTTGAAGCGCTACAAGTTAATGCGGTACCCTTTCAATACGGACGAATGCTGGAACAACTACAAGTTGCGCCCTGAGCGTGCGGGGTGTCGCCAAGACGAGAAACAGAAATCCCATCATCCTGTCGAATGAAAATTCCACAGAATTACTTCCTTTCCATATATTTGACCCTCGTCCACCTCCACCAATTCCCTTTGTTGCGCGGTCTCGTGCTGTCAAATTTTTTTCGACTGACACCCCCAGACTTTCTTCTGCGGGGTACCAGTGCGGGTACCGACGAAGTATAGCGCTGTTCTGTTATTATCAGGTTGGCAGCGCCATGCAGCCACCCAGATTCAGTGCGACAGCCAGCCCCGGCCGCCGCTCACCAGAGGAGAGCTGCCTTAACACGGGCGCTATTACTGCTATGACTTTGCATAGCGTCATCACCAGACCACTTGCTCCGGAAGCAAGCATGGTGGTTCAACTTGTCCGCCTGTCTGCGAGCGATCCTCGACGAGTCCTAGAATGGACGTCCAGTTGTGTGTCGGCCGGCTCCGATGCAAAAAATGCCGTGCCGCCGCCACAAGCCACCACCACCCGAACGAGAGGCGCAAGCTTGACAATGGCACTAGTTACCGGATAAGCCAGGAAGGAGGAGGCTTGAAAAGGCGTTCACCAACAAGCACCTTCTGGCCTTTTGTTTCTGGAACACCGCCAAAAGAAATAAGCCCAAGCCGAACCGCCACCACCCCCCGCACTAGCAACCAGCCAACCACTTCCAGGGCCTTGGTCCTCTCCCCCAATTCTTCAGCTGCCAATCCTGGGAGGCCAGGTCTCTCTCCCGTTTACAATCTGCCGAGCAAAATAACCCATTTTGCGTTTGGCGCCAGCAAGGCAGGGCTCGACGCCACCAGATAACTCTCTTCCAGGCCGGCCGAACCAATTCGGGCCGTATACATGAAGGTTCGGCACGGTTTGCTGGCCAACCAAACGCACTTCACAAGAGACAACATTTAAAAACAAGAAAAAAAAAAGAAGCCCCCAAGGGAAAAGGCAAAGAGAGCGTGTGTTGTGCAAGTAAACGCCACCAGGGCCGGTAACCTAAGCAGCCTTCTTCTTAAACAAACAGGTAACGGCTTTGAAAGGCCATATCACGATGATCCAACGGCTTCCTTGCCTGCAAGCTGCTCTAGGCGCACTCTGTACTTCCCCATAATCTCGGCCGTGCTCCTCCTGACACCATTTCCCCGAAGCGCCAAGTGGGCGATGCAAAGCTTCCCATCCATCCATCCCATCGGCCGTCTCCGGTCCATTTGATCTCTTTCCCCTCATCCCCTCACTCAGCTTTGGCCGCCCCCCCACACAGCAAACCGTTTTTTCCTCTTTCCCCCAGGTTTGGTCAAATAGTAGCGCGAGACAGTACAGACAGCAGACAGCAAGATTCTCGCTTATCACGGGGGCAGCATGTGACTGGTCAAGGTGCAGGCAGGATGTCTGCATCGCTCACGACACTATTCCCCCTCTAAGAAGGAGAGTTATTGCTGCCAGTTTCATGCATAACTCTCCTCTTTAAATGGGTGCTGACCGAAGCAATATTCCCTCCAAGTGGATTCTTGTTGGAGCCAGTTGTCATGCATGAACCCCTCTTCAATCCTGCTAGGTCGTGTAAGCCAACGCGAGCTCCCGCATATCAGAGCCGAGTTTAGATGAAGATGCATTGTAAATTTTACATGCATAACTTTCTATTGTAAAAGATGCCGTTTTCGCGCCAAATCATTCATCGTAAGAACTTTGCTCTCATGCAGAATAAGCAAAAGAGAAAAATAAAACCAAACAGAACAAAGGGAACAGCCAGTATCAAACTCCCACCAAGAACCAATGCACATTGTTTCCTATTGGTTGAACCACACTCCTTCATCACTCCGGCTTCATCCTTTCACAGTAGTAGTTGCAGAACGGTTACTCGCCTCCTCTAAACCGACGATTAAACTCCTCCACTGCAACGCCCACCATCTTGTATAAGAAGTTCCTCTCGCTACCGCCTCCAACCGGGATAAACGGCCCGTTAGCGCCGCCTCGCAGGATCAGGCTGACGCCGGTTCGCTCCTTGGCAATGGTCTGGATGTCGTTGAGCGGACAGTCCCACTCTCTCGTAAGGCGCTTCGAGCGGATAAGTAAGATGCGCGCATACGTCACCATCACCACCATGTCTTCGCGCGGCAGCTCGAGGTGGCCAATGTACTGCTCGTCAAAGTACTTGCCATTGTCGACTTGCTTGAGCCAGTACTGCCCCATTGCTTCGCGGGCATTGAACGGGCGCACAATGCCGTCGTTGGAAATGAAGCGCGGGAAGCGCGTGCGGTCCAGCTCTGTTCCGTCAAAGACCGTCGTGGTATTGCGAATGCCTTCACTGAGATTGCTCGCCATGTCCAAGACACCAACAGCCGGTTTCGTCGCAAGACCAAGTACGCCCTTGCCGACGCCCTTGAGGAAGCCCACGGCGCCTTCTTGCTCTGCGCCCTCTAGTGGCTTGCGGGCCAGGCCGTCAAAACCAGACGCAACACTCGTGATCAAGCTGTTTGCACCCGCGGTAACGCCATAGAGTGCATGCTTGGGCCTGTTTCTTGCACGCGTGATGCGTCGGCGGTCTTGAAACTGCTTGTCTAGCGATGCGGCCGCCAGACCTTTGCCTAGACTGCCAGTGAACTTCGAGAAGCTGTCACTGAACCCAAACACAGTCTTCTTCGCGAATGATGCAGCGCCTCTGCCAATACCGAATCCAAATTCTTCGGGTTTGTCAGATAGAATAAGGCCTTGGTAAGGTTCGTAGAAGATGTCAGTGACGCCCGACGAAATATTGTTGAACAGGCCGACCGGGTTACCCAAGAAATCGGCCGAACCGAGAATCTTGTGGATCTGATACATGACTTCTTGACTATAGTGGTTGGAGATGTTTTGTATCAGAACTTGCGGTGTGACACGCACATTATCCAACATCAGGGCATTGAATCGAATCGGTGCATCATTGACGTTGCCAAGCGCCATGGTCAAGACGTTCAGAAAAAACATGAGCGGGTTTCGCGTTGAAGTCTTATCTTCCGCATTGACGCGTTCCGTGCGCATGAAGCTGAGATCAACTTGCATTGGCTGGATATTGAGAACCTCAAAGTAGATGTCCTGCCCCGACTGCATCTGGCGCGGCTCGGGAATGTCCAGACTGTCGTCGCAAAGTTTGCCTTCTTCATCAACCGTCGTCCAGCTTGCGCCTTTGACGTTTGAAAAGTCGAGGAGAGCAAATATGAAATCTTCGTCCAGCTCAAGGGTCATCTGCTGCAACAAGACAGAGGCATACTTGATATATGTGACACCGTAGGAGTCATCCTTGACTCTACTAACCATAGCATGCAGCGACGGGTGGGCATCAACCTCATTCGCCTTCTTCTGCACCACACTTGGGTACAGAACCATGGGGAAGATGCCGCCATACAGTTGGTTGTCGATTTGCATCCACTTAACTTCCAAAGCAATAGTTTGAATAACAGGAGAGTCGCTGTAGCGAAGTTGGACGTCCTTCAGACTAACGTAGGCCAGCTCTTTCAGCTGAGAGTTGATTAGAGACACACCGATGCCGGACAATTTGAGTTGAGCATGGAATGTCTCCCCGGTATCCTGATCCTTTACTTCAAAGCCATCCGTTGCAGTATTGGTCCGCGACAAAGCCTTCGGCTTGTACACACTCTGGCTAGTGCGGAAGTTACTGAGGATCAGTGTTTGCGTCGGTCCATCTGCCGCCACATTGATGTCGATGATCTTTTGCTGCCCAGTGGATCCGATAAATTTCATGGGAATCTGGTTGCCAATCTCGGCCAACTTGACGTGACGTTCCTTGCCACCCGCCGCAATGACAAGTTCGCGGAATTTCGCGGCGGGGAAGTCCCATGCATAGGGCATGATGCTTCGCGGCGGAAGCCTGTAGCGAATTGGTTTCCAGCCACTTCTATCCTCGTCATCGTCCTCCTCGACAGTCGGGTTAGCTTGGTAGAATGTAAACTCAGTGTCGCTTTCGTTGCGCACGGAAAAGGGCCAGTTCTTCGTTTCCATGCTTAGTTGGATGAATACAGTAGCATCTTCCATCAAGACCTCGGCGCGGATGAGACGTTGACGCTGACCGGGCTTGGCAATCTTGATGTGTGTCGTACCAATGTCGGCGATGTTGAACGGCGCGGTCCAGTGACTATCGACGCCGGCGTAGCATAGACTGAGCTGCTTAACGGAGCCCTTCTGCATGAAGTGCAAGGGTCGAAGAGCTCCTTGTGCAAGAGTCAGGAATCCGGGCGAGCTTGACTCGCGAACGTAGACTTCTTCGCCAAGTTTGTTTTCGAGCACGAACCGTGGCGCGAGCGTCACTACTCTGGTCATCTTGTATTTGCCCTCGCCGGAATTGACAGTTATACCAATGTGAATTTCCTTGTTCTTGGTCGCGGAATTCAGGATCACTTCAGAGTTACTTCCAATAGCGTCGAAACTCTGCGGTTTGCTCCATTCTGAGTCTCCGAATTTAAGCAGCGCACGATTGCGGTTATCTTCGCTGCTGCCGTAGGAGAACATGAATGGCAGTGCCTTGGCATTTTCGTCATCATAGCGGTTGACTAGTGCGGACTGTCCGGCTGCGGTTCGGGCATTTTGCAAAAGACTCTTGGCCTTGATGTTCATATCCAATCCGGATTTGTTTAGGACCACGTATGGGCTGTAGATGCTGACTTTGAAAGCGCCACCGCTCTTGGGGATCTTGAAGTAATGCAGGCTGAGATTGAGTGGTAGGCCTTGCTCATCCTTAACCACAAGCTTGGTCTCCTTGCGGAAGTCGGCGCTCCTTCCTGGGTTGATGATGGAGAAGTCGCTTGCTTTGAAGACTGTATCCTGCATGTCGATACTCAGAAGCAGCAGATGTGACAGCTCAACAACATGAACTGGGCTAACACCTCCTTTGCGCAAGAAATTGGACCAGTCCCTCTTTGTATTCTTGTCGTAGATCCTGTATTTGAAGTCGTATGGCAGCAGGTTCTCAATGGTAACGGGGGCCGACAACTTGATCCTCATGTAGGGATATGCTCGTGTCATCGGGTTAGATTTGCTGAACTCTGCGTGAACTTGGAAGTAGAAAGGGTCTCCGTTACCACCCTTGCAAACAAGTTGCTTCGTCGGTCGGTCCAGCAAATCGCGCCACCATAATTTGTCTGTGCTCCATTGATATCCGAATCCACCATCAGGTCGAACGAGTGCCGATTTCTCATATACTGCGCCGACTGGGACAGGTCGCGACTCGCCTGGTGCAATCTTCTCAATCTTCAGGAGGTGTCCTTCTCGCGGATCATAAACGCCGAGCTCGACAGGAATTTGTGTCGCATTTTCTACGACCAAAGGAGAGCGCAATGTCACATATTTGACGTTGTCATCGCCGAGAGTCACCTCAACACAGAGCCTGTGGAGTACGCCATTGGTTTTCGGTCGAAGCCCATACAGGAACTCGCCTTCTCTGTTCAGGAGCACGTTTTTCACAGGATCAAATCCGCTGTTTTCAAGCTGGATAACGGCGTTGTTTTGATTCGCTTCGGTCAAGAGGTTCTCGCGCATTTTCTCCCAGTGCTCGAAACTCCATGGGCCTTCTTGGCCATCATCCAAGCGCAAAGTTATCGGTTCTTCACTGATTGGGCTCTTTGACTCAAGAGAGACACCGAAGCCGGTATAGTTCCGAATCTTGTATGGTGCTTCCGTTCCGCGAGGTTTTCCAAGAACATCTTGCTCTGTTGTTAAGAAATCAAATGATTTGGATGCAAGAGCAATTGTTGCGGTGGTCACCGTAATGTCGAATGTCTTCGTGGAGGTGACGTCGATGGATAACAGTCCCGGTTTGGGATTACGTGCAACACCAAGGCCAACCTGCCAGGGTTCCAGAAGCGGCTCCCAGCTAGATTTCGAGAAGTTGTAGACATTGGAGTACATGCCAATGGCGGCTTCGGCTTTGAGGCTTGAAGACCAGTTCTCCGCCGTGGCGGTGAAGTCTTTGATACCGATATCAAGGATAGGGAGCTCATGCAAGTCACCGATCAGAACAATTCGAACTCCTTCAACAGTCGCAGAGAGCTCTTCGCGTCTCGTCACACCTCTGCTCACTGTCTGTACCGCTTTACTGGTCTTCGGCGCCGTCGTTTTTGTAGCTTTAGTCTTGACCATCGTAGAGGTACGGCCGCTAGACGCTCTCTGGCTCAGGCCCGCCTTACGGAGCCTGCGAGCTTTCTGCTCAGCGGCAGTCTCTTCCGGCTCTTTTGTGTCAGTGCCTGACAGCTCACCTGCCTTGCCAATAATTTGAAGCACAAGCAGGATATCGCGTAGCGATAGACGCAAGATGAGGGGCTCGATTTGCAAGTGAATATTTGTCAGCTCCACTTGAGAGCTGTCCATATTCAGTTGAATGGAGAAGTCGTCGATGATTCGCAATCTTGACGTCTCGAACTTATCCATGCGGCAAAGAAACATGCCGATCTGCGAAACATGGAAAGTAAGAGCATGCTGCTTCGACAAAAGAACCTGTCTGATGCTAAGGACGATTGCTTCAGAGCTAGAGGTGACTGGATTGGCAATTAGAATGACCTGTGCATCCACCAGATTGACACGGAAGGCTATGTTTATGGTTGGCTTCTTGGCTTCCACTGCAGAGGTGCTTCGCTCCATTTCGCCTGACTGTCTAGACGCAATTGATGTAGACACTTGCGACTGTGAGGCCGTCCGGGTGAGTTGCGTGGATTCCCTGTCAGAGCCATCAATGGTGTCTCCAACACTCTCATCATCCATGGCGCTCGATTCATCAACCATCAAGCCTTCGGCAGCAAATTTCTGGATTGCAAAGAGATAGTCCAGGGCGAAAATCACCCTAGGACTATCAATAGTTGCAATCGCGATAAGATTCCTCTCTCTGCCACCCGACATGGTAACACTTGCCATCAGCTGCTGTGCTTCTTTACTGTTTGATGTCATGATGCGGCGGAACTTGTTGGACTCGCGCGGACGAGTATCGAAGATGGAGAATGACTGTATAAGGAGCTCTGCTTCGAGCGATCCGTCGGAAAGCATTCGTGTCTTGACTTTTGTTTCGTCGAGAGAGAAGCGGGACAGGCTTGACGCAGACAAATCGCCCAAGGGCTCGTCTGCTTCCGCAGCCAAAACCAGTTCTAGCCCGATGGTGTTGACTCTGAACACAAGATCGAGAGACGTCCAGGCATTCTCAATGGATGAGAGCTCAGGTGATAAATCCACGAGTGGTTGGTCCGAGTCGACAACCTCAGTTGGTGGCGCGTTCTTGGCGCGCTGAAGAGTACCTTGGTCGACCATCCTTGCAGCCTCCTCCTCTGCATCATCGCCTTCCCCAGAAAAGGCGGCTGGGACAGATCTAGATATCTCCATCAAAGACCGGAGCTGATATTGCGTAAGTCGGAGCTTAATGTCAGAAACTGAGCCTTCAACTTCTGTGTCAGGGCGTTTGACACCGGGCTTATGTTCTGCATGGGTAATATTGAACCCGAGGTCGACTTGGTCGATCATCTCCAATTCTTCGACCCTTTCATCAGAATAGTTGAATTCCGAGGTGAGCCTTATGTTTCGGATACCTGCAGATATCTTCATAGCGACACCTGCGTTTGCGCTGTCATCGATAGGCGCAAACTTGTTCTGGGCATAAATCTCGCCAAGATAGGCCGTGATGACGTCCCTCTTGGCTTCACCAGGAAGAACCACTCTGGGGAAAACGACGATAGGAGTGTTGACCACCACATCGAAGTGGATCTTGCTGGGACTTTGTTGAATCTGGTTGGCACGATTCATGGCTGCTTGGCGAGCGGCATTGTAAAGAGCCTGCATTTTGCCAAACTTGACAAGAAAGTCAATAATTTTCCTGAAAGGCTCCTCGAGGAAATTGATCTTGACAGAACCAGCTCTCAGAAAGATGGAGCTATCATAACCTGGGTAAGCCTTGACATTCGAAGGATCGAAAGTCTCGTATCTAAAGTCGGCTAAGTCATCCCCTTGAATGGTTACCAGCTTGCGAAGATTCGAATCCTCAGAGACTCCCTGGTTGACGTCGTCGAGCAGTTGCAAGTCACCGAGTTTGGCAGATATGCGCATCGTCTTTCCGCGGAGGAAGATCCCAACGTCCGCCTTATTAAAGGAGAGCGTCGCGAGTCGGATCCCGTCGTTATTCAAGATAAGTCGAATACTCTTGAGGTCAACTTTGACGCGGATGGAGCCAGCAGCGGCATTTTTGTTGGCCTCTGTTAGCTGCTCTTCTCCGTCCGACGAGCTTGTTTCTGAGTCGGGTGGGGTGATCTGCTGGGCTTCCGATTCTTCATCAGGATTTGTGAATGTTATCAAGATGAAATCCAAAAGGGTGAGCAGCGTCTTTCTTGTTACGATCAAGTTGATGGTTGACACCGATGTTGTAATGTTGGTCTCGATTCCTTCATACACGGGCATAAATTCTGGCGACTCCTTCTTGACTTTCATGAATTTGACATTGACCAGACTGCGACCCGCCTGTAGATCTTCGCTGTCTCCGGACGAGACTATCGACTTGAATTCTTCGGAGGGATTGTCCACGAAGTCGTCCACAGTCACCGCACCCAGAGATACCTCGGCAGCCATGTCGTACTGCCGGGTGTAGAACGTCAAGTCAAATCGCTCAGCCACGAGTTCCACAAGCAGAGTGTCCGGATTCCTTCTCTTAGGGTCACTTCGAAACAGGGATCCCTTGAGAGTGTCGACTTTGAAGTCAAATTGGAAGATTCGCTGCTGAATTTTCAAGTGCTGATTGGCCGTACCATCCGAGGCATCCTGAAAATTGTCGTCATCCTCGTCATCTATATCTCCCAGTACAACCGCAGTATGCGGCTGTAGAACATCAAGGGTCGATGAGAGGCGGCGCTCTCGTACGGTTTTTCGGCGGGATTTGTTGGACACGGAGCTGATAGCCCGCGGGCGTGACGCGCGGACTTGTTCAGGCTGGGGTACTTCGTCGCCCAATTTCGGTATCGCGACGTCGATGATTCGCATTAGGTTTTTATATTTCGAGTCCGACACCATCACATGTAGGAGGGGCAGGTGGCCAGATACTTTCAGCTTGGTCAAGTTGGGTGCCTTGGGTATGATTGATGTAGCCACCACAAAATCAACATTGATTTGCTCAACAACATGGAATTGAGATCCGCTTTCTGCGAGGTGCTGCTTGGTCTCTTTGACGGATGGGCCAATGAGAACTTGCGTCGACGTAAGTTTGACGAGAAATCTGTCGTACATTGCGGACTCCAGGCGTTTGAAGTCTTCGTCGTTATAAGATTGCTTTTGCTTTGACTGTATCTCCTTGATGGTGCTCTTCTCAACCAGTTCACTGTTGACATGAATATGACCGGCATCGACAATGAGGCAAGTCGAGTCATGGGTAGTAATGCTAACGGGCACGATGATCAACGGTGCTTGCAAATCAAGTTGGGCGTTGATTGTCTTGTGCTCTTCAAGAGCAAATTCGAGACCGGCTCGTGTTTGCTCTCTGAGGCCCTCCACCGTAGCACCAGCGGATTCCATAAGAGCAGTGATTGACTCAAGGTGTCGCTCCGGCGGTCTGAAGAAATCGACGATTCCAACAACAACGTTCGGGTTCCAGACAATTTCGAGCGGTTTCAGCTTTCCCACAATGGCAATGTCACCCTCTCTTTCGAGGGGGTTCTTTTCTACTTCGAATGAGAAGAAGGGCTCGTCTTTCGAGGCTTCGAGTTCGAGAAGAGACATTCTCTTTCGCCGTTCTGTGGATGGCGCATCTTTGACGCGAACAATCTCGGGGTATAAGCTATTAGCAGTTGTACCATCATTAACTCGCAAGCCTCCTAGGCTGACATTGAGCAGCGTCGAATCGGTTCTTTGCAAAGCCTTTGCCTTGAACACATCGAAGTGAAGACTGAGGAGATCAATGGGCCTGTTATTCGCATTTTTCTTGAGCGTGAAGCTACCCGTGCTAAGGGAAGCCTCCAGACAGAGTTTGATAGCTTCCCTAGGCAGGTCAACAGATTCAGCGATCACCGTCTTCTCGTCCCAATCAATCATGTCGTAAAGCTCCTTTCGCTGCTCTTCCGTCATTTGCGTGTTTTCTTCATTTTCTTGGATATTCCCCTCGGGCTTTGATCCCCACATCCAGGCAAGCCAGCCGGTCTGCTCCTGTTGTTGAGGCCGCTTAAGAGCCGCAGCATCTTCCTTCTTGAGCTGATTTCGCGCCAGCGATCGCCAAAAGCGCAAATCTTCGTAATCGAGTTTCCATTCCAGCTTCGACAGGTCTTCGTTTTCTTCGGGTGTGAGTTGCTGCTGCTGTTTCTGCTTCTTGAACAGCTCGATGTAACGTATTCGATCATCACGGCGTTCTTTGAAGTAGTCCCAAGACCATTTGCGATTTCGCTCGTGAATCTTTCCCATAACGGCATTACCAGCGAATCGAAACCATGCTCGAGGGTCTTGCTTGACAGTCATGCCCTTGGGCTTGAGCGCCTTATATTCTTGATGGCGGATGAAATAATGGAACAGGTCTACCATCATGAGTGCATCGCGATATTGGTCGTCGTCCAATACCAACCCAATTTCTTCGAAAAGTAGATTTGCTTTGAACTTCGGGATTCGCACATCGCCGCTCTTATCGAGTTCGATTTTGGCTTGTCCATTGACGGGTCGTAGGATGTATTGGTGGTTTCCATATACTGCTTCTGATTTGCCGACCATTTTTCGAAATTGCGCCAGCACTTGCTCGCGAGGAATGCTGTCTAGGTCTTGGTCGGCATATAAGCTGGTATCAGTGTTCCAGTACACAGCAAGAGCGCCGAGGGTAGCAAGTTTATGGGTAACATGAGACGAGTCCTGGATGAATGTCGGCTTCCATTGGCCATCGGTGCTGATAGCACTGAACTCCTCGAGAGTGAGTCCCAAGGCGAACGGATGGCCTGGCGCAGAAATTGAATCCTCGTATCGAACATGGATATTTTTGACCGTGACTTGAAGATTGTCAACAATCTTGGTTACCAGGCTTTGCGTAAAACTCTGGTTCTTCTGTTGTTCCTCTGCACTCATGCCCTCACGGTTTCGTTCTTTGAGCAATTCAGCGCTGTCGAGCTTCTCCATCTTGACGCGCTGACGGCGGCTTTCCTCCTCGTCCTCATCGTACTCGGCCTCCTCCTTAGGGCTGGCGAGCAGGTAGACATCTTCTATGAAGACCTTGACGGGAGCGCCGCGGATATTGGACCAGGGTATGACGAGTGTCAGTTCGCCGAGGTGGCCGTGCACGACGTTGATGGGGAGCTTGAGCTGGTCAAGGGCCTCACGGCGCAGCTCGAGGTTGCGCAGCTTGACATCGCCGGACCAAATACCGACCTTGAGCTGTGTGGGGTCAAAATTCTTGACGTACATGCCCAGGAAGCGGTTCAGCAGGCCGGCAACAAGCCCTTCCAACATGGCGGCTCAGGGTTAGCCGTAACCCAGGCTGGGGAGCTGGCGGTTGTTGGTAGGTTTTATTGTTCGGTCTGGATAGGGTAGAGGTAACTAGGACGCCGACATTTGACTGCGGTATGCGACGGTGTCTAAAACATTTGTGTCGTCATCAGGAGTAGAGGCAATGGATGCTGTCGCGATGTCGTCAAGCGTTGATGGAGGGGCTAGATTATGCCAACAGATGTTAGCCACTCAGACTGGCCAAGAAAAGTTTAGCAATGCAACGTACAGAAAGTATCGGGATAAATATAGAGAGATGAAGGAAAGACGGTGTAACTTGCACAGAAGTCAGCGCGAATTGTGGAAGCACGCCGATGCAAGCTGTACAGGATATGCAGCAGAGAAAATGAATGGGACAGCTGTGGCGGAGAGGAGAGAGCAAGGTCGGGCTAGAAGCTGGCAATGATAATGACGTGTGTGATGGGAGGCACTAACCGTGCTAACTCGGGCACCAAAGCAGGGCAGCAATCGGGGCCTGCAACCGGGTTTCAGAGGCAGCCTACCCGTGGTCTAGTTGGCACTATTAATTAAGTAACCTCTAACTAGTGTACTAATTAAAGCCCAATAAGAAAGTGCATAAATAGGGAACAGGTGTCTTTTTAGCTTCCCCGTTAATAACTGCTTTGTTCCTGAACACAATCCTACAAGTTTACCCGTTTCTTGCTCGAGGTTGGGCGTTGGGAGGCCACCACGATGAGTGCTCTCTGTGGCTGGTATGGCTGGTGTGGCTAGTGAGGCTAGTGAGGTCACGTGCAGTCGCGTTTGTATAGGGTAACTACCCGTCGAAAGCCGTGAAGAGGAAAAGACACGGGCAACTAGCATGATATGCTTTGATGAGTATAGTGTGAGATGGTTTAGGCGTTCCTTTGATTTTTCCAAGCCTTGATTAGGTCAGTCCATCATTATTGGGCTGGTATAGGTTGGGTATTTAGCTGTTTAAAAGCCATTCTTCAAGATGCGGGGACGCAACGGCCAGCTGCTTGAACATGAAAAAAAGTTGGATTTATGGAGAAGAGGAAAAAGAAAACTTAAATTAAATATAAAAATAAGAGTCAGCGATGTAGGATGGAAGCAGAGCTACACAGGGAAATTTATGTCAATTACGATACTTGTCTGTTGGTTCTCAAAAACAGGCTGGGCACGCTGTAACGACTACTCCGTTACGAATCGGAGTACACCTATCCCAGCACAGCAAACAACGGTGTAAACCCAAAAGTGCATACTTGCGACGAGATCTCTGGGACCAATATAGTCTTACCAAACTGACTGTCCATGAAGATTCTACGGTCTCAATATATTCTCTAAAGTGTACTGTAGCCTCCTCTTTCGTTACCTAACAGCCAACTGCCGCAAGAACGATGTAGCCAATCACATGCCGGCCGGCAGCCAAGGGTCACCAGGAACAACCCCGTGGCGGCGGCCCTAACCGACGGCATCAGCATCGACAAACGGCAAACGAACCTGCATAGATCCATAGGCAGGCTTACTCCCCCGGGTACCCGCCTGCATAGCTACGCTGTCAGGCTTCGATTTTGCGGATTTTTTTTGCCGGCGCAAAAAACAGAGTCATTCAGTGCCGTGTTGTTTGCCTGTCATGGCCGCCCCCGCCCACGACCCGGAGTCGCGACGTCGCACCCCGCTCACCACCCGGGTCAACGCCCGGGAGTCTCGCGACAGCGATGAGAAGCCCTCCCCCTCGACATCACCTTCCTCGTTGTCGTCATCGTCGGCAACAGTACCTGCAGTCATAGCATCGCCGCCCACGGAGAATGACGGTACCAGTCCACCGCGGCAGAAGCGATGGGCCACCAAGACCCGGACCGGCTGCATCACCTGCCGGTATGTCTCACTTTCACGCCCCCCGGTCCGTCCCACCCGGGCCCAGGGCCTGCACATCCGGGAGGGCTGGCACCGACACACGCTGACACTTGTATGAACTTTGACCAGGATCCGTCGCGTCAAGTGTGACGAGGCCAAGCCAATGTGTAATCGGTGCATGACGTCGGGGCGCATGTGTGACGGGTATAAAAACCCGCCCAAGAAGCCGGCGAAGCAGAGCGCGGCGCCTACATCTCGCACCACGACTGAGCCGCGGGCCGGCGCGAACGACGACGCGCAGGCGGTCTACCTTCCGGGCGCCAGGGTACACTTCGCCGTTGTCTTGGGCCAAGACGATCTCGTACCCCCGGACTGGGATCTTATGGAAGCTTTACACTATTGTCTGTTCACCCCTGTCCACCCGACATCACACAGTGCGTCGCTAATACATCCCAACCTTGCCGCAGATTATCGAACTATTTTCCCAAGTCTCAATGCAAACCAGCTGGATGACAACACGGCTGCTTTCATGCCCACAGCAGGTAACCTTGGCTGCAAAACCAGCTTTATCACATTTATCTTTAGCAATCGAATAGCGGACGCCGCCAAGAAGAGAGGGACTCTTCGAAGTCCAGAGCATATGCCATACGACCAGTACCTGTGGACAGCGTTCCACGCGTCCATGGTTGCCCTGCTCGCCATAATCAACGAAAGACTGTCTAGCTCCGACGGCGCCGTCAACGACTCCGTCTTTGTAAGAATAGTGGATATGTTGAGTATCGATGTAAGTTTACCTAGCATTCCGATTCAACCGCGGTGTCATCATAAACAGCGACCAAACATTCTGACTCTACTACCAGCTCACGTTATTGGGAAGCAGCTGGCAGGCCCACCTCCACGGGTACGGTGCCTTATACAAGATGCGAGGCGGCTACAAGAGACTGTCCAAGGTTCTGAAGAGCTTCGACTACCAATTCCAATACGTTTACATGTATGGATATACACCCAAGACGGACAGCACTGGACAAGACAGCTAACCACCACGGACATGCAGGCTTCACGTCCTCACGAGCACCACCACGCCCGCCGCGCGCATGCTCACCATCTTCGATGACCTCACGTCCGAGGAGATCCACCACGTCTTCACCTTTTCCCTATACAGCGACGTGCCCTGTTCCAGCCACGTCTTCGCTGACCTCGTCCGCATCAACCGCCTGCGCGCCCTCGTCGCCCACGGCGCCCCCGTCACCACCTTCGTCCGCCCCGCCGCCCGCCAAGTCTACCGCCACATCGCCGAGTTCTCCGTCGACGACTGGGAGGAGCCCTACGGCGTGCCCGACAAGCCCGAGGCCCGCCTGCTGTGCCGCCTCTTCCAACAGGCCGTCCTGCTCTACGGCCTGCTCACCCTCCCGCCCCTGGGCCCCGCGGCTGTCCTTGCCGCGGAGGAGAAGGCGGCGGAGGGCGTGGAAAAGTCCTCTAGCCTGCCGTCGCCCGAGTCGTCGGGGCCGGAGACCGGAAACTACGCTGCGGCGTCCGAGGAGGAAGCGGGAGCCCTTCGCGACGAAGAAGAAGCTGCGGAGCTGCCCGTCGCGGCGGCGGCGACGGCGGCGGCGGCGGCGCCTAGTATAGAGGCGCTTCGCCACGATATCCTTGCGCTCATGCGCGAGATCCTGCCCCTGATCCCCCAGCGTCCCACCAGCCTCGCCTGGCCGCTCGCGGTGGTCGGCGTCACGCTCAGCGGCGAGGGGGACGCGCCGGAGCGCGAGTTTGTCGCGCAGACGCTGCACCGAATCTCCACGCACCGCGACGCGTATTACGGCCCGACGCTGTGCCTGAGCAAGCTACGCAGGTTTTGGGCATCTAGGAAAACGGGCTGGGAAGATTGTTATGACGAAGCATGCGCAGTCATGGCTTGATATAACGAACCACAATACAATGAAGCATGGGTCGTGTAAACTCACTTGGTCTTTTGTTTCATCTTTGGGTATTCAATGTAATTACCCTATTGCGACGATCCAGTTCAGGAACCCGATTTGGGAAGCTGCATCTTGGTCACTCGTACTTTTGTTGAAATCCATGAAATCATGCATTAAAGACGTTGTAGCTCATCTATCCGAATATTCAACCGAGAAAAAGCAGATACAAAACATTCAGGTATCAAATGCAGGCAGCCTCACCACGCGCCACAGATCAAGGTTTCTTACTCTGCTATAGAGTAAAGGAAACACGGAGCCGGATCAATGAAGCAATACACATTTTCCACAAAGTGCAAAACTTTTGCACAAGAACGATAGGGGGTATGATGCGTCCAACGCCTTGAAATGCATCCAAAAGAAACAATCGCCACATACGTAGCCTTGTCGCCGTCTAGTCCCTTTGCATCGGCAACGCCGCAGTTTCATCATCCATAAATTAGTGCCTATTCTGTACCGCTCATGGGCGAGCGAAACCTTGCTTAGCCTATATAAACCCTATATTAGCGCTGGGAACATGTTTAGTAGAGAGGTTTTCAGCCATACCTTCATCTGCTCAATGCGGGCTTTCAACTGACTTGTTACCTCAGCAGCCCGGCGCCAACTCTCACCGCCGCCAGCGGGTTGAGGAAGAGATGACACAGGTCGTTCTCTCCTTGGGGGAACCGCAGAATCGATGCCTTCCTCTCTAGGGGGGTGAGATGTGCGGTAGCCTCGGGCTGGTGAGCCCCGCCCGGAAGATGTTACGCTGCCATAGCGAAGTTCAGGACTGAGCTTGCTTCTGGGGTACACCATTTCGCCATTTTCCTTTTCTTCTGACATGGCGCTGGCGAAGCTTGCCCTATTGTAACCGCCAGAGACTGAGCTGGAGTCATGGAAAATGCCAACATCATCACGAGTAGGGGAAGTAATGGCGGGGCTGATGGCACCAGAGCCTGCGCCAATCGTCTCAGCTTTGCTCAATGCCCTTTTCAGCCGCTCAAGCTCACGCCTTAGCCTGTCGTTGACACCTTCCGTGGCCTCAGCATCACTCCGGGCTCGGACGAGCTGTGTTTCTTTGGCCTTGATGCTGAGGACATCGCGAGTGTGGTCTTCTATTAGACCGGCGTTTTGGTTCTTCAGCTCCTGAATCTCAGACAGGAACTTGCTCCTCTCTTGCCTCATGTCATCCACCTGTCGTGTGAGTCTCTCGTTGGCTGCTCGAAGCTCTTCGAGCTCAGCGCGCTCAACGGCGCTGAAACCAGTCATAGGGGGAGGCGAGTCTGGCGGAGGCATAGATGGTGCAGCAGCCGGCTTGGCGAGCGAGCGTCCGGCCAGACCGCGTGATGCTCCAATGCGGGGCTGGGGCGGCGCTGCGACAGGTTCATCATCAGAAGGCATGATGGGGGGGCCTGCTGCTGGTCTGCGAGGTGATGCTGTGCCTGGCGCTGCCAACGTTCGCTTTTGAGGCGCCTTCAGGCCGCCAAGGCCAGACGATTTGGGCATGCCTAGCTTGCTTCCAGGGCCTACAGGCTTTGGAGGGGCCTGGGCCGGCATAGCTGGTGGCTCTGTAGCGGGCATAGTTGGGGCGGTTTTCTTTGCGACTGGGCGTTTGCCTCCAGCCACCTTTTTGGCTCCGGCTGGCGCAGCCTTTGGTGCAGGCGCGGGTTTTGGCTTTTCCTTTGCCTTGACTTGTGCGCTAGCGAAGAATTCCTTCACCTTCGTCTTTCGAATGTCATCTAATCCCTCAATGAGGGGTGTCATGGCTCGCTCTCCGATAATCTTCATGACGGTGCCGAGAATCTCGGCACCACCATCGCGCAAGACAGGAGTTGACTCAGCAAGAAGCTTCTTTCCAGACTCACAAACAGCAGAAATTTCGGGTTTGGTCGGTACGTCTCGAGTTGTACACAAGCACCTGATGAGGAATTTCATGGTACCTTCTTTGACTTGAGGATTCTTGTTACCAAGAGCAGTCGTGATGTCTTCCATACAGTCGGAAAAGCTAGAAGAAGCAAACACAGCGTCGAGAGCGGCCCCTAAAGCATCAGAAACAGTCTGTTTCTTCTCCTTGAGGCGCTCCATGATCGGCTGCATGACGACGGCACGATATTTGGCATACCCTTGCCGGAGTCCCTTGGCTAGAAGTTCAATGCAAAGTGCAGCTTGTGTAACAACAGCAACATTGGCATCCTTCATGCATTTTGCGAGACCTCGATTGACTTCTCCAAAGTCGGTCTCCTTGATGCGAGGAACATTGAGGGCTTCGTATAGACCGTCAACAGCCTCTTTACGGTCTTTCCACTTTGAGGAAGCTAGAAGATCTGTAAAGTTGGGGGCAATCTTCTTGCTGATATCGATAGGTTCCGCCAAGGAAAAGGCATCCATTTCTTCACCACCTTCTTGCTCATCACCACCTTCGTCGTACCCGTCACCACCAGCCTCAGGTGCGGCCTCAACAATTTCTTGCTGAGAGCGCAGAAGACGCTCTTGCTTAGGTGGAGGTTCCGCTTTGACCTTTTCAAACTGGGCTTCGAGATCGCTTTGTTGTGTAGGCTTCAACTCTCCCCAAAAGAGAGGCTTCATGGCTTCACGCAGCCATCTATACAACTCGACAGTAAGATTTGTAGCCTCGGCTCGCACGTTTTTGTCTGCAGCACCAAAAGCTTTCGGTAGTGCCTTGAGTATGGGCTTTGGATCAACGATTTTGCAACCATAGTTGTGAACAATCTGAGTCAGGGCGTTAAGGGTCGCAGCAACATTCTTTGGGGTCTTGTGACCAAGTCCAGGCAAGATGTCCTCAATTACTGGACCAGCGACATCCAGTTCAACATGGAGAAGGAGAGCCTCGATCGCGTTCTGTTTGGTCGCAGCTCTCGAGCTTGAAAGACACTTTTCGACAATCGGACTAACTGTGTGGTTGCGTGTCCGGAGGCCGGCGTCTCGTCCCGCGTATTTGAGAAAGGCACAGAGGGCAATTACGCCCTCTTGCTGTGAAACGACATTGGCGTCTAGTACTGCGGACTTCCAGAGGCCGACATCACTCAGGAACGGACGGAAAAAAGGATCGGACTCGTCGGGAGTAAGGGCGAATTGTTTGGCAGCTTCTTCGTAGGCTCCTTTTCGAACTTTCCACACCTGCACGGGGACGCGTCAATGATAGGCCCATCTCGGGCTAAGTAGGCAAGCTGAAGTTGATGTGTATTTACCTTATGAGTGAAGCGATCGGGCAGCGGGATGGAGCTATAATCCTCCTCTTCGGCCATTTTGAAGGCTGGAGAGGTGGTCGTAAGGCAGCTGTCGGCAAATTTCCGAGATACTCGGCGAGATCTAGGCGTTGAATGGCGATCAGGTGTGCTTCCTAATTTGATGATTAGATGTCTGAGCTTTTTCATGGCGACCTAACGCAGGGGTGAGGCGCGTAGAGAACGGAGTTTCCAAAGTGCCAGTTGAGGAAGGACGGCAAGGCATACCTTAACGACGCAAGTCGCTATACCGCGTTTGACGAGGTAGATTATTGCTTCAAGGGGAGGCAAGATGGATTACAAAGAAAGCGTTGTGCGCTGGTGGTAGGGAAACAGCTCTTTCCACGCAAGCAATGTTGGATGTAGGAGTAGCTTTGTAGGTCGTCAAGGACCCCTGGGTGGAACACAGGGCCAAAGGCAGTAGCGAGGAACAGAAAAAATAAACGACAGGGAACGCTTCCGCAAACCAAAGATTTGCGCAGTCTCAAGACACGTTGCAACGAAAACTAAGGAGAATGTAAGGGAATAGACAAATTAAAGCCTGATTAAGTTTGCGCTTGCGTAGTGAGGGAGATGTAAGCGGAATGCGAGGGTAAATGACCAAATGGGACAACAAGCGCCGTCACCTGATTGACCATTGTCGCGTATAACTGGGTTACCTAATACGTATGTACGTACATAGAGGTATGTAGGTTCTTCTTGGTGCACAGCAGCTATCATGCCCGCCAGCATATTATGAGGTCATGGCATAAATAGAGGTGTAATGCAGCATCTTCTAAATTTTAATTTTTCTTTGTACATTTTTATCATTTATTTTTCGATTTTACAGTAATTTAGCAGTACCCGACTGTCACCAGGCGTCGATGCCCAACACAGATTCTGCCAAAAAGGCACCAGAGCAGTTGTTTACAGGTGGCGTTGGGTACCTGGCTAAGGATTACCGGGGTAACGGGTGCAAGAAGAGCCCCTCATGCACCTCGACTCCTAGCAACCAGAGTGGAATCGATACGAGTAAAGTATTTGAGTGATATGGCCAATATCATCGAATTATAGCCAAGCTTGTTGAAACAAGAATCTTATGAAATCCGTGCTTGAAATCTGCCGTGTTTAGGTTGTCCTCATGGCGGTGTACAGTTGTACCTGTTGCCTCCTCGGCCCCTCTGCTAGTGCCCTTTGTAGTTGTCATTCAGGGCGGGGTGAGAAAAAGCTCAAGGCCGAAAGGGTCGCGCGACACCAAAGAGTCACGTGCTGATAAGAGAGCTGCCTAAAATTATCGTCAGCCTCAAGCTAGCCATCAGTCTGTCGCATTTGTCGCCTATCTGTCGCAATGTGTCCCAAAGCCTCATACTTTTGCTGATGGAGTGAGATCAAGCCATAACAAACTGAAACTTGGGTTTATGACCTGTCATAGCCATGGCGAACTCTTCAAGGTCATATTTTGACCCCTCTCGCATATCCAAAGCGGCCGCTCAACACTACTCCTCCTCTGATTCAGATTCAGATGATGAGCGCCTTCTACCCGGCGAAGAACATGACGACTTTGGTGATTTCAATCCACGAAAGAGACGGCGTCTTGGAGGCAACAACAAGGAGCGCGCCGCGCTTGGTATTTTCGGCTCCGACAGTGACGATGGCGGCCCATCATCAAAATGGAAGCGGAAGACACTGCGCAATAAGGCTGTGAGCTTTGTCACAACGGCGACGGATAAGCCCGACGCCGGGAAGAGCAACGACGACGACTACTTCGAGGACGCTCGACCAGTTTTGGGAAACGCGGTAGAAGTCGACGACGACGACGACGACGACGAAAGCGACGATGAGGCATCGGCTGGAGTCGGCTTAGGATTTGCCCAGCAGCGGCTATCGAACATGGCTCGTGAAGGCATTCAGAATGGAGAAGAAGAAGAGGAAGAAGAAGAAGAGGAAGAAGAAGAAAAAGCCGACCGGCCGAGTTTCGTGACGAGTTTTCGAGGTGGCGGCGTGTTGGGAGTTGGGTTTGTTCCGTCCTCCGCCGCCGAACCTGTTTTAAAAGAACCACAAGCCAAAGCCAGCCCGACGCCACCACCAAATAAACCACAACCAAGCGCTTTCGGTCCAAAGGCTAAAGGGAAAGTTAATGCTAAATCATTTGGTGCGCGGATGATGGCCAAAATGGGATACATCGAGGGCAAGGGTCTTGGCAAAGAAGGACAAGGTCGAAATGTCATCATAGAAGCGAATCTTCGACCACAGGGCGTTGGACTGGGAGCTGTACAAGAGAAATCGGTGCAAGAAAAACGGGAAGAAAAGCGGCAGGCGGAAATGCGAGGAGAGATGATCGTTGACTCAGATGAGGAAAAGAAAAAACGGAAATCCCGGGCCAAGGCGCGGAGAAAAGGTCTTACAACAGCAACCAGCAGTGGCGGAAGCACACCCAGGCGCCAAAAGACGAAATATCTCACTGCTGAGCAAATTCGTTCAGCAGCCCCGGGCATGCATATCCCTGAAGCTTTCGCACCGATCCTCGACATGACCGGCCCTGGAAGCCGGATGTTAACATCGACGAGCGGAATAATGACACCGACCTCTGGAGTAGCCGAGTCTAAAGAGGTAATCGAATCCAGAAAGCTGGTGAAACGAGCCCAGGCAGATTTGACGGCCTTTACCGAAGAGTGGAGAAGCCTTGAGGAGCGCAAGAAATGGATTGATCTGGAACTTGCCGAGAGGGAAAGGGAAGTTGAGGAGCTCCGTGTTGATTTCGCACGATTAAAAGCGTTTTCGACATTGGTAATTGGCCGAATTACAACAGCAACGACGTTTGAGGAAGTAATGGCAGCTCTCGACGAGGTGGAAGATCTTGGCTCCGCTGTGCCTGAAGTGGCGGATATTGTTGTTGCCGCCATACATCCCTTCTTCAAAAACTGGGATCCTTTGACTGAGCCTGGGAAGTTTACAACGGAGCTTAAAAGACTGAGAGGCATCGTCATGGGAGCCACTCAGCGAAATGTTGCCGTAAGCAGAAATGGCGAGACGTTTCACGACGGCCAAGGCGTGTATCGGAAACATAAGAAAGCAACGACAGCTTACGAGACGCTCATGTACAAAAGCTGGCTGCCACAGGTGCTCGCTGCCGTTCGCAGCTGGGACGCCTTCACCCCCGGCCCGCTGCTAGAAGTTATGGAGAGCTGGGACGAGCTTCTCCCGCCCTTTGTGCGCGCGCAAGCCGTCGATGGCATTGCGCGCAAGCTCGACACGACGCTGTCGGATTGGAACCCACGCATGAAGAAGCAGAGCCACCACCTGCCGCACATGTGGCTTTTCCCGTGGCTGCCGCACCTGCCGGCCTACCACCTGGACCCGCGCGGTACCGGCCTGGTGTCGGACGTGCGGCGCAAGTTCCGGCACCTCATCGACGCGTGGGACTACGCCCACGGGGTCGTGCCCGGGCTGACGCAGTGGGAGGCGGTGCTCGGGGCCCAGTGGCAGCCTCTCCTCGTCGCCCACGTGCTGCCCGCGATGGGCAAGCACCTCCAGCGCCACTTTCGCGTCGATCCTGCCGACCAGGCGCCCTACTTGCCCGCGTTGTCCGGCGCGCTCCGCTGGCGTCAGGTGCTGGGCGACAGCATCCTCGCCGAGGTGCTGGCCCAACACGTCTTTCCCATGTGGCATCGCAAGCTTCAGGAGTGGTTGGCTCTCGAAGAAGTCAACCTCTGCGAGGTTGCGGATTGGTATGCCTGGTGGCGCGATGTGGTGCTTAAGGACCTCGCGGCTTCGTCGAAGAACGTAGGCACGGAGCTGGATTACGGCCTGCGTATCATGAACATGGTATGCTAAGAGGCACACGCTTTGTATATAGATAATTCAAAAAATTGATAGAGAGGTATCTAGATAGCGAGTTTTGTTCTAAGTCCTTTTTTTTTAATACCAGCACTGTCAATCTGTACAGCCTTGGCATCAGACTTGTCGTTGATGAGGGCGTGAGGCTGAAGTTGTGTCACAGCTGGTGCTTGGGTGGAGAGTGGGGCGACTGTTGGTGTTTCAAAGTAGGCGTGGAGATGGCTCTCGTAGATGAGAGTACCGTTAGACTACATGGGGAATTGAATGATCATGTACGCCAAGGCCGGCAGATATAGTTAGAGCGGCAGAATTCGAATAGATGTCGTACAAGACTCCGAGAGGCAAACACAAGGTGATAGCTGCCAGCGGAAGTGACGGTGTTGTCGTGTGGCGGGGACAAGCGTGTGCGTTGCCACGTGCAAGAAGAGGAGCTAGAGCTACCAGAGCCGATTGGTGCCTAACTTAAATGGGCGCAAGAAGATGTAAAGATAACCGTGGCGGGAATGGAAACATCTGCATTAGTAAATAACAAATAAAGGTGGATGCTAATAATAAACTGAAGAGGGCAACGCAAGTAAGGGAGTACGACGGTTTAGCTGCACAGGCCCAGTGAGCTTTGTTGGCTGATGAGTCCAGTGCCTGGGTTTTTAGCGCATGGTCCACTATAAGCCCCATTCGATGGGCGCCAACGTGCCCTGAAAACCCTGAAGGATGGGGCTTTTGCAGCGTCTGTCAGTAGTCTATTGTACCAGCTTTCTGCCAGCTTCGAACCAACTTCCATGCTGTTGTGCGGCACATTGCCCGCCCGCCCTGTCCTCTCTCTGCCGTCTCCACGAACCATGACCATTATATTTCCCTCCCTTTGCCATCTCTCACAAACCACAATCGCGAGCCGCATCGACGCACGCGACACCCATCTCGTCGCGCGCCGCAACCGCAATTCATTGCCCCTGCCCTGCATCCTATCCCGACGCCATCCAACCCTCTCCCGGAATGATCTAGACGGCCCTCCTGCTGTGCCTTGTCGCGAGCATATGTACTAATCTTGGGACTGACGCCAGCCGCACCCTTCCCCCCCTGCACTGACTGCACCCCTTTGGACCCAATACCGACCGCCGCGCCACCACCACCACCTCGTGTCGAGCCGAATGCCCGCCCACCAGACTGTGTCCTGCCGTTGCCCCTGATCTCGACGCCATCGCCTGTGCAAGCACCGCGGGCGCCAGACACCCGAAGCACCCGCCGGCCAGTAGCCCGACTCTGGTCCGCCTCCTCAGCTTCTGCTCCCGCCTTCCCCTCCTCGCCGGCGCTCGCTCCTGCTTGCCCCGGCGTCGCCCGCGCAGCGAACCATCACCATGTTTTGGAGGTTTGGCGGCTACGCCAACATCTCCACCATCGACACCATCCTTGACAAGACCGACTTTACCCTCGAGGAGCTTCTCGACGAGTCCGACCTCATCCAAGAACTCAAGCAGCACAACTCCAAGCTCATTGAGTATCTCCGCGAAGATGCCATCCTCAAGCGCCTGCTCGAATACGTCGTCGCCCCCAAGCTCGCTACCTTCGAGACCTCCCAAGACAACCAGGATGATTTGCGCGGAAGGAATCGCCTGATGACCTTTTCTCGTCCTCGGGCATCCTCCCGCAACACCGACTCGGCCGGAGCTGACGATCCCGCACAAGAGAAGCGGCGCAACCACTACGCGCTGGTCGCCGCCGAGGTTTTAAGCTCCGACACCTGGTCCATCTACGAGTCCCTCACAGACAACAAGCAGCTCATCAAGGCATTTTGGGAATTCTTGTCCCGCCCCGCTCCTCTCGACCCGCTGCAGGCCAGCTACTTTACCAAGGTTAACGAGTCGCTCTTCGAGAAGAAAACAGAGGAGATGATCGAGCTGCTGCGAAGCCTTCCGAACGCCATCCCTGACATGCTGCGACATGTTGAGTGCCCCATGATTATGGACCTGCTTCTCAAGATTATTGCCATGGACCGTACCGAAGGCGGCCACGGCATTGTTGAGTGGCTCTACTCAAAAGACATCATCTCGACGCTTCTCTCCTTCATCAGCCCCGAGCACTCCTGGGTCGTTCAAACCGCTGCTGGTGACTTCATCAAAGCGATCATCACCATATCTGCCAATGCTTCACAAAATGAACAACAATGCATCGGGCCGAACGAGCTCACCCGCCAACTAGTCTCTAAAGAGTGCGTCGATCAACTTGTTGGATACATGCTTCACGGTGGAAACCCCCTTACCGTTGGCGTTGGCATCATCATTGAAGTCATTCGCAAAAACAACTCTGACTACGATCCTGACGTGCTTGCCGAAGCCGAAAATGAACCTTCCAGCCGCGATCCCATCTATCTTGGAACTCTCCTCCGCCTATTCGCAGACAACGTGCCCAATTTCATGAGCCTGATAATGGAAGGCCCTGCACAGGCCAAAGGTCTCGCGTCAACATTTGGCGAAAAACTGGAGCCGCTGGGATTTGACCGCTTCAAGACTTGCGAACTTATGGCAGAGCTTCTGCACTGCAGCAACATGGGCCTTCTCAACGAAAGCGGGTCGGAGCAACTCATTGCTGCGCGCGATTCAGAGCGCCAGCGCATGAGAGAAGCCGGGCTGCTATTCCCTGCACGCGATGACGATACTGCTAGCGACAATTTGACAATGCGGCAGGGAATGCCTACTGAAGGCAGACGTCTTGAAGTCACGAACCCTAATGAGGACGGCTTCGAAGAAGTAGATGCTGCGACGGAAGAAGCCCAAAAGCAAGAAAAATCAAGCATTGCAGCGCTGAAAGATAACGATGACTTTGTTGATGAACCCCTTACATCCCCGAAGTTGGATTCCACAAGGGCTACTGAGCAGCAGTACGAGAACCCCGAGCTCGTTGTTGCACCTCTGTCGCCCATCAAGGCGCCCTCTGCCGAGTTTGATGATAGACCAGAGGCCCCATCCGGAACGTCCGATCTCGAAGTTCCAACAGTCTCGGAAAGCTCCGTCGCAGAACAGGAGGCTAAGCTAGAAAGCCCTGCAACAGCTGTTGATAGCATTACGAGAGACACCAGTAAATTGGATGTCGCCTCTCCCAGCGACACGCTTTCACTGGCTCGAGAACTCTCACCACACCCCGAAGATACCCCTGCGCCACTGTTCTCTGCACCACCTGCCCCTGAACCGCCCGCTGAAGGTGAAAGACCTGCGTGGGATGATATGCAGCAGGACACCGAACCATCTGAAATTATCATTGCCCATGTTCCCGAGGTACCTGCTGCCCCAGAACTAGATATGCCGGGCGAGCCTGTTGTGGGAGACTACTTGAAGCAGCAGTTTGTTGAGCACCGCGTTGTTCCCACTATTTTGGTAAGCTGGTTCCCTGCCATTATCATTGTCTTGCCAGTGCTGACACAATACAGTCGTTTTTCTTTAAATACCCATGGAACAATTTTCTGCATAATGTTGTCTACGATGTGGTTCAGCAAGTATTTAATGGCCCTATGGATCGAGGCTACAACCCAACTTTGGCTGTATCTCTCTTCGAGGCCGCAGACGTTACGACTGCCATCATCGAGGGCCAGCAAGCCAGCGATAAATCTCAGGCCAAGACCAAGACCCGCATGGGCTACATGGGCCATCTCACATTAATTGCTGAGGAAGTTGTCAAGTTTACCGAAAGACATCCACCCGAGCTGCTGTCTGAGACTGTCCTGGACAGGGTGATGAGTGCAGGCTGGATCAATTACGTCGAGGGTGCACTCGCAGAAACCCGTGAGCGGGACAATGCTATTCTCGGCGGCGTGAGGCCCGAGGTTGCACTTGGCCAGCGCCACAGTCTCGGCCCCGGCGGTATCGGTGGCCTCACTGGCTTGAGTAACACACCAGCAGGCGCCACCGCACTGGCAGAAGCCGGCTTGAATGGCGGCATGGAACTCAGTGACAACACTGGCGGCGGCATGGGACAGTTTGCAATCAGCGGAGGCGCCATGATATCCGGATTTGGGAGCAGCAGTGACGAAGATGACGACGATGGGGAGGGCGAAGATGAAGACATCAACACAGAGGTAAGTCACGAACCGACTCGAGACAGAGACAACGCAGTTCTGGAAGCAGCGGGCGAGTCTAGCGGACCCAATATCTCCTACGAAGATGGGGTGCCCCATATACGGGGATATTTTGGCGATAGGCCCTTGAAGTTGGATGATGATGATGATGAAGAGATGGAACTATGAGCCAATAGTCATGCATGTGAAAAGGGTCTAAGTCGGACAAACCACGACCTTTGCACCTCTGGACAAGTTGTCGAGATGGAACATGTGCAAGGCCACATTTGTACGAATACGGATAGAATACGGGGGAAACTCAATACCGCAGCTTGAACGGATCTGTGTTGCCTTGTCCGCCTAGTCAAGACTTTGCCTTGGTGCTGGCTGCTAACGATATTGTTCATTTAGTTTCGCTCCTTCGCTGAGCATGGTGGCTCTCTTGACCCACCATCAATACCGCCGCCTCCGCCTCCTCCTCCACTGAATATTCCGCCGTCGCGGGCGCGGCTTCAGCTCGCGGCGAGGCTGGCTATGCACCAAAAAAGCAGAGAGGACAACGCGGCCTTCAGCGGCTCCTTCAATGGCTTTGACGACGAGGACGAGGACGATGACGATGATGACGACAATGATGCACGTAACGCGACGGATCCCTTTGCGGATGTCGACGATGATGACCTGGACGACGACCTAGACGACGATGAGCCCCATCACGGCGGCCGTGGCGCGTGGTGGCGCGACGTTGTAAGCAAGGCCCCTGGTGCCGGCGCTGTTGACCAAGACGACTCAGACGACGAGGAGTTTGGTGACTTTGCCATGGCCGAGGACGAAAGAGGTGGCGGTAGCAGCGGCGCTCGCGACGAGGAGACGACGCCTGAAAGAGTGCTCCTAAAGCCGCTGGCCGTGAACCCCGTCAAAGAGGCGGCCCGCGGTCTCAGCGGTCTCTGGCCCTTTGGCTCTCGGGCGGAAACGACAGCGGCATCGGGCAAGACGGACGACGCTGAGGCCGATGAGGACGAGGGCGAAGTCATTGTTCCCCCAGCGACCGGCGGCGATGCGAAAGCGAGCCGCAGCACGGGTCCAGTCGAAGCGAAGGAGGGCATTCGCCGCACAAACATCGAAGAAGTGGACGACGATGAAGTGATCAATTTCAAGTAGGGATTGACATGACTAAGTGAATGCATCATTTTGAATGGGCGGTTGGCAATTATACCAGGACCTTTTTCGTTTCTTGTTGTGTTTTTTATTACGCTTGGACTGAGAGAGTAAGTAGCATCTGAATGTAAGTATATTTGCGTGTGGAAGTATTGTGTTGGTGGGCTCTGTCGCGTTCGTGGATGGGTTTTCAGTTCTGTGGACGCTGTATCGTGTACTCTTAGAAGTGGCATAAACGGTTCTCTTTAATTTATATTCGATATCCTTGTTAACGCGGGCGTAGACCTTGTTGGGCAGTCAAATTCTACGCGCAGTGCGAATCAAGTCATTTCAACGTCTTTGCTCGTCTGTTGATGCCATATATACATACAAACGGTCCCAGTAAGCAAGAAGAAAGGGGCCACGTAAAACAGATAACATAAAAAGACAGATTTACAGTTCCAAATGACGTTTCCAAAACATGAATCCTAACTCCCAATGCGTAATAATCGATATAAAGCCCGAGTCAGGAACAACCAAATCAGAAGCACTTCCCAGAGTGCTTTTCCCAGCGCAACAGCCAAGGTAGAAGACAAAACTCCGGTAATGTATATAAAAACAAAATCGTATCCATGAGAGCAAAGACAGAAGGGGTGCGCTCTTGTATCGTAGATCAGTTAAACTCGCCTATGCGGGGGCCAAAATATTCGCCGTCGCCGAGGTTCTTATAGTTGCACGAGTTGTCCTCGCAGCCCTGCTCTGAGATTAGGTTTCCCCACCACTTAAACTCGACCTCGGTGTACTGCAGGCTGAAGAAGATGATGATGCCCGCGATGGCGATGCCGCAGGACCAGGCCGCGGAAAGCACAAAATTGTACTAGGCACAGTTAGAAGGGTGCTCAAATGAAGGACAGATGGAAGCAAAAACGTACCTTGGACCACAGACCGACGTAGCGAGTCTTGAGGTAAATCCACGAGAAATAGGCAATGGGCACCGAGGGCCAAATGTAAGACATGTTGTAAGGAGCCCAGACGATGCCGCCGTACATGATGGCGACGGGGTGGATCTGGCGTGTCCAGGCCCAGTGAGGGAACTTCTTGTTGAGTAGCCAAAAGACAACGACGATGACGACCCCGAGGGGGAAGCCGACAAGCATCTCGCTGTACTGGCCCTGGTGACCAAAGATCTTCTTTGGCCCAACAGTACCCCAGAGGACCGAGGCAGTGAAGAAGGTGTTGACGCCGGGGCAAGTGAGCTTGTAGCGCGCGTCCTCGGTGCAGACGGCGCGGATGTTGAGCATCTGGAAGTTGAGGACGCCAATGCAGACGAGGGTGCTGACGAGTGTGGCAATCATCTGGGCGGCAAAAGTCTGCCGTGGCGGAATTTTGACGTAGTGCGCAAGCTTGAGGTCGTTGGAGAACCAGACGGCGTGGGCGCAGGTGACATACCCAAAGGACTTGAAGTAGTTCATGGCCAGCGCATTCCCGTCGACCCACGAGCCTCCGATGAACTCGGCTAGGACGTTCAGCGTTACCTCAATACCCGTCATGGCCTTAATAATGCCGACCGGGATAACGAACACAACGCAGAGCGCGAGGCCGTAAAAGACGACACCAGGGGATGTGTGTGTGTCCCAGCCGGCGATGCCGGCGATACCAAGGGCGATGGCGCACGCCAGGCATAGCATATACCACCACTCGGGCACCTCCTTATACGACTTCATCAGGCGATTATGCACGTCAAGGATGTGGTTGTCCTCGAGTGGCGTCTTCTTGCGGAAGCTGTTGAACAAGGCCTTGAATCCCATGAAGATCTCGTTGCGGTGGTACAGGATGGCGTACGTTAGCGTCGATGTGTAGATGCCGAAAAAGAACATGTAGATGACGACGTTACCGGCGCCGAGGAACGGTGGCGAGTAGGCGGCGTACTTGGCGGGGTCGAGATGGCCACGGTCGTTGATGGCGCGCGAAATGTTGTACAGCTTGGCTGTGTTGTCGTAGACTCGATTTGTATTGATGGGCAGGTAGCCAGTGTTGTAGACATTCTTATACCAGAAAGCCAAGACAATCCACATAGAGACGAATGCGCCGATAAAACGGTTGAGAGTGCTGAAGAAGGGCACCATCAGAGGGTCGGCCGAATCCCACAGCAAAACGTTCCAATCCCAGGTAGGGAAAGGGTTGAGACCCAGGCCGTTGTTGATGCCAGTGATGACGTTGAGATCGCGGTGATGCGGCAGGATCCAGCTGATCCAGTTGAACTTGGAAAGCGAAGTAAAGATATAGTTCGGAAACCAGAACCAAATGAACATGGCGCCAAACATCAGATAGAAGAAATTGGCGCGCGAGATGCGCCATATCTTGCCAAAAGGTCCCATGACGGGCGGGTTGCCTGGCGTATGGAAGGCTGTGTTGAGGGCGATGGTAACGAGCGATGCGGGCCAGACACAGTACGAGGGGTAAACCAAGAAGCGTCGGCAAATTCCAGCCATTCCATAGCCGATAAAGTTAGTAGCGAGCGCAATGAGAATCTGGTAGGCGAAATGAGCGGCATAGGGCTGGTTGAAATATTGCGGCAGATATTGCACCCAGATAATATAGTTGGTATAGGGCGTATTGTAGGCGACGTTAGCCATGATGGTAATAAGCATGTGCTCTTTGCGAGTAAAGGGGCCGGGATTTAAGCTGTGTTGAATACCCCAGAGGGTGAAGCCTGCGTCGGGAAGCCATCTCTCGGCGGCCTTGCCGACCGGATAAGCCAGGAGCTGAGCGACATTGGCCATGACACGGATGGCGGGTTGGCGAATATCGAAGAGTTGATTAACGAAAGCGAGCAGGGCGCTGAAGAATAATCCGATAGCCCAACTTCGGATGGTGGATGAGGGCGTCGTGGGGTCGTCCTTGTTGCTGACGACAGCACGGACTTCGGCGTATGGGCTATTGGAGGTGACGAGGGCGGCCTCGAGTCTCATCTCAGAGATGAGGTGCTGATGTAGCTCGGGATGCTTGAAGACGTCTTCATTATCGAGGAAGGCGCTAATCTTCTGGACAACGGCCGTGGGAAAATTGGGATCGCGAGAATGAATGCGGTAGATGCGGACCATAATGTCGCGGACCTGTTCGAGTGTGTAGCGAGAGGCGAGTTCCTTGGCCTCGAGCAGGTCATCTTCGGTGACGTTGAGATCGGTTCGGACATGGCGAGACAAATCTTGTTCGTCGTCTTCTTCATACGAGAAGGGCTCCTGTTGCGGCGCGGAGGCACGAGCGGTCAGCGATTTTACTGCTTACTTTTTTCCCTCCCTACCCTCTCCTCTTGTATGAGAGATGGTCTGCGCAGAGTCGTATCTCAGGACGACGATTGATCGGGAGCCGCGGGAAAATGTGCGTGTTGCCGAGAGCGACTTACGACATTAGAGCCTGCTTCTGATTTTTCGGGATCGAGTTCGTCGATGCGCTGGGTCGGGACGTAGGCGTCGTGGTCGCCGTCCGACTCGGGGACGGCGACTGGCTTCTCTGAGTGGCCACGCATTGTCGCCGGAAGAGTCGTCGGCGGTCGAATGATGGGGCGAGCCAGGCGGTCGTGGGAAGGCCTTCAGACGGGCATGTATGCCAGCGACGGCTCAGAGTCGGGCTGCGAAAGGGCGCAGGAGAAATGCAAGGCGAGAGAATGGATAGGGAGATGATGGTTTTAACGAGATAGATTTGGATGGAATTGATCGGGAGGACTGGGGGGAGGGGGGGGACGGACTGGGTCCAGAAGGAGACGAGAAGGGTAGGGCCAATAACGGGGGTCGTTGAGGGGGGGGCGCAGGTTTGGGGGCTTTTAGGCGGTCCTGTGGTGCTGGGGAAGTGCGTGGGCTGAGTGGTTTTACTGGATTTTCACCAGCTCATGGCTGCGATGGAAGGCTGCAACAAAGCAAGGCAGCCTCCCGTGGAAAGGCAAGTGGCGAGAGGCAACGGGTCGGGACTGAACAGTGGCTTGCAGGAGAGGGACGGGCGGACGGGCGCTCCAGGGCCCCGAGGGACGATGCTAAGGCTTACAGCGGTTGAGTTGGTGAGGCGAGTGCTAGAAAACAGCAGTAGCCAGCAGCAACCGGCAGCGAACAAGCGTCCAAGATGTCTTTTTTAGCGGACAATTTACTAGACAGCCACTGCAAACTTGTCTGCGCCAATGCCCAGTGGATCCCGCCTCGGCAGCTGGTGGCCGAGAGCGCCCCACTTGGCCCAGTCTGAAGGAAGCCCATCTGCCATTATCCGTTCCCCGACACAAAAAGTCCCCAGTGCCCATCAACAAGGCATGGCAGGCTGGCTGGGCTTGGGCTTGGCGAGATCATCTGGCATCATGACCAGCAGAATTCCACTATGAATGACTAAAATGCAGATTCGAGTCTGAATTCTGCCTGCACAGCGGCCAATGCAAGACATGGAAGCGAGGTGCTACGGCGGTGCGCGAGTCACCCAGATAAGTCGTCTGCCTCCGCGCAACGGAGTTGGATCCAGGCGGCAGATGTGTTTTGGCATTATTCGCACAGGGTATCCGTACCAAGATATGGTATCTGTGCCTATGATCTTCGTCAGGATTTCCCTAGTATTGACATGTTTCCAGTGTGCCGGGTGCCTACTTGCAATCGAGACTCCGATTTATTACTGATAGCAACGAAGCCGCTAGCCCGGGCGGAGGCACCCATCGTCGTCAGCGTCCCAAATATTACGAAGTACTGACTGTGCAAGTCCGTGTGGCATCTGAGGGTTCTGTAATAATTCGCAAATCACTTCTTCTATATTTTTACACGACATCTTTATTGGCTATTCCTTCGCCAACCATCACCGCAGCTCCTCCTCAACTCCCTCCTTGCGTTGAAACCGAGCTGAACGACGTCGGCCGCCTGACTAAGACCAGTCCAGTACCTCCTGGGCGGATCCCTTGCACTGGTGCAACGATGCCGTTCCCTCCGTTGCGCCATCTAAGATCAAGATGTGGAAGAAGAATCAAACTCCAACAAGCTCTGGCTAGTTGTCTTTGGTCGGCACAAAGTTGCCATGCGCCCGCTTACACTCGCCAGTTTAAGGCTCCGTCCCCCCACTAGTCGTCGGCTCCCGATGCAGCATCTAAACAATAGTTAGCCATCACCGTATAAACTTATCAGTATCGAGAAAACCCGCCGAGAAAAGGCAACAGAAACCACCACTCACATGTCGCGCATCATCACACCGCAGTTGTCAGGTTTGATCTTTGTCGGCTCTCCGGCACGCCTCTGCCCAAACTCACTGACACGCATAACTAGGCATGCCTCCCCCAACCCACAAGCATCTGACTCTCTAGCCGTTTCTCCCTCTACCAAAATAAATGAAGGTGCCCTATGAATCGTGTGCTGGCATCGGGATTTTTTTCGCCTATCATACAAGGCAACACACAAGGAAGAGGAGGGGGATGGCGATCCCGGATTTCACGGCACGGCAACCAAGCAGCCAAGGCAGGGGCTCGTTCCACCTCTGTGCCGGCAGGATGAGCATGGCTTGTCATTTTCTTCGCGGTCTTCTTTTTCCCGCTCTTGTGACAACTGACAAGCCGCATCTTTCTCCAGATGGGGTGCGCTAACTGAATCATAAATGCATATTGCTGTGCTATCATAGGGTTGCTCCGTCCGCCTAGGACCGGGTAGCGACGACGAGCCTCCGCTGGACTGTACCAGCGGCAACTACTTGCCGATGCCCGCTCTCAGGGCTGAAAAATGCGTGATAGGGAAAAGCAAAAAGAGAGAATTGCGGGTGCTAAAGACCGAGGGACTTTTTGGGTTGTGACGGCCGACATTCCCGGTGGCTCATCAAGTTACACATCCTAATGTGAACGGACAGATAGAACTCTCCAGCAGGTTCATACCATTGACAACTCACCGTCGTCCAGCTCGGCCAGCCACGGCAACCCAAAGCCACATCCTCCGATACTCGTCTGCAGGCCGCTCGCGTGCACTTATTAATTACACCCGCCAACGTAGAGGTAGCATTGCAGCCCCAGAGCCCCGTCAACTCACTCTGCAGAACTTGCACTGCCCGAAACTTCACCTCGATCCGTTCAACCGAACTTCTGTCAGCCGTCTTCTCAAAGATGGGTGTTTTGACATGTCGTGACATTTTTCCATGAAACGGCATCCCTCTTCCCGCCCATCATCCATCCCCTAGCCTGCCCAACTGCGAAACACGCTCTCTTCAAGTCTTTCCTACCCCGTGCGCGGAAGGCCCACCATCCTCACACCTCTGTCGCATCTCTGTCAAGTACGCAAGCCGTTCCCTAACGGAACTGACCAATCGCCCTTGTGATAAAACGAGTATATTCAAAGTGCATCATTAGAGCGTAGGATGGACGGCGAGGACACAGAGTAGATTTTTCCGGCCTCGTGTCTTGGCCAAGATCGTCCTCACAGTCGGCCTTTTGAGCAGGCTGGTGGTGTATGATTTCTCCTCCCAAACGTGCGTATTTAGCACCGGATTCATCTTTGGCGGCAAAACAATGGGATAGGCGGCAAGGCGCTCGCATGCGCTTTTCTTCGTCCGCACGCACTCACAGCTACAGCATGCAATTGAAATCACGAAGCCTTTTAAAGTCTACCTCCATCTACCTCAAAGTCACCGCGCTGTCTTCCATGCCCTCCATCATAGATACTTCCTACCTACCAAATCACTTGTCCTGTGGAGGCAGACGAGTCTGCAAGAACGCCTCGACGTCGCTGAGCTCCTCGATGCAGGCCGAATGCTGCATGCCCCTACGTGTGTTGCAATTCCGTTAGTCTTCTCGTTTTCCCCGTTGCCATTCCTGGTCCGATTGAAGAACAAAAAAGTCCACTTACGGATACGTCTTGAACGAGATCTTGTAGCCTAGCTCCGTGAGCTTCCTCTCCGAGGCCTGCGCCAACGGGTACAGCACCAGAGGATCGCGGTCTCCGTGGCCCATGAACACTGGCGTGTCGCGGTTTAGGCTGTCGGCCGGCACGCGGTCCTTGAAGATGCGGTTGAGCAGCAGCCACGAGGAGAGGCCGACGATGCCGCCGAGCTTAATCGGCGCGGGCGCCGTCAGCCCGGCGTAGATGCTCATCGCGCCGCCCTGCGAGAACCCGCCGACGACGATGCGCTCCGACGGGATCCCCGCAGCCACCTCGTCGCGCACCAGCGAGTAGATGTACTGGCGGGACAGCTCGATGCCCTGCTCGTCCTCGTCGGGCGTAGCGCCGCCAGCGAGGTGTGAGAGGGCGTCGATGGATTTCTGTGGTTGCGCGCGCGCGTTAGAAAACTGACCCGTCCATCCTCCTTCGTCCGCAGGTCAACTCACAATGTCGAACCACCCAGACATTTGGAACCCTCCGTTCTGTTATACCGTGTTAATTCCTGAGCTGCAATACGCAGGCGTTGGGCTAGGACCGTACCATTGTGATGGGAATCGCCGGCGCGTGCGGCAGGATGAACTTGACGTGGTTCAAGTTGTTCCGGCCCTGCCAGTGCTGCACCGCGTCGGCCCATCCGTGGCCCGAGTCGCCCAGGCCGTGGATGAAGATGACGGTCGCCGTGTGCCTGCCCGACGGCGTAAAGACCATGGGCGCGGTACGGCGGATCGACGACATGGCGACGGCGGGAGAGGGAGGTGCAAACGGGGTTGCTGCGGATGAGATGATGCGAGCCGGGGGGTTGCCGAAGAGGAACAGCGCGACGATGCATGCGACGAGGGGGACGAAGAGGGCGCTGATGCAGGACCACCTGGGCATGAAAATGCAGACGGGGCGTATGGGAGAGGGGTTCTTGTCCGAGGTTGAGTTGAAGAAAGCCGTGAGATTGCACTACTACTGTGGTGTTGGATGCCCCACCTCCTTGGTTGATGATCGCTACCCGCGCCCCAACGTCGCTCATGTCTAACGTACGACTGCAAGGAGACAAGAAATAAAGACTATATCCTCGATTTCTGAGAGTAGTATCGTCCACTAATGGGGCAAATGCTAGTGCGAAACACGTTTGCATCTCGGAGCCGGAACCAGACAAACACTACATGCAATTCGTATATTTGACCCGTACATGAAAGAGATCCCATCCAGTCCTTAATCCAACGCCAGCATTGTTACGCCAAACAGTAAAAACACCAAACCATGCTTTTATCTAATCGACAGATCCTTGGCTTCCTCGCCCTCTCCATCCTCCTCTTCTTCGTCGCCGGCTCCTTCACCCTCCTCGTCATCCTCGCCGGCATCGTCATCATCGTCATCGTCCTCCTCACTAGACTCTCCCGATCCATCGCTCCCATCATCACTGCCGGGGTTGTAGTCCTCCTCATCCTCGTCGTCGTCATCCAGGTCCTCGCCCAGCGCGGCCCTCTCAAGCTCCGTCATGCCGTCTCCCTCCGCCTCTGCCTCACCGTTGGCGCCCTTCTTGGCCTTGTTCTCCGCCAGCTGCAGCTTGCCCTTGCGCTGCTCGGCCATGCTGCGGTCCTGCAGGCCGTTGCGCTTGACGTAGTCGTCGATGCCGCCGTAGTCCTGTTGGTCCACCATACCGAACTCATACTCCTCGTTGCCGTCCGCCCCATCTACCTCGCCCCCTTCCTCGGGAAATACCTCGACGACAATGTTGAACGTGATTTGGAGGATGTTGGTGTAGCTCACAGCGGCGATGCGCTTGAGCGGGATGAAGATGAGTGGTTTCTTGAAGCCCCACAGGATGCCGTTCTCCAGGAAGAACAGGTAGCCATCCTTGGAGCCGCGGAACCCGCTTACATGCACCGCCTTTTCGTTGGGCCGGTGCGGTTGCCGGACCATGCTGTGGAACTTGTTGGGGTCCGACGCGACGATGGTGACGTCGCTGCCGGCGGCGCGCAGGCGTCGGCTGAGTGCCCAGTGGAACAGGGCCTTGTACGTGTCCGAGACGGCCGCGGCCGAGCCAGCCTCGCTGCCCGCTACCGTGCCCTCCTTGGGCGCCGTGGCGGGGACTGTGAAGACGAGCGGTTCGATGGTCGCCGGTCCGGACTTGGGGGGTATCGTCGAGCCGCGCGGGAACAGGATGTAGTTGTGTTGTACCTGCGCCTTTTCGGGGACAGGGAGATAAAAGGCAAATTCTTTGAAGATAGTTAGAAAGGGGGGTAAGAATGGAAAAGGGGGAACCAACCAATGTCGGTCCAGGCATAGGTCATGCCCTGGATAGGGACTGCTGTTCCTGGCGCGCGGGCGTATAGGTAATTTTGTGTGAAGCATAGCTCAAACTTTTTCCTCTGCGGCACTGAGACTGATATCTCTTTTACCTGCAGAAGGATAGGGTCGTCGGCCGGATTCCCAGCTGCGGAGGAGCCATTCGTGACCCCATTGGTGCTGCCGCCAGCCTGAACCTTTCGTCTCTTCGCCTCAGGCTCTCCATTATCCGAAAGTTTGGCGTGGACGTGCGACGCAATCTCATTGAACAAGGCGACCTTTCCAGGTGTTTCTGGACGAAAAGTTAACAAATCAGCGAGGGCCACCCGCGCAATTGGCAGCTTGCTCACCTGCGCATCTCTTTATGCCATCGAGAATATCCTGACGGGGCTTGAATATGGCGTTGAGGCGTTCCCAGTCCAGTTCCATTGTTATTTTCTCGCGAATGTATCGTGCTAGAAGCGATCGCGACAATGTTGCAGAAATAGAGAGGATGGTGGACAAAGAGCAAAACGCAATTGCCTACTCCAACAAGCCTGGACCTATTTTTTGGTGTTGGCAACGCGACGTCAGTGAGAAGGGCCATTGGCGGCTATCCTCCCCCTTGCCAGCCAATAGTGCAGCCCGAGTGAGCTCCGCCCGTGTGCAAGGTGTCGCGCAAGCCCCGCTGAAGCACAAGTTTAATCCGCAACCAAACCATCGTATCGTAGTGGATGTATTCTGGCCGCCCGGGCACAAAGCGCAATCGGGCAGGGCCTAGAATCCGAGACACAGAAGTCTCGTTCAATATCATAAATAAGGCCAAGTGATATCTTATTCTAGTTGTATTTTGTTATTCTCAATCGAAAAGTTCCTTCACGTGTGGTGACGATAGAAACAGGTCCAGTTTTGCATGAACCCTTTCTGTCCTGAAAGCCCTGAGCCCCGTATTGAAGATGATGATATTATACGTCATTGAAGCCTTCATAAAAAATATCGAATGACCACAGCTTCAAATGCCATGATAGACAAAAATGCTGCGGTCCATTTATTTTAAACCCTCTAATCAAACGCTATGATAAGCGACTCAAGGCCGTCTCGTAGGGTAGTTGGGCACTCGATGACGGATTATTAGTCATCTGTATTGCTCACGATCGCGGGGCATTGGGCCGACTTTCAACATTACAACAACTTTACGAAAAGGTCTGCGAAAATCCTGTACCATATGTATCGGTGACAAAGGAGTAAATTCTTCAACATTACCATGTCAGCCCCATTTCCCAACGTATACAACCATCGCAAGGTTGCAGAGGCATCCGCAAAATCATGCGACATCTGTTACAAGACGAGTACGTCTGTGCTCATTACGCCCGATAGCAAAGTAAGGAGAGCGGGAAAATAGAGAATAACATTAAAATGCGAAGGCATGTATAGTAATAATATCCCAGGACTTTTTCTACGTCTGCGCGGTGCACTTGAAAGATCGCTACTTTTGCACGCCAAAGATTGATGAAGAGGCCGTCAAAGCCAAAAGGGAGCGAGAGCTGGAGGCCGAGAAGGAGAAATTAAAGAAGGAGTACGAGGAAAAGCAACGAAAGAAGGAAGAGAAGGAAGAGAAAGACAAAAAGGACAAGGATAAGGATAACAAAAATAAGCCAGACAAGACAGACAAGGATGATGATGCGGATAAAAAGGTACGACCTAGTCTACTACGTGATGTTTTTACATGGGCTAACCAATTTTTATACAGAAATCAACGGACGAAGATGAGGGCGAAACACCCAAAGAAGAAGAGGCTCGGACCTTCGAGTTGAAGCCGTGAGTTCTACCTACTGTGCGGCGTGGAAATCATGGCCTAACCATGTCACGATAGTGCATTCTACCAGCAGCGTCTACAAAGAAAACGACAAGCGGGGGCTGCGAAAAGAGACCGGGAAAGGGTTGCGCAGCCGGGATATTTTCCCTCTGTACCAACAGCACCGCCGTCGAAGTAGGCTGATGCTACAAATTAGATACGTGCTCGTGTCGGGGGGTTGTGGTGTTCGGCGCAAAAGTAAGAGCAATGTGTATATAGGTAACAAACGCCACGGGGAGCTGCCTCCTACTATCAACCTTTAAGATAAAGTAATCCGCTGGGCAGGCGAGCTGGCAACTGGCACACCAAAAGCTGGCAACTAGCACACCAGAAGCTGGCAGCTGGCACACAACTATTGAAAATATATTAATCCACTGCTCTGCTAACAAGTGTCTTTGGTAGGCTAACAACAGCAACAGCAACACCAGCACAGGGCCGCCGCCACCGACGACAACGGCAACAACAACGACGACGACGACGACGACGACGACGACGACGACGACGACGAAACGACGATGAAGATGGTGGCAGTGCCGACCGTCGTCATCTTTCTTACAAGCGTGTTCGCGGCGACGGCACTCACGGAGGGTACGGCTCTGGTGGCCCGTGGCCTGTCCCGCGCCACTTTCGAATGCAATTGCGCGCCGCTGCAGCTGCAAAGCGTCTCCTGTATCTGCACGCCCGCCGCCGCCTTGTCCAGTAAAAAAAGGCAGCCAAGAGAGAAGGTGGAATACGAGGCCAAAATGGTGATGGAGCTGCAGCTTCTTGCCCCGCGGATCACAAAACTTGTGCCCACATCAAGATACCTACTCAAGCACTATATTTAGAAACTGCCTCGAGGACGAGAGGACGACATGAAATAACATGAGGCGAATAGAAAAATTAACTTTAATCAAAAAGTGCGATTATTATCAAAGAACCCCAAAGGAGGTGGGCAAACAGTAGTACCAAGATGCTTTCGGCTCGTGGCGAGGTACGGAGTGTAGGCCCAAAAAGTCGCCGGTATAAGACCCGACCACGTAGCCCTCACCCCGTCACTTTTGACAGGTGCCTCGGCGTTGGTCGTAAAAGACACACTTTTAGTCATAGGCCTGGGGTTTTGGTCAACTTTTATTATTTTCGAGGTCCGGAAACCTTCTCCATAGCGGGCTGTATTACTCGAATTCTAATAGCCTAGGAACAGGAGTTGAGGGGGCGTACGATTAGAGGTTCCCGCGGCCAGAACCAGGGGGAAGTCGAATACCCAAATTACCACCAGGACCAGACACAGCTACAGCAGCTTCGTCAACTCTAGCTCGCTGCAACGAGAATGCGGGCGTAAGCCAGGCACCGCATGTGCACTTGAACCCCTTCCAATCGTAGCGACCAACGGCGGCGCCGCAACGATCATTGGGGCAAGTCAATCGACCATTGAGAGTTCCTTGTTCTAATTCCGGGCGCATCCAGCTCAATGGTTCGATAAAAAAGTGCTGGCAGTTGGTTGAGCCGTCGCCAGGTCTGTGCTTGGCGATAAATTGTGAGGTCGCAAGTACACGGCGGCATTTCTTGCAGCGCAAGCTCGATCCGGACGTCTCAACCTTTCCGGTCTGTTCGTCCTCGAATCGGAGTCGGGAGGGAGCCTGTCCCACAGCCAGACTTTCGCTGACTTCTCGCTGATACGCCCAGCGCTGATATATTGGTTGTTCTTCCACGTCTTCCGGGCACCCCATTGTCCACCACATGCGCAGTTGCTCCATGAAGCCATCATTAGGCTCTGCCATGGGTCGTGTTTGTCGTACAAGGGTAAGAGCTGCGTTGACCGCTTCCTTGGCCGTCTCTGTCCGTGCTTGGGGAGAACCCGATACAGCGGAGGGATCGAACTTGTTGGGATACTTCCACAACATGAAGGCTATAATGCAAGAGACTGAACGAGATTTCCCCGCAGCGCAGTGGACAAAAACAGCACCTGGTTGGCCGGTTTGACTGACGCTGGTGAGGCCGCCCTCAATGAACTTGACGGCTTTCGGAAACTCGATTAGAATGTCGGTCTCTTCGACGTCGTCAATATCGATACTGAGGTGCTGATATTGCTTTCCATATTCGGTCCATGGCTCATTCTTGAAGTTTTTGAGAGAACCGGGAGGGAATCCATACAAGGATAGTACGTGCGTGATGCCCTTTTCCGACAGCTGATCGGAGCGCTGGAGCGCCCAGAGGCTGGTGATGTGTGTTATTATGTGTGAGCGTATGAAGTTGCGAGATTTGACTTACCCTCCTACGTAGAGGTTGTCTGGGATATTGAGTGGGCTGTACGCCATGGTGAATGCCGACGTCGAGTTTGCCGAGGAGTGCTATATGATAACGTAGAAACGGGAGGCTGACACTCGCAAGGACTGTGCTAAAATGAGAAATAAAACGACAAATCGCTATGTGCTTTTGTGTTCTGTTGATATATGCTATTGTAGTTGTCTGGGTCAGGTCCCGAGAGCCGAGGCCAGGCAAGAATTTCTACAGATGGAGCCGGAGGTGAAGGAAAGGTACCGGGTACTTGGCCGACTCCGCTAGACTGACTGCATTGCAAGTGAGAAACAACCCAATTTTAAATCGTGCCAAGTGAGGAAAACGAGGAATAACCTTTGAATCGATCATTTTAAATTTTCGATGCGTGAGCAGTCTGTCGCGGGGTAATATATTGGTTGCATCTTTTTTCTGCCACCCCGCGATGCTGCAGTTGCCGTTATTGGGCAGGCGGCGAAATTTTTTTAAGGGCCCCTCATAGCATCTCAACAATATGGAGGGGCAGATGGAGATGACTCGTACCTCACATCACCCGCGTCCAGCGCAATATTCTTGCCATCTCAGATCTACATCCTTGAAATAGGTGTCGTGCTGGTAGCTTGGCATCTCTGCCGCTATAAATATGCATCACTCGTTTCTCGTTGGCAGTTCTTGCTTCACGGCCTCGGACCTGGAGGAGCTCCGGGCCCGTATTGGCACGGCCGCCGATGCTACCGTGAAGCAGCTGCAGGGCGATTGGTTTTACTATCTCGATCTCAAGAATGAATCTGAAGTCGTCTTCAACAAGATCAACGAGCTTCTGCAGGACTTTGGCAACCGACAGGCGCCGCTTGATGAGACCAGCGCCAATGTACTCACCCTGTACATTACCCCGCGATACATCTCGCCATGGAGCTCCAAGGCCACCAGCATCGCCCATGTCTGTGGTTTGCGCGAGGGAGTCAACCGCATTGAGCGCGGGAAGCGTATCATGATCGAATTCGACAAGCCCGCCACCGAGCAGCAGATTGCTGCCTTCCGCGACATCCTCCACGACCGAATGACCGAAATCTTCGACCGCACACAACCAGACCACGCGACAATGTTTGCCGAAGGCTTACCTTCCCCTCTCGTGGTTGTCGACATCTTTGCTGATGGCCAGGACCCCCTTGCCGTCCTCTCCGACTACAACAAGGCAAAGGGTCTCAGCCTCGACCAATCCGAGATGGACTACTTAGTTGGCGTCTTCAAGAAGCTCGGTCGCTCGCCCCACGACGTCGAGCTGTTCATGTTCGCGCAGGTCAACTCGGAGCATTGTCGCCACAAAGTTTTCAACTCATCCTGGAACATTGATGGTGTTGAGAAAGACAAGAGCTTGTTCCAGATGATCCGGGAGACTCACAAGAAGACTCCGGATTACACCATCTCGGCTTACAGCGACAATGCGGCCGTGTTGCAGGGCGAGGCGGCCAACTACTGGTCGCCCGACTACTCCACTGGCACTTGGAAGCTTACGCCCGAAATTGTTCATATTCTGGCCAAGGTCGAGACTCACAACCACCCGACCGCCATTTCACCCTTCCCCGGTGCTGCCACAGGCTCTGGTGGTGAGATTCGAGACGAGGGCGCTGTAGGCCGAGGCTCCGTGACCAAGGCCGGCCTTGCTGGTTTTTGGGTCTCGGATCTACTCATCCCCGACCACATTGCTCCTTGGGAAAAAGACATTGGCCGACCTGCTCACTACGCCAGCAGTCTCGATATTATGCTCGAAGCCCCCATTGGTAGCGCCCGCTTTAACAACGAGTTTGGTCGACCATGCCTTACTGGCGTCTTCCGTACTCTGCTCACTCCTTCCGATGCCACTGAAACTACAGATGCAAAGGACGTTTCCGAATGGCGTGGCTACCACAAGCCCATCATGATTGCCGGTGGCCTGGGTACTGTTCGGCCCGAACACGCTCTCAAAGAGGAGCGCTTTGTCCGCGATGGCGCCCATGTCATTGTCCTTGGCGGTCCTGCTATGCTGATTGGTCTTGGTGGTGGCGCCGCCTCGAGCAATGCTACGGGTGAAAGCAACGCCGACCTTGACTTTGACAGTGTCCAGCGTGGCAACCCCGAGATGGAGCGACGTGCCCAGATGGTAATCAACACCTGCTGCGCTCTCGGCAGTGAGAGCCCTATTGCTATGATTCATGACGTTGGCGCCGGCGGTCTTTCCAACGCTTTGCCAGAGCTTGTGCAGGATGCTGGCTTTGGTGGAAACTTTGAACTGCGTCAAGTTGAGAGTGCTGATCGCAGCATGAGCCCCCTTCAAATCTGGTGCAACGAGGCTCAGGAGCGTTACGTTCTTCTCATCAATGCCGACGATATGAATCGCTTCACCAGCATCTGCCAGAGAGAGCGATGCGGCTTCTCTGACGTTGGTACCGTTGTCTCCAAGGCTTCAAACGGCACAAGCAACCTTGTTCTTACCGACCGCGAGTCCAAGGAATATCCTCGCCCCATTGATCTGCCCATGGATGCTCTATTCCCCCCCAAGAGACAGCTGAAGCGAACTGTCACCTCCAAGAAGCCAACCCTTGCTCCCTTCAAAGCCCTTGCAAGCCTGGAGAAGGCTTACGGAACCGGTCTGTCAACTCAAGAGCTTTTGTCCAAGGCTGTGGAACGCGTTTTCCATCTTCCTGCTGTCGGCTCCAAGTCTTTCCTCATTACAATCGGCGACAGAACCCTTGGTGGCCTGTCCGCGAGAGACCAGATGGTTGGACCGTGGCAAGTTCCCGTTTCCAACGTCGCTGTCACTGCTACTTCTTTCCATATTGGCGGAAACCAAAAGACTGGCGAGGCCATGGCGATGGGCGAAAAGCCGACCATTGCTCTCATCGATCCGGCTGCTTCGGCCCGCATGGCGGTCGCCGAATCGTTGATGAACCTCGGTGCTTCGGATGTCATGGGCGACCTGCGTCGTGTCAAGCTCTCTGCAAACTGGATGGCTGCTGTCAGCCACCCAGGTGAAGGTGCTGCCCTCTACGAGGCTGTTCATGGTGCCATGGAAATTTGCACGGCGCTGAATATCAGTATTCCTGTTGGTAAGGACTCTACCTCGATGAAGACTGTCTGGAGAAACGGCGAAAATTCCAAGAGTGTAACTGCCCCCATCTCCGTCGCCATCTCGGCGTTCGCTGTTGTCGAGGACTACAAGAATACATGGACGCCTCAGCTCCGCCGCGTCGAGGATGTGGGGGAGACTCTTCTCATGTTTGTGGATCTCGCCGAAGGTCGCAAAGCTATGGGTGGCTCTGCCCTGGCCCAGTCTCTGGGTGCTATTGGTAATGAAGCGCCCGACATGAAGAACTTCGATATGATCACAGACTACTATGATGCCCTCGATCAACTTCATAAGAGCGGAGTTGTTCTCGCGTATCATGACCGATCTGACGGTGGTCTCATTACGGCCGTTGCCGAGATGATGTTTGCTGGTCGCTGCGGCGTGGATATTATGATGGATGGCATTTCCAAGACTGGTAGCCCGGCCGATATGATTGATGCTCTGTTCAATGAGGAACTCGGTGCCGTCTTCCAGATCCGCAAGTCTGATGAGACCAACTTCAAGCGTTGCTTCGCCACCTGTGGTCCTCCTCCCGGACTGATTCGCAAGTTTGGCGCTGTGAAGGCCAAGTCCAAGCAGAACCTGTCTATCCGCTACGGTGCTACTCCATTTGCCACGCTCGATCGTGCTGAGATGCAGAAGTGGTGGAGCAAGACTTCGTATGCTCTGCAGCGCCTACGCGATACCGCTGCTGGTGCTGACTCTGAGTTCTCTCTCATCGATGACAACGAAGACCCTGGTATTTCATACAAGCTCAGCTTCACCCCGTCCGAGAACATCATGCCTTTGACCAAATCGATCACTGGAATGTTCTCCAAGCCTCCCCGTGTTGCTATTCTTCGCGAGCAGGGTGTTAACGGCTACGCCGAATTGGCCTACTCCTTCCGTGCTGCGGGCTTTGAGGCGGTTGACCTTCACATGACAGATGTTCTCGGCGGCCGCGCCCTGGATGACTTTGTCGGTCTCGCCTGCCCCGGAGGCTTCTCCTACGGCGATGTTCTCGGCGCCGGCAATGGCTGGGCCCAGTCTATCCTAATGAACAAGACTGCTTGCGGCGAGTTTGCCAACTTCTTCAACCGCCCCGACACCTTTGCCCTCGGCATCTGCAACGGCTGCCAGATGCTCACACGCCTCAAATCTCTCATCCCTGGCACGGAGCACTGGCCCAACTTTGTCGACAACGCTTCGCAGCAGTTTGAGGGCCGCGTCAGCATGGTCCGCGTCGAGGTCGACGAGTCGAAGCCCTCCGTCTTCTTCCACGGCATGAGCGGCTCCGCGCTTCCGGTCGCCGTGGCCCACGGCGAGGGCCGCGCCCTGTTCGGCTCGCCCAACTCGTACCAGCACCTCGAGGGTGCTGGCATGATTCCCATGCGCTACGTTGACAACCGCCTCAACGTCACGGAGAAGTACCCGTTCAACCCGAACGGCAGCCCCGGCGGCATCGCCGGCGTGCAGAGCAGGGACGGACGCTTCGTGGCCATGATGCCGCACCCTGAGCGCACCATCATGGCCGGCATCGGCAGTTACATCCCCGACGGGGCTGCTGAGACCTGGGGCGAGTTTGGACCTTGGATTCGTCTCTTCCGCAGCGCCCGTAGATGGGTTGGCTGATTTCCGTTTCTTTTTTTTTTTTTCAGCATGTTGGTTTTTGCTTCTTTCGTGTGTTGACGTGTTGATATACAAAACGAAAACTCTTAAAACTTTCATTGATTTCGGGCGTTTGGGATAGGCATCGATCTGGGTTAAAATAGAAAGTCACGAACAGATAGTTGGGGTACGACGAATGCAATTTCACATTTTACGCATTTGCAAGCGTACAAGACACCACAGTATAGAGTCAGCGATGCGTAAACCTTTTTCCTCCCCGCCATTTTATGGAAGACGGTGCTCAATTACCACCGTACATGTTACGTCCCTTCTGTTGAGCATCGCGCATGCCCTTGTCTACAACTGGCAGTCGTCGCGCACCATCTGTCACGCTCCCCGATAGCCTATTTGGACGGGAAGCCGCCTTGCTAATTCCTCTTCAATGAGCGGTCTGCCGCTGGGGGTTCGGGGGGGGGGGGCTTAGTAAAAGGGGACCAGAACACGAACCTGACCAGGCCCTTGCGAAGCTGTTCACTGTGAGAAGACGGGGGCGACGTTGCAGTTAGGCTTCGTCTACATACACAATGGTAGTCGATCCTTTCGAGGCTGTGAAAACTCTACAGCCAGCACTGCCCTCTCACCATCACACTTGCGTTCGTCTTTGCTGCTTTGCGCCTTGGCATGGGACAGCGTCGGGGCCCGACGAGGAGGGTAACCTTGACTGGCCTGCTGGCTGTCAAGCGCTCATCTAGGGTTCCTCTTTCTGGCTATTAAATCAAAAGGCATAGTTATAACAAAACCGTCTTGGACTAGACGGGCCGCGGTTACACAGCCTGCGTGGCTACCCTCGTTCATCAACACCCCGGGGGATCGATACGAAGTTCCAGGGGAGCTGGGCACGCTATCGCCGAGAGTTGCCGGGAACACAGAAGAATGGACCTGTGTCTGTTTTTTTTTCTCGTATTCGTGCGGTGACCGCCGGGCAAAGGCAAGGGATCGAAGTCAGGTTGGGCATCCAAGGACTATTAGGGAAGTGGCATCGAGGACGTAGGCCCCGGTCGAATGGAGAGGAAAGACCACGCGTGCTCTGCAAGAGACCGGGGGTAGCTAATTGCCTTGATTGCATCAATATCAAATGCAAAAGCAGGCGTCCCTCGGCTTGCAAGCACCATCGTCTTTCCCATCATAAACTTAGACCGCGGACGGATGCCAGGGACGGACGTCACTCCTTGGCAAGGAGATAACTCAACGCCCCCAATTGGAGAGGAGGCGATATTACGACAGATGAAACATTTCCTCAGCTCTTCTTCAGCTATTTTTCACCTTGACCAGCATGCAACCAAGGTATCAGCTTCACCGCCGGACAGTGTTGACAACGACAGCAAGGGCTGAACGCCTCTGCGCAGCCATGTCAGCACAACCTGCACCGAGGGATCCTTACAAGAAAGACCATCAAAAGCTTCAAACTCTACCCTGTAAAGAACATTGCGCGGTGCCATGGTTCATTAGAAAGCATAATTTCCCCTTTTCTCTTGCAGTCGATATAGGCGCCGCGCGGCCTCGACAAGAAGCTGGGGCGGCTGTGGAGTTGAAGCCAGTCCGAGTCAGGGCCCTGGGTTGACAACACACACAAAAGCTCGTGGCCTCGTGGCTGGCCCTGACCTAGAAGGCATACGTAATGCAGGCGCCAGCACGCGCTGGTGGGCAGCAGAGAAGAAGATGGCCTTGCGAGTGTGTAAATTTAGAAAAAAAACGCCAACGGCGAAAAAGGGCAACGCAATCCCGTCTTTCCTTTTTTCTTGTCCTTTGTCACATCATGTGGCGGGGGCTGGTGCGGTAGCTTGCCGCCCGTTCCGTGTCATTACTGACGGCAACAACGAATCGGCCCTGGTCGTCCCTCTCCCTTCAGCTAATGCTCGTAATAGGTTGGTTGTCCTGCTGCCGGATGGCGGCTCTGTATTTTAGATGCACATCCCGTCTTGCGTGGCCCGGTGGGCTTTCGCACATCAGTGCCGTTGCAGATTCTCCCGTTGGGACGGAAATCGCGGGGTCTCGACTGCTTGTCTGTGAGATTTCGGCAGCCGGAAAAGGCTCTGGTAAAGAGGGCAGCATTCCAAAGTCAGCTGCTGAAACACTTGATTTGGAGCCTCACCACGGTGTAGATCTAGATTGGAAGCTGGACTGTATAGATTAGATGAGTTCTCGTCAGTTTGAACCCCAGAGGCCATGCAAGAGCGAAGTCTGTACCAACGTGCCCGTAGCAGGTTTCAACTGCCTCATCGTTTTTGTATGATTCCAGGCTTTGCCAAAGCGTACCTCGATCGCTGGGAAAGACTGCTAGCTGATGAGCAAGACAGTGTCTCATACCTATACCAGTCAAATCGGTGGGTGATGCATCATGATGAACTTGACATGGACGTCTGCCTGCCTCAATGCCGGCTGACGTACCGATACACCTAGTGGGATTCCTTTGCAACACGGCGCTCAGCATATATAGCAGATCCAAAAATAAACGCTTCCAAAGAGGCTGAGTTGGACCGGATATCGCATGCAATCTGGTTGTCGCATCCACGCGCCTGTGCCCGCTGTACGTGGGGGTTGATTTACCCGCCATGCATGCGCCTTTGCAAGGGAATCCATGGCTAGCGACAAGGACAAAGGCAAACAAGGCATCATGATCCGACCGACACCAGGCACCTGGTCGTCGCATTTCGGCCACTGCTCCGCCGCAAAAAGTACTAGCCTTGCTCATGTTTCTCTCTCCCCCGACCCAGTGTCACCTGTATGTTGCCATCGAGATACGTATCCGTACTGAGTACGGATACACCACCCCTGAGAGGTGCAAACTCGTGAGAATCCTCCTCATATGCCAACGCCCCCTCCTACCGCCCCGCCAGAAACGGGGACGGCAGCTCTAGGCTACAGCATTTCCTGGTCTCCTGTTCGTCTAGCAACGGCGGTATGTTGATCTTCGCTTGCGTGGGAGTTGCAGCACAAATGGAGTAGGGCCGGTGCTACCTCGCGACTTTTCGAGCACGGAATTGCAATAAGTCAAGGTAGGATTGGGTTGCAGTGGCCAATATCGAGGCTGCGAGACACCCTCCCGTTGCGAGAGCCTAATCCAATCAAGCAAGATGAGTTTCTGTCGAGTGAGAAAAGATGAAGCAAAAGGTCGCCCGGGCACTTATCGGACCTAATCACCAGACAGAACTACCCGCACCAGCAAGCACATGCTTGGTACGTATTCGTAGTATGTTGTCCCGGACGGATGTCTGTTCCGTTGTGAGCCCTTGTGCATGTCGCGGGTGAACTGCAACATAGGGCCCCCTAGACCATTGCACGGGGTGATTGCAGAGAGCCACTTGAGCCACTAATCAAGCGCATCAGCGAGGGAGTCAGAAAGGAGGTGTGACAGACGCATCGAGGATCGACTTTGCAATCTCATCTCTAGCGTTGGTGTGTAGCCCAGCCCTGTCGGGCCATTATTACCAGCACGACGCGGCGTGGCTGGCTGGTCTCTTTGTAACCCAAAGAACCCTCTCATTTGACATACTGATACTTGCGTGCGCGCAAGACACGGGCTGAAAAAAAGGGAATACAGAATTCAAGACTGCGCGGCAGTCTCTCTGACGTGTTCTCTTTTTGCTGGGCGCATCGCCTGTAATCCGTAGCTAGGGAGTATCAATACCCTGAGCTTCCTTTCCTGCTGCCCCAATACAGCCAGCGTTAGGAACAGCTCCGTGTCAGATTGGCGGAGGAACCTGCCTCGTTCACCAGGATCGAAGATTCAAGCGGGTGATGTCGCTGGTTGTGGGCACCTCCTACATAGTTAGTGGAAGCTGCGAGTAACTGTCAGTTTACACAGCGACCCGGCGGTTTGACGGACCAAACCATTGCCAACTCTGGAACCTTGTCCGGCCCAGACTAAAAAACAAAAGAGGTGTGCACCACTCGGTCCTGCATTTGAACAAAACCCCGTGCGGTAGCCGAAGCAAGCCAAGGGTGGTGGTAGCGGACGGTGTCACTGTGGTGACATTTTGCATCCTTCGCTCTCACGACGTGTCTGTAGATCCCCGAGAACGTCATCCAAGTGACCTTTTTTTTTCCCGTTCATGACGAGCATCATGTTCCATCAGAGTGGTCGCCAGGCTCAAGTCTACATTTTAAGCCTGAGTTGTGCCTTTCAGCCTTAATCTCATCGTGGCACGGCGCCTCACCCACCAGAGACAATGTGTATCCCATGTGCGCATTACCACGATGCATAATATCGCTGCTAAGTTGGCCCAGGCTCTACTTTGCAATGTCGATGCTATGGGAATGTTTCAGCTTGTTTCGAATGTTGAAAATGCTTCCCCGTCCCTGCTTCTAGACTCGATTAGACCGCATGAAAAACACACCGCGGGCCAAACTAAGTTGACGCCGAAATCGTCATGGCAACTTGGGCAGACCTGCAGGATCAGGATCAGTGTCTACTTATCATACTTCGTATTATTATGAGTCCCGCCAGCACAAGCAGAGGAGGGATGACACGGCTCGCGCGGAAGCAATGCCGCACCGGTGAGAAACGTCTCGCGGCTCAACATGTAGTATGCAGGTCTCGTGTAACCTGTGAAAATCAAGGCTCTTCCTGCAGAAGGAATGAGGTTATTATTCCGCAGGGCTGTCCTGCAGATGCGGCGCCCCGAGCTCAGGGCTGAATATCTGCAGCTGTCTGCGGAGAGGCACGGGCGGAGCTTTCATCCCAGCCCTTCCTGCCCGTACTTCGTTGACCAAGGCATCGGCAATATACTTGAATCTGGTGTACCTTTTTCTTTTTTTAGCGCATGAATCGAAGATGGGTCATGTTCCGTGGCGCTGCCTTCACCAGACTTGATTGGCCCAGGCCGTCCGGTGCTGAGGAGAATTGGCGGCTGAAAAGCACATCTTGTGAAAAACTGACCCAAAGAAAGCCGCGGATTCCATCCACCTTGTTTGAGCCAGCCACAGCGGCACACAACGGGCCACTAGTGGCGAATCCTGAGCCC